TACGAGCGGCTGTTCCATAAATATCACCAGCGGATCCAAGCGACACATGACTCCAAAGTGGACATTCCAGCGTCGACGTCTACGGCATTTTACGGTTTCCCATTCCCTCCGGCGTCTACTCCGTCCTGCTCCCCTTCTGGCACACCGCTGCACCCCCCCAAAGACTTCGTCAAGACCAGCGGCAGCGGCCAATATTGGCCATTAAACGAACAGCTGCGGATAAGGGCCCTCAGGTAGCCTCCGCAGTCTGGGAATAGATGCATGTCTGGACTCAAGCCCGTGCGTCATACCTGCCCATCTGGTCTTCATGCTTCTGCTGGGCTAATGCACGAATGCTGCCTAGGCCGCAAATCGTGGTGGAACGGGCAGACCCTTGGTTGGCTAGAAAGAAAACCGGCATCTTCTCTCTTATCAGTTTTTCGTCCTTGCTGCGGGGGATCGTCGGCGCGCGCCTGCACCATGACCGAGAGAATGCAAAGCAAGGTAAAATACGCCACTTCTCAAGGGGTCTCGGCCTTTGTACCTTTTGCGATCTCAGATCGAAGGGAAAGAATTCCTCGATGATCTCAGCAGACAGAATTCAAGCTAATTGTTCGCGTGTGATTATGATTGAGAGATTGTGTAACGCCGCGATCTACACCGACCAGCCATCAAGAGGCTGGTGGTGGCAGTCATAACAGCGGTGAGAGAGGTTTGCGCTCCACGAGCAATTCTTTTTTTTTGCCTCTCTGCTGTAATATTCCTTCTGGTAGGTGTGGTTAGGATGGGCCTCTCCGCCAATTAAATGCATCTTCTAGCACTAATACTGTAATATGCAGAGTCGGGCCAGAAGGAATCGCCGCGTAGTGCATCTGCCACTCCATGCTTGGCCTCGATGGTGTCAGTGGCAGTAGTACGGTGCTATTTGCTAGTGGTATATGCGAGATATGCGAGCGATGGGGTGTGTGAGGCCCCTCTGACGATAAAAGAACACTTAGCTCGAGAGCTAGGGCGCTTTCTCCCCCCACGCAGAGATCGAAGCGTGATGCTGAAGATTTTTCTTCTTCTTTTCCTTCGAAAGGGCTTCTTGGTTAGTATAGTTCGTAATAGGCATAGAATACTCCGTAGTTGTTCTAATTTTGTCCAACTTGATAACTGAGATCCTATGTATAATACACGATAGCGCTGATAGAGAGTTTGCACTACGGAGCGGATTAATCTGATCCGGCTGACCAGAGTCGCTTTCTTTGCATTGGCGCGGACGCGTTTGCAGTACGATTACGAACATGTAACTTGGCTACCCGGTATTATGAGGTGATAAAGGCGTCTCGATGGGCTATCAAAACCGTTCTGAGGTTTTTATGAGCGTAAGATGTTAGAGGCTCATCTCTTTGATCTTGTAAGGATCTGGGAATTGGCTGTGTTGTGACTGCTATCCGAAGACAGTAAAGCCACGTAATATGCGTGGAGTTATCGAAATTTGAGTTGTCTTGCACGAGTAGAATCATCACATACACATTGCAAACATAAGATAACTTATAATAGGAAAAGATTAGGTAATTGTAGAGCATCTACCTAGTATGCTCTCAGATTCTAAATTAAATTAGCGACGGTAACCATACTTGTGGCTTAGAAAGAAGAAGGCACTTTCGAGCTGTTTGAAGAGAATGTGTCTTTTGAGTCAGTAGCCCTTGAAATGCCATTGTCCGTGATCATAATGAGGCCTTTGTAGATGAAGGTTCAGTATTTCAATTTGGCGCGTTATTGCTGCTTTTAATTATTAGAGAGTGATGATGGTCTCTGGCATCTTCAAACTTGTTTTATGAGCACAATGTGTCTTTTGAGTCAGCAATCCTTGTACGCATTCAAATTCATAATAATCGGGTGACTGCAGACAGGAGTTCAAAATGTGCAATGCAGTGCGACAACAGTAACCGTATTCAATTTTCAGAGAGTGGTGATTATCTTGGGCGGTTTTGGGCTGTCTGGTGAGAATAATGCGTCCCTCAAGCCAACAGTCTCTTTATTTATGCATCTTGCGTGATCATAACTACATAGCTGCTGGTGGGATTCAAAAATTCCATGTAGTGTGGTAAAGGTCACTATTTTCCGAGTTTGAAGTGTGATATTGGCCTTTGGTGCCTTTGGACTGCTTGAAGAGTATGATTTGTCTTCCGGATCAGCAGTTCTTTATGTGCATCTTCCGCAAGCACCTACCGAATTCTCAAGATATTCCTCTGTTTATCATGACGCAATAGAAAAACATCTTTGAAAGAAGCTGATCTGTGCCATAATGTGCCTGTGCATGGCATTTCTTATCTTCGAGGCTGAGGTAATATCCATCTCCACCAACCACATCATGACTCGATTAACCGAACATTGCCGAACTTATATGGTGCATTTGCCAGACGATTATGGAGTGAAAAAAAAAAGAGATAAAGGGATGAAACAGTACATATTATTTATTTGTTCGGAGTGCAGGGAATATCGTAGATTGGTGATTAATGCCTGTGTTGGGAGTCTGCTTCCTTGTTTGATGTTAGACTCTGATTATGCCGCTGGCGTTGAGCTATCCGCCTCCTTTCGCTCTTCAATGAAGTTAATTTTGAAAATATAATACACGTACCTTAATTGATCGTTTTCGGCGGAAGCGGGAACAAATAGCGGACCCTAACGAACTAGCATGACCGTTTAGCCCAAGAGGCACGTATGATTCATTGGTTTTTTTGGTCTTTGGTTGCGTGAGTTTTGAAAATTTTACCAGCGTGAACGAAAATGTTAGTGGCGCAAAGGAAATTTAAGAGCTTTACAAACTTTTAAATGAAAAAGGGGGTGGCGACAGGATCGTAAGATTCTATTCGCTCTTCCAGCTGAACAGGTAGGCGAGGCAAGGGTGCCTCGTGCCAAAGCTACTAAGAAGCGTCCATTACAGAACCACATAAATTTTGCTTTTGGTGATGGTGGCGTTCGTTTGTGACTTGTAGCTTCACCACATGTCCATGGATATTGGACCGGATTCCACGGAGGCGAGCTGCATTGAGCATGATAGAGCGGGAGTCTAGACACATTCCGGCGGGTATCTCCCGCAGACCTCGTGATAATCTGACGGGAGCATTAATGTTTCGTCTCAATCGAGAAGGCCAAGAAGAGATAGCAGGTTTATTTCTCCACCGAAGGAGATACTAATTAATGTATTGTATCATTTAGAGCTGGAAAACAAATTTCACGCCCACCAACTATCTGAGTCAGGATTCTAATCAAAACGTACGATCTGATGGATAAGTTGCTATCTTCGAATAGAACGGCTCCTGTTGTCCGTCATCGGAGCGCTCCTTGCTGCTGTTGATACAAGGGGGCATTTAGTTTCATCAATCGCTGCAGCCCATCGCAGGTGACAGATATTGCCGCCCGACTCATACGAGCTGCAGGGAATTATGGAGTAGAGGGACCGGCACTGATCCTGCGGCTCTTCACAACGAGGCTAGGGATGGGTCTAGACGATCGAGGCTATTATTTTAATCGAACTCGGTAAATTTGAATATTTATTCTCGCTAAATTACTAAGCACCATCCACCTTGGACGACACGGGTCTGACGGCTGCTTGAGCATCATATCATATCTGTACGCGGATGAAAGAACTCAACACCGAGACGCACTTGAGTACATTGGTGTAGCATGCGTATCGCCCTAACAAGTGTGGCAACAAATTGAAGAAGAAGAAATCAAATTTTGCAGGTCGATTGATAAGTCAGGGAGCAGGCTCAGAGGCAGCCCGGGCCAGTTCGGCTAAGGAGAGATACGGAATACTACCAAGATAGTAATAAGGCTGTTTTTAGCCTCAGAGCCACATACCTGATTGGGAAGATAAGTAAAATTGGATACACACGCTTAAAATCGAAGAGATAGGCACCGTGGCGTTTTTTACACTTCTAGAACCTTTTCTTTCTTTCTTTCTTTGCAATAGCCGAGGGCATCTGCCTGATGTCACCTTAAATCACGCTGAGTTCGCCCTGCTGCTGCAGAGCAAAACGTTCTGTTCGTTTCTCTTTGCAAATGTTCTGCAAATTCGTCAACATGATTACTTTCATCTATTCCCTTGCCTTTGGCTTTTCTTTTGGCTCAAAATGATGTATGCACCATGTCGTCACGCAGGTTTGAAATGGGATTCCCTGCATACCATCGTGATCACATAGTCGCAGCCCTACCATAGCATCGACAACCGATTCCGTTATTCCGGCAACGGGCCCACTTTTACGGAGGGCTGTACCGAAAACCCAGCTGCCGAATGCTTCGACGTATTTTTCCACAAGAAAAGAGCTCTGGAGCTTTTCCAGCCCTGAAAAAATGAGGGGAAAGCTGGTTGTGGATGACAGTTTTAAGCAAAATACCTTGTTTCGACCCCTGGGCCCGATGCCTCATGATCTCGACGGCTAGTAGAGCGGCACATGGCTTGCGAGGCACGGCTGCGAGACACGGCAGACGCTGGGCAGTACAAGTATGCTGCTGCACCAAGTCTGTGGCACTAGCTCCCTTTGGGTGGGAATAATTCTGGAGCCCAGTAGTTTATTTCTATTCCCGGGACCCACTTGCTGTATCTAAATCCGGCTAAGCTCCTGCGGCAGGGCTTGCCGATAAGCCACTCAGGCTTCTGGATTTTGGCCGCTGCGGATGCGCTTTCCTTTTATGGCTGTTTCTTAATGAGTTTATCACGTTTGTTGCTCGGCTTCATCCGTGGCAGCCAATCACAGCGCTTGATCGCCCCGCTATTGAATATTTTTTGTATTTTTTTTTTCTTGCGTGCAGCAGGCTGTGGTGGGTCCGCCAGCTCCCCATAAGCGGCCGCCCAACTCAAAAGCTCCTGGTGCCTGTCTTAGACCTTGGTGATGACGTTCCATGTCGGAACTGCGATGGTCGGACGAATGGACCGAGGTTATGGTGCTATGATATCGAGAGCGCACAGCTTCAATTTACTAGACATATATATATAGCCATGGCACGCCACCCCTTGATGATAATGGCATGATTCGAGCACACACACAGTTGCATTCACACACACTCGGGATCTAAGTATCCATTTAGAGCAACACCATCTTCTTGACTTCCCCCCTGGTTTAACTTGTTTTGAATATACCCAATCTAAGATGGCAGTAATACCATCAGACAACTCCTCCACTTCGACTTTGGAGGGAGGAGCAGCCTCAGATGCCGACAAAGAACAACCAAATCAGTTTGAGCCCATTAGCCGATTTTCGCAGCCGGCCCCTGTAAGACGGGCGTCTACCGCTGGCAGATCGCAGAACAATCCTGACAAGGAAGTTTTCGACCCTAATCTGGACGTCAACCTCCCATATCGTACTCTCAGCCGCGATGCCAACTTTGACGAATACCGCGTAACGTCCCACACGGGCACCATCCCGGGGCCGATCGAGCCTCCTTCAGTTGCTCAGGCTTCCGGCGAACAAGGCGGCGAAAGGCGCTACAAGCTCGTCACGTTTACAGATAATGATCCTGAGAACCCCAAGAACTGGTCCAAGGCATTCAAGTGGTACTGCACCATGGTCGTCGCCGCCACGTGTTTCGTTGTGGCTTTCTGTTCTTCTGTCATCACTGCGGATCTTATTGGAGTGTCCAAGACCTTTGACGTCAGCTTGGAGGTTTCTTTCCTTACGATTACGGTATTCGTTATTGGCTTTGGCGTGGGGCCCATGGCTTTTGCTCCTCTGTCCGAAATCTATGGACGACGAATCATCTAGTAAGTGTTTTTCAAGCATGTGCTGCTCTTGGTACATGGATATGCAATCAGAACAGCAGGATGCTAACACGTCTACAGTGCCTCGACACTCTTAATCGCAGTCGTCTTCATCATTCCCTGCGCTGTTTCAAAGAATATTGGAACCTTGATTGTTTGCCGAGCCATCGACGGCATTGCTTTTTCTGCTCCCATGACCCTGGTTGGCGGTACACTTGCAGACTTGTGGAGGAATGAGGAACGTGGTGTTCCCATGGCCGCCTTTTCCGCCGCTCCTTTTATTGGACCTGCTAGTAAGTGACATCGGGCTGAATTTTGCATACTTTTTTTTTTTTTTTTTTTTTTTTTTTTGAATCATCTAACGAGTGTTAAAAAAAATATAGTTGGCCCCCTTGTTGGTGGTTTCCTTTCTGATGCTGCTGGCTGGCGCTGGCTGTACTGGATCCAGCTTATCCTTTCTGGCTGCATATATATTATCATAACCTTTACCGTCCCCGAAACATACGCACCCACCATTCTTGCTCGCCGCGCTAAGAAGCTTCGAAAGGAGACTGGCGATGAGAGCTACGTTACTGAACAAGACATTGACGAGAGAAGTATGGGCGAGCGAGTCAAGGTTTTCATGATCCGTCCCTTCCAGCTGCTTTTCAGGGAACTCATCGTCCTTCTTATTTCGCTGTACATGAGCGTTCTCTATGGTCTCCTTTACATGTTCTTCGTTGCCTTCCCCATTGTGTACCAAGAGGGCAAAGGCTATTCTGCTGGTATCACCGGCCTCATGTTCATCCCTATGGCTCTCGGCGTCCTCATGTCTGCAGTCCTGTCTCCGCTAGTCAATAAGCACTACCTCAAGATGTGTGCCAAGTACAACGGCAAACCTCCTGCGGAGGTTCGTCTGATCCCCATGATGTTCTCTTGCTGGTGCATCCCCATTGGAATGTTCATCTTTGCATGGACTTCGTACTCGGATCTCGACTGGGTTGGACCCGCTTTCGGTGGCTGGCCTGTCGGCTTCGGCTTCATCTTCCTTTACAACTCTGCGAACAACTACCTGGTCGACTCCTACCAGCACCAAGCCGCCTCTGCTCTTGCCGCCAAGACGTGTATCCGAAGTTTCTGGGGTGCCGGCTGCGTTCTGTTCACTGAGCAGATGTACCACCGACTCGGCGACCAGTGGGCTTCCTCGCTTCTGGCATTCATCGGTCTGGCTTGCTGCGGGATTCCCTTCTTCTTCTGGTTCTTTGGCGCCAGGATTCGTGCTCGCAGCAAGTATGCTTATGGCGGCGATGACGACGAGATGGTGAACCCCACACAGCCTAATGATCTTGAAAAGTCCCGAGGCCATGGTAATGGCGCCGGTGCTCATGGAGACGATCTTGATTTGGCCAGGGCGAGGAGCTACGTCAGCAACCCTTAAACCAAATAAGCAAACAAACAAACAATCGAGCACACACCAAACCTTCACAAACCAAACCCAAACATTCCACAAAACATTAGACATGATTTATAGACTGATATCCCCTACGAATGATAGATTTAGATTTTTTAATAGCATTTGAACGGCGTTCTGGGGAGTGATGGAAAAATACCTGGGAATATATCAAGGGTGGATGAGATACACAGCATAAAGTTAATCTTAATAATAGACGGTTTACTGCATTTTTCAAAAAAAGACAACTTTTATCTCATTTTTTTCTCCTCCCGTTGACTGTGAGAATTGTAGCCAAATGACTGACTACCGATGACTGCTTACAAGACCGAGAAATATACGATCCCCTCATGCATACATGTATCCATAGCACAAAGCCATCAAGGGGACTACTAAGTATACTGTACTTTGCAACAAGCCAATCTCCATCAACCTTATTCGGCAACCCCATCTAGATCGGCGCGGTTAACGGGGGCGGGGCCACTCCGCGGGAGGGAGCGAGACAAGTTTCCGCCTCGAGCCCCACCGTGGCGAATATATGACGATGCTGTTGTAACGGTCATGGTACCATTTTTTAGGTAAAGAAATCAAAGTGAGTAGAGATGAACGAAAAAAAAAACAGAAACAAGGGTATATAGATTATAGATCGTCCTCTGGGTGGACTGCTGTGTAAGTGGTTACGACTGGTTGGGTCTTGGTCATTACGGCATCGGTAGATGCAGGTTGTAATGTGGGTGACAACTTGCGGTTTCGACGAACGAAGTAGCTAATTCAGATATAACATATTAGTAATGTAGAGGAGAGACACCGATGAAGGATAGATAAAGGATGGTTGGTTAGAGATATAAGATTGATTTACTCACATGATTGCTGCAATGACTGCAAGTAGGACAGGCACGCCGAGACCGACGCTGACGCCAATAATGACGGCGTTGCTTACGCGGTGCTTTCCGGATTTTTCCTCTGATGATGCGGCTGAACCGCTTGGTGATAATGATGAGGTAGTGGTAGTTGGTGGTGGTGGAGGGGGAGTGTACGACTTTGGCTTTCCAGATGAGCTCGTCATTGTCACGGCATCGGCCGGGAAATCGACCTTTTTGAACGTGGATGTTGGACCAGTAGACCAAGCAGCAGATGCGCCAGATGCAATGGTCGACGTGAGCGTCTTTGTTACAATGTTCTTGGTCAAGCTTTGCAAAGAGGCAGGGCAGTTGATCAGACCTGGAGAGGCGCAGACGGTTGCGATCTGAGTCTCCGTGGTGACTGTGCTTGTCACCGAACGCTTGGCAAGAGCCTTGGTACTAGATGGGGCAGCCGTCGTGGCAGAGATTGTGCCTGCGCCGGATTTGCTGGTCACCGCACAAGCCTGCGCCAAGGTGGTATAGAAGATGGGAATCTCGGTTTCTGGAGTAGGGCCCCATGTGTTGCCCAAGAGCACGACCGAGGCACCTGCGCCGGCACCGATGCCAAAGGTATAGGCCTGAGCGATGCTCAAGCGGCAGTTGTCGTCGCCGCCGCCATCGTCTCTCTTCTTGAGGGAGTCAACCTCGCCCAACGTGATGTTCGTGACGAATTCGGCAATGTTGGCGTAGATGCGGGCTTCTACGCCTGCGCCGACGTCGAGCTGCTTGACCGGGGAGAAATCGTGCAGGGTGATGCCGATGCGGGCTTCGAGGCGAAGGACTGCTTCGAGGACGACGTCGCCGCTTTGGATTGTGACGGGGAGGAATGCAAACTTGCCGCCATCGCTAGAAGTTTTGATTTAGCCCTCTTTGTTCAAAAGTGCGTGCGGTGCGTGTGTGTGTGTGTGTATATGTGTATGGGGAGATGAAGATGTATACAAACACTTACAAGTCTAGCCCCGAGGCCTCTTTACCAAACAGCTCGATCTGAGTTCGAACATTGTCAAAGTGAATGTGGAATCCGCTCTGGATATCGATCTGGGCGTTTACACTGAAGATGAGATCGACTGAGAAGACGGCACCTAGCAGCAGCCCGTTGCCAAGCGCTACACCGGCCAGCGTTTTAGACTGGTAGATGTTGAACGTGTACGTTATGCCGTCTGCTATGACGGTGTCAATCTCCATGTATATTTCCACGTCTGTGAGATTGACGTCCACATGGTACTCTGGGAGTTTCAAGTCGAGATTGAAGTCGATCTCTGGGGGAGGAAGCTCTTCAATATCATCAAGTGCTGTCATAATACTGGTGCCATTTTTTATATCATCCACGAAGGTGTCCGTGGCGTTCTTAGCATAGACTTCGATGTTGTTCAGTATGTTTTTGAAGCTGTCCTCTACCTGGTCTATGGTCGAGGTGACGTTGACTGAGCCTTTGGTTGTGACCTTTGCGCTAGCTTGGCCGGTGAAGTAGCATTTTGTGCATGTGATGGAGATGGTTGCATCGCTTGAAGAGTCGTCAAATGGGCTTATAAGTTTGTTATGTTAGCTTCCAACTCTTCTTTTTCTTGGCTGTTCCCTCTCTCTCTCTCTCTCTCTCTCTCTCTCTCTCTCTTTCTCGCTGAAAAGAACATTTTGAGCTTACTATTTGAAAATTGTCACGCCATCGAGACCGAGAGCAAAAGAAGTCGAATTGTCAAACAAGACGTTTGTGCCATTTCTCTTTACGCTGGCAAGCCGTCTCCGAACCTCATAGATGGTCTCATCAGAAGACCTTCCAGGCAGGTTCCTCACAACGAGAGCCGAAGACGCAACATGGGAAAACAATGTGTAGAAGAGAGTAAAGAAGAGTAATGATTTGTATGACATGGTGACTTCAATGTTTAGCCAGGCGTCACTCTCACTCTTAGTCAATTTCCATGTAATCCACTTAATTCATTTGGAAAACGTGGTTGAGCCGGCATTAACAATGCGGCGACATCGTGGATTTTAAAACAACCGCCGTCGCTTACTTCAAACCGTCCCCAAAGCGAACAATCGACCCGTCTTCAGCGCCAAGAAGGTGCTTCATGTTTTGCGCGACCGCGGATGCGGCTGAGGCCCAATTTTCATGCACGTAAGCCAGGTCTTCGGTTAGAGAAGCTGCACACATAGACCTGGACTGCGGCCCATTGCTCATTTTAGCGCTGTGAAAGGTCTTTTTTTATAGAAGAGAAAGCAGGGTGCAACCAACAACTCGTTACAGGCCTGCAGTAGAGGTTGCGCAGGGGTTTTCTGCGCTGTTGTCTGGGCGAGTCAGTGCTTAGGAAATAGAATCCCTGCAGTTCTCTATCTTCCCCATGCTGGAAATCCTTCGCGCGGAGAAGCGGATATGGCAGTAAGTATGCAGTATTAGATTATGGACCCTTCCCAGGTGTTTCATATAATGGTCTCATTATTGCTTCAGCCTCCGGCCGGCCGCATGAGCTGTCCAACAGTTCTAAATTCCAACCAACAACACATCTTGTTGACGATCTTTTGCGCTTTGGGTTCGACGAAGATTTCGCGGAGCAATTAGAGATGCCGTCGCACAGATATCACTCAATTGGAACCCTGGTCTTGTGAGACAGCCTCAATTGGGGTGTGCAGTATATACGTGGCTGTGTTGCTGGATTGCAATAAGGCGCACTTTTTCATGTGTAAGTGTTTCGAGTGGGTGCCCCACAAGAAGGATTTCTAGCTAATTCTCAGAACCTGCACGATATTTGCTGAAATGCATAAGTACTATAAATGAAGATAAAAATAAGATTGGGATTAATTTATTATATCCGTGCGGGTTTGGTTGCTAGAAAGTTGCCCAAGCCGGCGTGATACACATGTTTGTGCGCCCTACCAGTAGCTGTATCAAGTTAGATGCTTGCTCGTGCTGGAACCACAAGGCTAGAATCCTACCAGCCGGGGTAGATTTTGCGTCAAGCATAGTGTCTGGTGACTGCTTCTGGCATCCATTTCAGCTATCAAAGTTGTGGAGTGGGCCAAATAACGATAGGCGAATACATGTATAGAGGGATGTACATGTAAGCTTTTGGATTGCGAGTCGAATTGCAAGTATGAGTAGGTAGTTCCGACGGAAATGCCACGACTCTAGGATACATGTATCCGTCTGAGCCGTCTGATTCTTACAACCATCTTGCCATGCAGCGAATGATCATAAGCTGTATTTTTAGAGTCAACTCCGCAGACCTAGTAGCCATTCATGCAGTACCCTTGTTAACCGTTGTCATGTGTCGGGAAACTTCATCTTAGAGCGGGATTGGTCGGCCGACTGTTTGTAGCATAGTTAGAGCCCATATGTAAAGAGAACACAAGAGTTCAACAATGCCTGGTCTGCGCTCATCACATGGTCTACCCTATTGCAGATCTGTATTTAAGTTACAATTGGCACGCGTCATGATGTCCAAGCTAACGCCTTTTCATTAGCGATGTGTCAAGGATGCACTAGGCTATACGTTGCTGCTAGCCACATACATACTGTCAGATCGCTACTTCAGGTAAGCTATTGTATTTATAAAATCAAAACAGGTGCTGTTGTAAAAAAATAGCTCCATTATGGAATTATAAGTAACTATGCTATTATAAAAAGGTTGCCCCAGGTTTTGATAATTGTCTGCAGCACGGCCTGGACTCCGTTGCCCCCTGTGCTCGTAGCCTTGGAGCTTTTGCCAGAGATCTGATTACCCCATTGTATCTCCCAAGCCTGCAATTTATGATAAAAGGCAGTCTGGTTGTAGTTTGAATGCTTGGTTGTCGCAAGGTAGTCGATAAATTGTTCCCATCGTCCGAGGTAATAATCTCCAACTAATCCAGCCCACTGCTTCGATGCATAATCTTCAATTTGCCCAGTAGGCCCCCACAGAGTGACCTGGTTGCGGGCGTTGTACTCGAGGAAGCTCGTGTTTGACGGGTTGGTTGCGCGAGCGGCGTTAATCCAGGTTGAGAGTCGGAAATTCTCATTGGTAGCAAGAACTGCATCAAGAGTCTTCAGTAGAGCAGTGAGCTTAGATCCGCGAGATCTAATCTCACTGGCGCTTGCGGAGCTATTGTATGCCGTAACAAGGTCCTTGTAGAGGTCGTCGAAATTGTTGACGAGAACTTGACGGGTCCAGTCGACAAGATCGTACTGGTACGCGGGATTGCCAAACAGCTTCACATCTTCCAGGCCGGCCTTGAAGAGCTCTGCCCAGGCCTCAACCATGACAGCAGGATCGTATGTGATTGTGGTGCCATGGCGACCGACACGGCCAAGGAGACCGTTGATGTTGGGGATCAGCTCCAAGATTGACTTGGGAACAGCATTGACCTTTAAGTTTGTGTTATTAAACACGGTAGGACGGAGGAGCTCCCATCCGGTATACAAGCTCTTCACATTTTCCGTTCCATATCTGGCCGAGACCCAGTCATGGAAGTAAGTCTCGGTGTCGATGGGCTTAGAGCTCCAAGCTTGATCCAACAGCAGGTCATACATGATCTCATTACCCTCTTGGCCTTCCATGGTCAGACCAAATCCGACAAGAGAGCTTGAGTTTCGCACAGCTTGCATAGCGTTGATGGTCACGTTCTCGATTTGGCCGTATAAGCCCATGTTGCCACCATAGTCATGAAGCTCGCACCAGATCCAAGGCTTGCCGTAGAAAGAGTTGGTACGGAGCCACTGAGGAGCTGATTCAGCGAATAAGTCGAGAAGCAGCATGTCTGAATCTTCCGTGATACCACCCAAGAAAGCCTCAATGGCATCATTTGTCCAGAATGCACTGTCTGCGGAAAACAACCAGGCTTGCATCACCCAAATTGCGTCCGGCGAGGCAGATTTGAGGGCAGTCCAGGTGTTTTGACTGACATTTCGAAGGTAGCCCAAATCGCTAGAGAGTGGCTGGTTTTCGTTGAACTGATCAAGGGTCCAGAACTTTGTCACATTGCCATATAGTTCTTGCTGCTTGCCAATGAAGAGTTTTTGGAGTTGAGTAAAGTGCGGATCAAAGGGGTTGACATAGGTATCCGCACTGAAATCTTCTGCAAAATTTTCCCAGAGAGGGCTCGTGGAAAGAGAAATGCCCGGAAACACGCGAGAGATGTTACGTGGTACGAATCCTGGGAAAGCCGGCAGAATGGGCGTAATGCCGAGTTCCTTCATGCGATCCAGGATCTGGAGTTGCAAGGCGAACTGATCGTCTACCCAATTGTCAGGCATGTTGCCGTTCCAGGAACCCTGAATATTTCCAAAGTGATTCCATGCAAGGAAGGCAGGTCCGCTGATGAAGGAATTGATCTCTTCCTCGTTGAGGCCAATATCGGTAAAGACATCAATGAAAATCTTCTCGACACCGATCCAGGCAAGAGCCAGATTAACTCCGCGAAGCGCCATCCAGTCCAACTGCGTCTCCCAATCCTCCCATGACCAGAAGGCACTCGTATAAGAAGTCGTGACTGTGTGACGCTGTTAATTTTACATTACATTACAAAGAGTAATTGGCGCCCAAGAAGTCGAGCCTACCAGTATTCCAGTGATAGCGGTAAGGAACTACGCTGGTGCCTGTGAGAGGAGATTTGAGCCTTGGCAAGTTCCTCGGAGCTTGGTCCAACTGGCTTCCGATATACCACCAGATATCAACATTTGCCTCGCTGGACAGATACTTGTGAAGACTTGAAATTTCATTAGCACCACCCGACTGCTCAACTGCTTACTCCAAGGAGACTCACCCTGACAGCAAGGCACTCGTTGTGGTGCCCTCAATTCGAATCTTTCCATGCTTTGTTGAGGAGACCGTATAGCTATCATTGGTAAGAGGCGATGCATGTGATGACGGCTCAAGCGCAAATTCAAAGGAGTTTGCGTGGTTCGGAAGACGACGTTTGACAAGAGACTCGACTCCGGCCGTTGACGAGGTGCTGCTGGCCGCAACAGCGCCAATGGTCGAGAGCAGCCAGACACAGGTTTTGGAGGCACGCATGAAGGGCGGTCAAGCTGCTGGCCGTCCAAAGGGGGATGATTGTTGTCTCCGGAGAGGCTCGAGAGTCCGGGAGCCGGTGTGTCTGGAGAAACATGTTGACAGCTCAGGGACCAAGCTCTTATAGGAGCTTATTATGGGCATGGATGTCATCACCGCATGCAGCTAGCTGGTGTGTGGGGGTTGCTGGCTTTCTGGAAGCTTGAGCGGCGATGTAACAACCACGTGGGAACTTGAAGCTGTTGGCTAGACCAGGGTCGAGGAAAGCCGGCATGGCCAGGTTGCTGGAGGGACGGCATGTCATTGGCGAGGACCTGACAGACGGATGACAAGCCCGTGTCTTACTGTCAGTCAACAAGTGCCGCTGTCACTATCTGGGAGCCAATAGCGGAAAGACTGACGCCTCAACCCGAATCTGCGGTTCCAAGAGCCTGCCTAGACATGCAAGATAAAGTAGTGGTATTAGTGCATTTTTTAGCAATGTTACCTTTGCGCAGTTGATCAATGTCTTTGGCGGTCGGCGCCGGCCAGTCGATTGGTGTCATCTGCACGTATTATACTTAGTCCTATTACCTACTTATAGTACTCCCGTAGCTCTCCCCAGCATACTTGTGTAGCCAAGACGCTTGTCCATCTTCATAGTGGATTGCTGTAACGTTTCTACATAGTAGTTTGCTTTTAGGACCTCTAGTTCGCTGGCAACTCCACGTTTTCCAAGGTGCTTAGCTGCTTCGGGGTTAAAAGTGGCGTAAGAGTTTGCAATCGGTTCCTGGATCTGCGCGACTACACTCCCTACGGCAAAACGGGTTGAGAGTATGTAATATATATATTAGAGCAGCTAATAATAGGTAATTATGTGACCAGCTTACCCATTATCAATGAAGAGAACTGGATAAATCAAATAACATCCCCATCCCCGACCTCCGCATATATGACTCCAACTGTGGAGAGCCCTGTTATATTGGCATTTGTGGGGTAATAATACTGTAGAAGCTAGCAACCGTTTTCTATTTGACATGAATGTGCACTTTGGCATGGGAGGATCAGAATCACGCGTTCAATACATCTGTATTGCTGTTGCTGACACTCATATCTTGTACTGGCTCTTACAAGGGGCTATATTAACATTGAAGCTTATCTACAAGTATATCCTTGACCGACAGATCACCCCGCGGCGCGGCCTTGGCGGCAGTGTAAGTGTTACGACCGTGAGTGAGCTACTGTAGTAGCTGGCCTGTAGACACACAGGGAGATGACTTTGCGAACATCGGACAAAAGGATTAGACCATCGACATACAGTGGCTTGGTAATGCAGCATTATGAGCTTCTCTTTTAGCCTGTGGCAATTCCTCGTGTGCTACGGAGGCAATGACTGGTAGTGCATATCTGCGGTTGTAGTCTTTCATACGATTTGTGCATTAGCATGATGGTTGTTGCTGCGCGATGTACCCCGTTGATATGATCATCAGTTCATCAGTAGCTCTGGATGCTTCGAAACTACTAGTAGGTACCTGTTTGACTGATGGCAAGAAGAAAGATTAATAGCTCGCGGCAATTGTGGATCAAGGCCACATCTCTATGATACTCAAATGCCACCATGAAGAGGCACTCAAGGCAATGGCTCATACCACAATACAGTTGAAATAGATAGTCATCTACATCTCCGTGTGGTGCCAGTCATGCATCAAATGCGTTATTTCAACCTGGGAATGGCGAAAAATCTTTAGAAAGGAATGATATACCTTAGTACCCTACCAGCTCTATACTTGGCAGTAGCCCGCATCAAGCAAGATCATATATATATATATATATGTGTGTGTGTGTGTGTGTGTGTATGATGAATTAATCTAGCTTTTATTTTCATTTTCCTTTTTCAAGCAGCCATTATTAGATTGTCTCTACTCTCCTTCCATGTCCTGTGTCTGTGCGTTTATATCAAGTTATCCACCTCATCTATTAGCATTGATCATTATCGTGCCTGACCTGGCCTTTGCATCATCACATGGCACTCTCTTGCAAGCCGTTTTGCCTCATCAGTCAGGAAATCTTTCTCTTCGCTAACTTGCAACAGCGATCGTCTCCAAGCCTCCCAATGTTGTGCCATTGTCGCCTCAACCGAAAGCCGCTGCCCGGGCTGCCCTCCCACCACCGGCCTAGGCCAGTTCCTCACTTCATCTGGATCCAAATCTTTTAGCAGCCTTGCCCCGGCAACAGTAAGCCATGCGTGTATCTCGCCGATGACAACGTCAAGGCCTGGACGTCTCAAGCAGGCCAAATTCAACAGCTCATACCCCCAATTCTCCGTTACGCCGCCGAGTCCTCGAACGTATAGCGTGGCTTCGACCGTGCCGATTTCTGCATAACGCCGGCGCAGCTCAACTTTCTTGGTGTCGGGTAGCGGCTCTCCTATTACCTCCCAGCCATTGGGACCACGGGTATGGAGCCGATATAGGTCGCTCCACATGGGAAGAAGTCCCGGTAGAGCAGACCAGTTGATCTCTTCAGGCGCAATTCTCTTGATGGCTTCAAGGAGCTCCAGCAGCCTTTCTCGGTCGTTTTTCAATTCTACCAGGGCTTCGCAAAGCAATCCCATAAAGCGGTATAGTTCAGTAGGTGGTTTAATCTCGTTGACCAAATCTTCGGTTATGGACAGCGCAGCCTCCTCAGCCGTTATATTTCCTTCAAGATAGGCAATCAGATAATCCACGTCGTCTCTGTCATAGTCTTCGCCCTGCACAGTTGCTCCAATCGGAGCAGCATGAACCTTTAGCCATTCCGTCGGAGCCGGCATTTTGAAGCTTCGATGTCAAGACACGAGGCTAATGTGATGGGAACAAACGAAAGCGAGAGATGGAGAAGAAAGGTTAAAAGCCGGCAGTTGTGATGTCTCCTGGTTTCAGTGGTGACTGAGAGTTTCAGAGTTTCGCGCCACAGTTTGTGCCCTTATATTCAAGATTCTGTTGCAAATTGCCCCAAGGTTTGCGGGCTCGGGAATAACACGATGAAGAAACGATCCAAGTAAAGCTGCTCAGAAAAGCTCCTCAGAAAGGCGATCGCACCCACGTCAAACTGCTACCATGTCGTGTTGATCAGTTGGACTGCTCTACTGCCTACACGTATTATGCATGTGCATACACACACACGGTGCATATGTACATGTACGAAGCAAAGTGGCCTGTCTGTCTTGGAGGGGCTGCAAAGGATGCATGCCACCATGTACGGGCATTTTTTGTTCTTTATTTTATTTTCTCTATTTTTTTTCTTTTTTTTCTTTTTCTTAACAACAGACATGTGTATTGCATTACGCGACTGCGACTCTAGTGACGCATCGCACCCAGCGACGCCAATTCCAGCGGCGAATCCTGCGGCCAGCCACGTCACCCAGAGAAGCAGCATCGACGAGACGACGGTCTTTTGGACTGGCTCTGGACTGACTCGCGCTCGCAACAGCGGCGTGCTGGTACAGAGATACGAGAAACAGCTAGGCAGCGAGGTAAGCAATGGCCTCATAGGCGGCTCGCAGGTCGGTGTCCCTTACATGAAGCTACAAGTATGCCGCATGGATGATCAAACGGTCTATGGAGTATGGAGTACTGAATCCTTGCCAGGTAGTATCAGCGCGTAGGCGCCCTCTCGGCAGCTGTTGAGAGAGCGCCGGCACTCACACCTCCACTCACACGCATGAGACTGATTCGGCTAAGATACCAGCGCATTAGCAGCGGAGGGGGGGATGGAAAAGCGGTCGGGAGAGAGAAGAGTAGAGAAGAGACAAGCCAGCCAGAGCTCAGCTTGCTCTTTGAATACATGACTGAACCAGCACCGATTCACATACGCCACCATGCCATGCCATGTCATATCAAGTGAAGCAGAGCTCTTTGCCACACTGACTAAGTATTTCGGCTTTCTGTTCTCCCAGACACTTCGGCTCTTCCTGGCTCGTGACTACAATTCATGTACCCTATCAAGCAGCTCTGAAGCGGTCCTAGCCAGCATCCTATATTGAGCTAGGTACGCAGTTTCTATCGCCTGGAGCTACTCCAGCTTGTGTCTAGCGGTGCATGCGGCATCTTCGCTGTAGGAGCTCAAGATGCGATTGCGTACATTCGGAAGTGGTGGAAGGTAAAGTACATAATCTGATTTTGCCGTAATTACCTTCTGTTTCGAGATAGCAGACGGACAGTATGCATGTTGCGAGACACCTATGCAAAATACCCTTCATGACCCTCGCTTACCTATATCGCCTACTCCTTGCTAGCGCAGCTTCAAAACAAAGAACAACAAAATCTGCAGATCCTCCAAGGCCACCGCCCATCATCATTACCAAGTACCTACAGCGCGAGGCTTCTTGATGGTAAATCGAGGTGGGGGCGAGAGCGATCGGGTGATCTGCTCATAATTGTAAACCTTGTGAAATCGGTAGATCTGGTACCTAGTAGGTAATAGCAGCCCTACGAAGCGGAGCTATATTTACATGTATGTACATGTATTTAACTTATTGGTAGTGCCTATTACGGTTGAATTCTGGGTCTCAGAGCTCCATCTTTGGGCAATCGTATGGTGTGTACATTATTCGATCGCCAAGGAAGAGCCGCGATGGATGGATATTGTTTGCAGCTTTTTTTTCCTGCTAGGGGTGAGTTTAGATAATGGGCATAAAGGAGTAAGTTGAAAGCGGAGAAGAGAGTCTCTGAGGCCTAATATTCGTCGTTCCATTATATGCACTCTACGCATCGCCTCAGAAGCCCCTTCTGCACCTGAGCGTTGACAAAAGTATGAAAGGGAAGAGAACTTTCGTATAAAATAGACACTTGAAGGTAAAATTGCGGCACCTATAATCATAGATGAGGGCTAATTCCCCTGTGCATCATGCAGGGAATGCTCGACCGTTGATCGTATTATATGTAGCTTGTGCTGTGTCCTGTCCTATTAAGTTTGCATAGGCGCCTCCAGACATCACATGCACTCTTACTTTCTGCATACAGGTATTATATCGATGCTACTCCAGAGTCTGTCTCAGATTAGTGCAGTCGTACATACTAGTAGGTACTTTTACGTGCGGCGTGTACAATCTTAAGACACTCCCGGACTTGACATAATAAAAGAACATCAAAGTAACATATTTACTGCGACACACCGGGTTCATCAATTACATTTAGCTCGTCTAGCTGATGTGTATTAGATAGTACTTTGCTAGAATTAGCAGGTACATGTACTTTTAGCTACCTTATACGCGGTGCCCTGACGATCCACCATCTCATAGTTCCACAAGAACTCGACTTCCAAATACATCATACGGAGTAGCCCCAGATAGTAACCTCGCATGGATCCAATGCCGGATTGATTTTAAGTTCTTACCGCCATGTAAGACCTTTAAATCAATCTTCCTTTTCACATTTCAGCTGGTTCCCCGGGTTGTCCCGAGATCGCACTTTTGCCTCATTGAGCGCGTCACAGCCATGGCGTTGATACGTTATATGCTTGCCATGCTCGGCATCATGGCCTACACAGGCGTTTCCGCTATGCCTCCTACAGCAACCATCCCTGGAGTGCGTGTGACCTACCATGGCATCCACCGTAATGGTGTCGAGGTGTTCTTGAATATTCAATACGGGGAAGACACCGGTGGTAATTGGCGGTTCAAACCTCCTCGACCTCATATACCCGCCCCTGAAAGTACTGTTCAGGCAGATTCATATGGCCCGGCTTGTCCCCAGCCCCTGGGAAGCTTGAATGTGCCCTTATCCTTGACAAATATCACCAGTATTTCAGAAGACTGTTTAAACCTGAATATCGCCAGGCCGCAAGGAACAAAGGCCAATGCCCTTCTTCCTGTTATGGTATATATCCATGGCGGCAGCTTCTGGGCCGGCTCAAACAGCGAGATTACAACATCTCCAGACGGCCTGATCCTTGAATCGGTCAAGAACAAGCTTCCGGTCATACATGTCAGCATGAACTACCGCCTTGGGAGTGAGTCTTGGTTAGCATATTTGAAGCACACAGGCTGAGTTGGAGCTAACGGAGGAATTACCACTTGAAAACAGTTTTCGGATTCGCGCAGACCTCGGCACTTAGGGCAGAAGGATCTGAAAATGCTGGTTTGAGAGATCAACGCCTGGCCATGGAATGGGTTCGAGAAAATATCGCGTACTTTGGTGGAAACCCTGACAAAGTCACCATCTTTGGGCAATCTTCTGGAGGCATGTTGGCCGACCTTCCTCAGATATAGCACAAATGCGAATTCCCATACTAATATCTGCGCCAATATAGGTCTTGCTGTAGGCGCTCATATTTTGTCCTACGGCGGCACGAAACCTGTTCCCTTCCAGCGAGCCATCTGTCAGAGCCAGGCGATGGAGCCCGGAATCACAGCCAATTACACATTGGACGCCACGAGGGCCGTTGTCGACTTAGTTGGATGCAATAAAACCGATTTACACTCAGCTGAAACCGTTTCATGCCTTCGCGATCACGATATGCAAGCAGTGCTTGGCGCTACGATTGCGACTTATCGAACGGATGTGAATATTGGAGATATTTGGCTTCCTGCAGTGGACGGTGACTACATACCAGATCATCCCTCAACGCTTATTTATCACAAGAAATTCGCCCAGAATCTCGCCATTATGATGGGCTGGTGCCGCGACGATCTTACCCTCTTTACCAATACGAGCATCTCAACCGCCGATGATACTCGACATTTCATCACCAGATATTTACCAAATTTATCAACCGATCATCTCCATGCTCTTTTGTCGCTTTATCCTATAAAGGACTTTGACGCGAACAATAACCTTTCGAGAGAATTCTATCGCACCGCCAGGATATTTCGAGACATTCTCATGACGTGCCAGCCATACTCTTTTGCCAAATATCTCACCATCAATAAAAATAGCATCTATTTTTACGAATGGAACCAGACCATTTTGGATCCTATCCTGGAGCATCTTGGCCACCCGGCCGGCATGGGCACCGTTCACACGTCCGAATTCGCCTACATATTTGGCAACCTCTCGCACTACAACGTCAGCGGGCTCCCATTCAGCCCTTCGCCTTCTGATTACGAGCTCCAAGTTAGAGCCTCAAGGTCCTGGTCGACTTTTGCCAGCGTTGGGAAGCCGGGTCTGCCGGGCCGCAATACGTTTCAGGGATTCGCTCCAGCCTTTGAGAGGCAAGGACAGGTGAAGGTATTCATTGCCGGAGGACCAAATGAGGGCATTTCATACATAGAAGGGCCGCAAGCCAACCCGCTGTTTGCAATGGAGAAGTTGAGACAGCGATGTGAGTATTGGAGCGACATCGACGTGGTCAAGGAGCTTAAATTGTAGGAGATTTTTTTTTTTTCCCCTAGTAGACGACGTGTCGACTTACTTACCAAGGACTTATTTATATACAGCATAATCGAACTGATGCTTTTTGTCTTGTGATATTTACTAATTTATTTATTTATTTATTTATATATTTGTATACCTACTGTACATGCATTCGTTGTGCTTTTTTCCCCCCAATCATTTCCAGCCTACATTTACAATTCGCTCCAGTGTTCGGAATCCATCGTGGGCGTACCCTCTGGTAACATCCACCTTGTACTGCTTTCCGTCCACCTTGATGATGCCGTATCCCACATCGGTCCATGCCGCTCTAACACCATTAAACATATTCTTAAACGCACGGCCGATCCTCCGGAAAGGCATGGTGAGGAGATGCTCGGTGTCGAACTTCCACAGCGCTCTCTTGCGAGCCTCTTCTTCAAGCTGCTTTTCGATTCGTCTCAGCTCCGGTACATATTCGCTTGGAAGCGAGAATCGAGTTTTCAGCGCGACATTATCAAGTGGTGTCGTGATAACCTTGGGCTTCAGAATGGGAAGCATGCGCTTGACCTTGACTTCCAGCTGGGGCACAGCAGAGGCTATGCCTGGCCGAGCAGTAGTTTGGCCGGCCGCTTGAACTGGTGGCAGCACGCGGATGCTGCTAACAATGTTGGGAGTTTTGGAAAGAAGATAGAAGCCCATGGCTCCAAGCAGGGCATATGAGGCGCCAAGAGTATAGCCAACCCACACCGGGACGCCTTCTGGCTGCTGGACGGCAGTCGGGCCCGTCAGCACCGTCCAAGTGATGATGGTTAAACCGCTCGACCAGCATCCAAAGTAGAACCAAAAATGTGAAGGCGCCTCGTACAGCAGAGTTGGGGTGGGCTTGGAAGCCAAGCTCTTGACAAAGGCATATCGGCTGGGAGCCAGTGACGCTGAGGGGAGTGGAGAAGAACTCGGCTGGCTCGCTGTCGATTTCGGGGTGACATCTCTACGGAGCTGAGGCTGGGGTTTCGGCGCTGTAGATGCTCGCAGCCGAAGCGAAGTTGTAAAGAATCGGGACTGAGCGGAGGAGGAGACGTGTGGGAGAGCATTTCGTGGAGTCAAGGTGGCCCATGGGCAGTGGACGAGGCGAAAGCCTCTCGCGAAGCTCGCCATGCTAGAGTTGCAACAGTGAGTAGTTCTGTGCCGTCAACTTGGAAAGAAGAAGCTGCTTTTCTAAGGGCGGATCGGGTTCCAGTGTCATAAAGCGGCGGCCATCACTTGCAATTGCTGTTTTGGCGAACCTATCGCAGCATCATTCTCCAAGCAACCACTTACAGAGAATTATCAGTCGACCCCCAGTAATCGGCGTATCTATGCCCATGCGCTAAGATAAGCCGTTAGGCCGGTACCTAGTTTTGCTGTGGCTTCGGCATTGGCGCTGATGTCTTTGGGAAACACCAACGTTCGACGCTAGCTGTTGTGGATACAAGGTATGCGCCTTATATCCGGTGCATTGAGGCCTCAAGGTTGCAGCGCAGCACATTGAACAAGAGTAGGCATATCCAGTAGTCAGCCATAGAAGAGTCATCTCAAGAAACTTGATCGCCAAATTATGCTATAGATTCTTTTTTTCTCTCTCTTTTTTTCTTTTCGTAAATTGTAGACTCAGTCCGCTGCGCTGCCTGCATGCAGCAAGAACCTCCTAATCCTGCCCACATATATTTTTTGCGTGCATGGCACCCCACCAAAAAAAGTTGGTTGGTCTGTGCACGCTTTCCAGCAGGGCCGATTCCCAACAGCAAAGAAAGCTCTCATCTGTGGCCAGTAGAACACTGTTTCGCTCGAGCATCACCAACCAAACCCGCGTCTGCCTCTCTGCGCTCAATTGAGCTTCAATGGCTTCATTCGCGGCGGCGTGCCGCATCTCAGCCCGTCTCGCAGGCGGCCGGGCGACTTCTCGCGGTATGCATCCTGCCAGTTGCCGCGCGCAGCTCCCCACCAGGGCGTGGATGACGAGAGAATATACGTTTGAATATACGAGGAGAGAGTGTAGCTGACATGATTGGGCGCCTTGTACAGGTTTCACGACTTCTTCACGATGCCTCGCTGCCCAGAATTTCACCATGCCGGCCCTCTCCCCGACAATGACAGAGGGAAACATCGCTAGCTGGAAGGTCAAGGAGGGCGATGCCTTCAGCGCCGGCGACGTCTTACTCGAGATCGAAACGGACAAGGCCACGATGGACGTCGAAGCCCAGGATGACGGCATCATGATGAAAATCGTCTCTCAGGATGGCAGCAAAGGAGTCCAGGTGGGCACGCGCATTGCCGTCCTGGCCGATGCCGGAGATGATATCAGCGCTCTGGAGTTGCCCGCGGATGAGCAGCCCAAGACCAGTTCACAGCCCGCAGCAGCCCCAGCTTCGCAGAAGGAGGAGCCAAAGGCTGCTGGAAAGCCCGCCAAAAAACCTGAATCTGCTGCCAGCGGAACATACGAGCACAGCTACCCGCTGCTTCCTTCAGTTGGCCTTCTCGTGCATGAGCATGGCCTCAGCAAAGAGGACGTGAGCAAGATCAAGGGCACAGGACCCAGCGGAAGACTGCTGAAGGGCGACGTCCTGGCCTACATTGGTGCTATTAACGCCGACCGACCCGCCACTGTGTCCTCGCATCTGGCCAAGCTGGCTCATTTGGATTTGAGCAACATCAAGGTAGCTGAAAAGAAATCGGCTAAGGCCCCCGAAGCATCAGAGGCCAAGGCCCTCAAAGCTGCGCCCAAGCCGGAAAAGGTCCTTGTGGAGCTCCCCATCTCATTGGAAAACGTAGCCCAGCTGCAGAGACGGCTCCAGGATTCTGCTGATGTCTCTGTGTCAATAAACACATTCATCTCCAAAGCTACTGCATTTGCGAATGGCCGTCTGCCTGTCGTGCCCCGCCAGCCAACCACGAATGAGCTGTTTGACGAGGTTCTTGGTCTAGGCAAGGCCAAGGCCAACAAATACTCTCAGGGGTCATATGTTCCCACCATTCCTGACTTCTCATATGCGACCTCTCGGCGTACATCCGCTAAAAAATCCGACATTATTGACATCTTGACTGGCTCTGCCAAAAAGACCAGCTCTCCTTCAGCTCAACGGCCCGCCCCTAGGCCAGATGCTAGGCTCGTTGCCGACGACATTCACACCTTCAGTTTACTTGTACCCAAGGAAGAGAAAGCCAGGGCCGAGCTGTTTCTAGAGCGGTGCAAGCTCGCCCTGGAGGAAGTGCCTGAGACATTGCTATGATTTTGAAACCTGAAATGTAATTATAATTATCCCCCCCAAAACTAGACTTTCAATTATACTTAAACACTGCCTTCATTCTCACTTTATGTCTGCCTGTTTCATAAAACCTGGATTGTCTTTTTTTTTTTTTTTTTACTGCTTTGGATGGTCCCTGGGCAAGGCGAGTATGCGGCCATTGGTTAAGGGTGGTGTCTAATCTATGTGCATTCACAGCTTGCTTTCTCAAGTCTCTTAGTGGCCTCACTAGCCATTACAAGGTAACTTCAAGTCTGCTTGCCAACGAATGTATGATGTTATTGTGGGCGACTAATTTAATAATCATCCGCAGATACACGTATCAAGCTGCGTCCGAGACACGGCGTGTTGAGTGAAATTAGAAGCTTGCCGCGTCTTGCAGCCAAAATATGAACTCTGGTGTGAACCGGGATGCTCACCAATGTTGAGCAAGCGAGCAGACTATTTCGTGCTATGAGCGGCGTTATGCCCGACTTGCTCGGCTTTGGAAGCGAGAGTCGCACGCCGGAGCAATCACAGCAACGCAATCACTTGTCTCATGCATATTCTACTGCTACGTCTCATGGCCCCCAATTTACTCCTGTTGCCAATGCCCTTGTGTCTAAGACCCCAGTGTCCGCCTTATTTTCCAAGTCCGATTGAGAAGCAGCTGTCTCGTCCCAAGTTCCTTGACATTGTCTCACCAGCGGGAGATGGCGGAATAGTCTTCGGCCTGAACGAACGTTGCGCTTTCTAAATCCCGTTGTAGCACCGCCTTTCATGGCCTAGCGCCTTGCTGCAACCAAACCAAACCGTGTAATGGGTACATACAGCATCGCAGCCTCAGCTTTGATTCTTCCCTCTTCAAGCCGGCCACACCACACCACTCTTTTACCAAATGCAAGGGTGATCAGGCACGTGGACACTTGTCGCGATGTCGCATCTTGGAGACGTCGAATGGGACGCTCGGTATCCTGGCCGCCCATTTCCAAGCATGCCATAGCGCGGCAGCCAGACCTTCGTCTGTCTACACCGGCTGTAGCTTACTGCTCTGCCATTGGATACGAGGTGCCAGCGGGGTACACTCGGTGAGTGTGGCGTGGATGATATGCATCAGGTACGCAGTACGTGGCGCAAGGGATGCTCTTAGCCATCGGGCCTCTCAGCGTTTCAGCGGGCGCTAGTTACCGGTCTAGACTTGCGTTGTCATCGGTCCTCAACCTCGCCGGGCTTCATGGACATCGGTTTACATGCTGCTGCTGAGCCTACTGATGCGAGGGGGGCTCACTTGCATCAACCGCTTCTGCACAAGCACGTCGAGAAGCATGTGACTATGTCGCTGAAGTGTCTACGTTATGAACGCGGCAGGAAGAGCTAGACCATTCACGTCAAAAACACTTTACTGCGTCAGCTGCTGTGACCTTATGCTTGCCAAGTGGCACGAACCTTCTATGGGGCTCGCGTATATTGACTGGGTGGATATATACGGACCTTTGATGTTATTGAATGAGTGATTGCATGAGGCGAGAGAGAAAAAGTATGCTTGCTATTCGCGGCATGGAGCTGAGAGCCGTGAGACATTTATTACCACTTCGAACTTTGGGACCGAGTGCAGAACATCAGCACCTAAAAACACAGGCATTCTGCTTGCTGGCCGTCGCATCTTTTCGTCATTCTGACGCTTGGACACGCGTGGAATCGTAGACGGATCTTGTCTTATTTAAATATCCTGGTAATTTCATCTGCGGCTTGAAATCACTTTTAAGAGGTCGGACGATATGTTGTGTGCTCTGACTCTCATCCCCTCCTCTCAAGGAAAAAAATTTCGCTTCTCCTCACCCCTTGGAACCAACGGGTATACACGTCAGTTCCAACACGCACATACATGGAAAAATATGCACAAGGCTGCAATGCCCAACTATGCACTTTCATCGCATCGCCTCGTTAGACTGACAGCAAGCGCTCCACTTCTAAATGACCCGTCCACACCTGCGCTTGCACGAGCCCTCCCAGTATCTTTTCTAGATAGATACTGTAATGTTTCTATTGTTCCAAGTGGATTTTATAGAAATTCTCCGTGGGTTTCCATGATTTTGGCTTAGAGAGGCGGCATTGTTATACCATCCAGACCTCCTTTCGGTCTTCATGCCAAAGAGTCATACAGTGTTTTGCTCTTTGCTTCTCGTCTAGGCCGCATATACGGACCTCCTTGCATTTGCTACTCTCAACCACCGTCAGCAAGTGTACAAGGCCGTCTATTTTCTTAGCTTCTATGGTACTACATAGTTATGACTAGGTGTAAATTTGTCAAGCTAGAGCATATTAAAAAGAAGGGCCTTTTAGTTCATCCTTGGTTTGGGAGTCCGGGGGTGCACGCTATGCCCTTTCGACAAGTGTGCCTTGTACAATGTTTCTCCCATTATCTCGAGTGAGCAGAGGTTAAGGATGCTCCAAGGTTTGTCTGGTGTGTGTCACAGAATATATCCAGCGCTAACAACGGTCACAACAGCAGGCAGCTCAAATCTCCATCTCCTTATCATCCGCGATGTTTCAGTCGCCAATAGAACTTCCCGGAAGCGCTGCATTGATTAGACTGTCAGGATGATATGCAAGACAGCAGAGTCGCACTGTTCCATAGCCCCATACCGAATTAGGATACATTGAACTGATGCTATATAGCTGCAGAGCGGTCTGAGATGGTGAAGGAGCAGGTCTCCACCTCACGCGCGCGATCAATGCAAGCCCAACTGGGCTTCAAGCTCCTAACTCGGACAAAGTCATTAGCTGCCTATCAACAAGGGTCTGTTGCTTGGTGTCAAGTATTCACGGCGAGGCTCAGCTAAGAAACAGCTGGGGGCTAGGGGCTGAATTCATCCCTGACGCCACGATTTCCATATTTATGCTCTTTGCAGGACACATCATCAGCTCCTCCTCATATCCAATATCCAACACCATCAGCCTTTGAAGATGGAAGATCTCCGCTACGTCACCGATGGGCAGCGGCACTAATCTAACGCCCGACGCCAAGAGGACCTTTGGGACAACAAACAAACTTATGTTGGAACCATCAGGCGGATGCCCGGCCCTAGCACACCTTTACCAATCACTCGGGGCCATTTATCTCCTCAATAGCCCAATGGGGACTTGCCACAGACCACCAAACGGCATATGCTTGAAGCCAGGTAGTTTTGGGGTGTGTATTTGCTCCTGTCCCACCCACACGTCAGGCAAATAGTACACCGGTTCTCTTCTTTGCTAGCTCGATATTTCCCCAGGTGTCACAATCTTTTAAAGCTTTGTTACTGTCAGTCTGACATTACCTCCAGCTACCCCGTCAATCAAAAGCTGCTGTGTTGGCTGTGACTCTGCACCAAGGGGGGCCGTGTCGAAGCTCATCCCATGAACAAAGGCCTGTCTCATCAGCTGTCCTTCCCATCTGCATACTCCCGATCCAGGCTTACGGCCATATCAATCCGAAAGGTCTTTTTATTTTTATTTTGGCGGTCTACCACCAACACCGGTATATACCCTTGATCAGAGGGAGTAACGGGGCAATAACCTCCCATCATTGCATTGGGGAAGTTTGTGCCTTACCGCCACGTGGGCGAATCTAAACTCTCCCTGACTCTCTTGACGGAGAGTTCACACAACGCGGGGGCTAGGAACAAAACTTATAAGCACAGGATGACGGTAGACAAGCTGTCGTGGAAGCTTCGTGAATTGCTCTACAGTAGCTGGTGCGCCCGTTTTTAGTAACTATTACAAGAAAAGAACGATAGCCGGCTTCAAAGAAAGGTATCTATCGGATGCGCAGCACATCTCGCCCGTCATGACCCGACCACGAGTTCCGGACGACAAGAGACAGAGGACTGCGCGCGCTTGCGACTCTTGCAAGCGCCGAAAACAGAAAGTAAGTCTACAAATAATCAGTCATATTTCATTCATTTGGCCTCCGGACACTTGGACACTTGGACACTTGAACTTGTCATTTCTTTTTGTACGCTCCGATGCACACATACTCGCATACACATTCACATTCACATTCACATTCACATACACAAACACAAACACAAACACATACACAAAGAGAAGCAACCTGTATCGCGACTATATTCGCGCTATTACACATCACCACACCTCAATTTTCGACTATTGAATGTCGCGATATGCATGTCACCCCCAACATGCGTACAAACTCCGAGATACGAGCAGTTCATGCGAGAAACTACGAAAATCCCCTATCCTGGTTGCAGCGAAGTCCTCCAAGCGAAGCGAGACTTATGCGAGTGATGTGTTTGCTTTTTTTTTTTCCTTGCTGGCACAACATATGTACAGCCTGTATATATGTCTGTGCAATGTGACAGATCTTTTACATCCACGCTGGCTTAGAGGCTTGCGCCCGGCTATAACATGGCTGGAGCCGGCATAAGTGTGTTGGCAAGCGGACGCATTGCCCCTTTGGACTACCAAAGCGCCGATAATATATTAAAAAGCTAGGCGAGCTGCATGAAAACGGCTCTCGCTAAGGCTTTGCATGCAACTCTCAACATCTCGGTTATGTACGCTGCACGAGCTGATTTTTTTTTTTCTCTCCAAGTGTAATGGCCTCCATCCGTGCAACACGTGCATCAAGAGAAACTTGATATGCGACTATACAGACAGCCGAGGTCCTGCGAAGCTCATGTCCGTCCATGCGACGTCTCCCACAGGACAAAGCAATGCTTCCGACTCCGTGGACACTGTCGCTGCGACTCCCAGCCGCGAGGCTACCCTCGAAACATCTCCAAAGAGAGCCACCAAACAGGGAAAATATGTGCGACAGGCCAAACGAAGAAGCCGGGGCAAGGAAAACCGTTCTCCCAATGTCCACGAGGTTTGCTCCGTCAGCGAGGGCGATGAGAGCTCCCGCCAAAGCACAGGGTCGGAGACAGATGAGGAAGCCGAAGTAATCGGCCAGATCCGAATGCTGCAAGATCCCTTGAAAAGACTCCGTAAGTAAATGTGACATCTTTGTTGTTTCATGCTAAAGGATGAAAAGAAACTTGACTGACTGATATTACTTGTTGCCAGTTTACATTGGAGATTCATCCACCCTCTCTTATCTGCAGTTAATACGTATGATTGTTTATAACACTACCGGCCCATCGGCGTTTACGGACGACCCTAACCGGCATCATATCTTGGAACCCGCTGCATCAATCACTCCGAGTTCCATGGTTCCTTATATGCTACCGAATAGAGATGTAACGAATTTCTTAGTTGAGTCTTATTTTGTGAATGTAAGGCTCAGATGCTGCTTTTCCCCATACAACCCTTTGGTCTATATCTAATTCGCCGCAGACCAGTGCTCTCATCGAGCTGTTTGATCCCAAAGCGTTTTATCAATATCTAGATGCCTGTTATGAGACCCCGCTAGAGGTCAATTCATCAACGCTTTGTTTAGTTTATCTTACTTTGGCAATTGGCCTTGCTCTTGCAACACCCTCCCCGAACAGCCCTGAGGATCTGATGATTAAAAGTTTACAAGAATCCCCTGAAGAACGAGCGGAAGCTCTTTTCCGGGCCGCCAAATGCCTAAGCGATCCTCTCAACGCGGTTGAACATGCAGATTTCTGGATGATTCAAGCTTGGACGTTGATGGCCTTTTATATGTTGATTACGTCGAAACGTAATGCGGCTTATGCATACTGTGGTTAGTAGACTCCATTGAACGTGCACCAGTCATCTGTTATGTCCTAAAACTTAGTCTAGGAATGGCCGTTCGCTCTGCATATTCTCTGGGTTTGCATCGAGATACGGAGGTGAAATTTAATGACGAAATTGCAAGACGGAATCTCTGGAGAAGCCTTTTTGTGCTGGATAAATTCCTAGCCACGGCTCTTGGACGTCCATCTGCTATATTTGAAGAGGATTGTTCTAGCAATGCGCTGGATTTACCGGCAGATTTGTCGCCCAAATCAGCTCAAGACGAGGAACATATTAGGACAGCCGGCCTTGATTCATCCGTCCGAATCTACAAATCTATCAGTACAATGCTCAGGAAAGTTTATTCAGAGCGAAAGGTTTCAACGAAACTAGCCCAAGACATTGTTGATGACTGCCAGCTATGGGCTTTTAATGCACACCCGTCTTTAGCGGCCGAGGATCTTCTCAACGGCAAGGCACCCAAAGAGATGGGGATACCCATCTTACACGTCCAGTTACTTCATTATCACTCCATACTTCTGCTGAGCAGACCCTTTTTTATTGACCTTTTAGTAAAGACGCGCCCAACCATTTCAAATGATGGAGAGCCGTTTCATCGGACGTTCTCGAGGGCAGAAAAGTTTTCTCAAGCATGTGTGGCTGCATCAACTCATTCTGTGATGCTTATTCAGGCGGCATTTGAAGCAGAGTATTTGCCGCGATGTAACCCGTTTATCCTGTGAGTACCCCCTAATTAAAAAAAAAAAAAAAAAAAAAAAAAAAAAACCAACAGCAAGAAATTATTTTTTGTTTCCAAGTCATCATAATCCCTTGAAGGAAGGTTTCTAAAAAAAAAAAAAAAAAACGACAAAAAAAAAAAAAAAAAAAAAAAAAAAAAATCTTCCAGAGGACCAGTCGCTGAAGCTACATCTTAGATATTTCCTTTTTGCAGCGACCTTGATTATATTAAGTAATGAGTTTGCTGGTTTATATGAGAATGAACATTACGCAGAGTCCGTTGGGAGCGCCATCAAAATCATGGACTACTGCGCAACAACGAATGTTCAAGCTCAGCGAATGCTCTACATTTTACAGTCATTTTTGGCAGATGTCGGAAAGCATTCAAAGTCTCCGGCCACAAGCCAGCAATCTGAGCTCGGTTTGCCGGATGGCTATATTGGTGACCCGGAAGAAGTTTTGCATACTAGAAGACAGAGCCTCACCGCTCGACGCAACCAGCAGGAACTTTCTACCCCTATTGATGGAGGGTCATCGTCTGATGTTATGGAGTACTACTCCCATATGGAGACAGATGCCGGCCAATCAACTATTGATGCTCAGCATATGGCCAATCTGGCGATGAGAGGAGAGCGCTCAATGAGCTCTGCTACCAATCCAGCTGTGCCGAGGCGCTCAAACGTTTATCGTAGAGCAGAACTGGAGCTCGCAAAGGCTGATCTCAATTTTGACGAGTTTGACCACGATGCCTCCGCTGAGTACCAGCAAGACTTGGATTCAGACGAAATGAAGGCTTACTCACATGGTTATAGCTCAGTCATGATGTCTCACGGAGAACAACCTGCCTTCCAAGTCCACCATGGCGGTAACTTTAGGGCTTATACAACTTCCAACATGTCTTCAGCCGGCAGTCAAGAGGCCAGCGCAGCTCATTTTGGTGGGCGTTTTTTATACAATGATGATAAGTGATATCTTTTATTATTTATATATAGTTTTGAAGAGCTCGACAGCTCAGGGTATTAAGTTTAGACAAAGGGCGAGAGAAGACTTCCTTCTTCTCCATTTTACTATGTTTTTTTTTCCCTATATATTATTTTTTTTTCCCTCATATTCTTACAATTGTGTTTGCACTGGAAGATACCAGCTTGAAATTTCTATTTTACATTGATATTTGAAGCGTGCTGGAAGACTAGACTGGTTGTTTGACGGCATATGAAAGGTAGTAAAGATCTTTTTTTCTTTTTTTCTTTCTGTATTAGTTACTGTTCCGGGGGTTTTTCTTTTATCTTATTATTGTCTATCCTTTTTTATCTTTTCTTTTGTTTATAACGTTACAAGCATATCCAGTCATTTGTATTTAGACAGCAATTTTGTTCTATATCTACTTCTCTCTTTAGCTTCCTTGGTGAACAAACACAGCTTCTTTGTGCATTTAGCCCAGGTATACGCACAAAAACTATGTACATCTTCAATCAGAAATGCCAATACAGTAGTTGTTCAAAATACAAAGTCTACACTTTTCACCACGAGCTTGGACCAAAATGCTCTCCCTCTGCAACATGCGCCCGTATAGCTGTGCCCTGGTAATCCATCGTCGTGGTCACGACATCATTGCCCCACCATTTCGGAGGATCAATTCCCTGCATTGTAAGAGCAAAGAAGATGAACAGCGTGGCCAGCGCCAGGCCCAAGTCCAATCCAGACGACGTCAAGAAGTTTGAGCGGCTCCACCAGCGGAAGTAGCGCTTCTTGATCCAGAACTGGAAGACGAAGCCGACGATGCCCCAGGAGAAATAGTTGAGAGGAGTGGCGGGCGGGATGGCGCCGGGACCGCCAAAGAGGAGCGGGGCGATGAGATATTTGACTGGAGACTTTGGATTTCTCTTGGCGGCGTAGTAGATGATGATGGGGGTAATGGCGCCGAGGATGAAGAAGAGGAAGAGGCCGGAATAGATTTGGCCCGGTGAGAACATTCGTCCTGGACCGATAAGGCCCCAGATGACGGATGCTGAAAAGAGTGAAACAGAGTGAGTTAGATTCGCGATCTACATCTTGCCATCAAAGGGGTTTATTGCATACCAGAGTAAAAGACTCTCCCGCCCGGGCAAGTGAAGTGCTCAGCTTGCTGCTCGTCGCACACATCCGGGATGATATTCAGGGCCATATTGAGAACCAGCACTTGGATGATGCAAGAGTACGTCGTGGCAACAACCTGAGCCATGAACATTGTCCTGGGAGGTATCTTCATGTAATGGCCAAATTTGAGATCAGAAACGAAATTAAGCGCTTGAGACCTGGAAAAGGACATGAGTAGGCTGCTTTCGTGAAATAGAATGATAGCTGTGTTTTCACTCACATGGTAATGTAGCCGAATGTTTTGAAGCTAATCATGTACGTATACACCGTTAGCGACGATAATTTTTGTTAATGCAATGTCCGATTTGGTATAAACGTACAGCATAAGCGCAAGAGGCCGTCCCGGCTGGATGTAGCCGTACACAAACTCCGTAAGCACATTCAAGCCAATCTGGTTATTTGTCACAGCTTGGATAATGCCAATGGGCAAAGAGAAGCCGAAGGAGATGAAAACGGCCAATAAGAATGCCCACCAAGTGAGGTTGGTTGGGTACGCGAGCACGGTATAGAAGCCCAATGCCAGCATCTAATCAAAGTGCAATGATGTCAGCCGGTGCGGAATAGGATGGTTGCCTGTGCTAGTGGAAAAGTAACGGAGTGGGATCACTGACAATGGAGAAGAGGGTAAGGTACCACCACGTCGGTGCCTCTTTATACTTTCTCATCAACTTCATGTGAATATCTGGCTTTTCTGTAGTGCTATTCATGTATTGCTTCCATATGTATTTCCCGTGGTGGAGGTACGTATATACGACGAGAGAAGAGATGGCGGCGAATGACATGCCGTATGATATGGCAAAGGTGGTACTATTACTCGGTAAGTAATGGGATAAGGCAGCTCTTTGGGGCAGATTGATGTTACCTAATGAATAGCGGAGAGTATTTCTTGTAGGACTCCTCATTCAGAATAATGCCAGGGTCCACAATGCGGCTAATGTTGTATTTTGCTCCGGTGTTGTCGTATATGCTGGCGTCGCTCATGGGCAGGAATGAAGCATACCATGTCCCGGAGTAGTGAAGGAGAGCTGATAAGCCAATGTAGAATACTACGACACTAATCAATGTATTCGCAATCGCGTGCCTAGATCCTTGTCAGAGAAAAAGGTCAATCATACCGGACAATATTGCTTACCAAGGCGAAACAAGAGGAGACCCGATGTAACCCGATACCTGTGTCCAGTCAAAGGTGATGGGTATGATGGACAGACCAGTGTTTCCGCCAAATAGCTGGTTAATGACGGGGTTCTTGGGTGCCATCCACGTCGCAAAAGCGAAGACGCTCAGGAACTGTGCAAAAAATCCGGGGATGAAGTAGTAGAGGAAGGATGCCGCAGTGACGAGGCCAAACCAGGTGTATCTGGGCAGACGGCCTCCAAAGACGGACGGATCTATTTGGTCGCTCGTCTCATACATGGCGTTCATCATTGTGACGGAAGCCAGATTTGCAGGCCATATCATGGACGCGGGATACACTGCGAGTAAGAGTTAGCTACCATGCTATTGGTTTATATAAAACGGAACAAAGGGCATCAAACCTAGATATTTACGCATCACACCGGCAATTCCATATCCAAGAGATTGCGTGGATACAGTGAGCAAGATCTGGTATAGCAGTCCGAAATTTTGCTTATAGAAAACCAGCTGCGCCAAGATGATATCTGTTGAATAAGCAACAGAGAAGGATACAGACGCCATAACTCCTATAATTGCATGCTCCTTGCAGTTGAAAGGACCTGGGTTAAGATTCCACTTAATGCCAAAGAGGTCGAATTCCCGTGCTGGGACAATCTTGGCCCATCCATGACCAATTGGCCATGCAACAATCTGGGCGACAAGAGGCCCAATGGAGATGGCGGGCTGGCGCAGCGAAAAGATTGTGTTCATTGAAGCGCCAAAGATGACGAGGGTCAATCCAATTGTCCATGCCCGAACCGTATTGCAAGGCATTTCCTCGTCAAAGTTGTTCACAGCCGCTCGAACCTCTGGATACGGAGAATTTTCTTCCTCTTCCTGCTCATCATCTCTCTTGGACCCATTGTCTGACAAGCCGTCTTCAGCCTGTGAACGGCGGCGTGATTCATGCCCATCTGGCAGGTTTGGATCCATGAGAAGCTCGTATTCCGAGCCTTGGTCGTCATCGTCGGCGTCGTTCCGTGCGCCTGAATCCGGCCACTCAGAGATGGTTTCTCGCAGGTTCTCCATTAGACCAGTTGTTGGGCTCGACAGAGAATGGCGTGGGTGAAGCCCAGATTCGGTCTCACGGCCGCTCGCTTCAGCCATGTTGTCCATGACGCCGTGTTCCACAGCGTTGAGTGAAGTTGTGGCTGCAGCACTGAAGCTATGACAAAAGCGTCATATGAGTGGCCGACGCCAATGGATGGAAGAGCAAGCGCAAAATCAAGGGCGTATGTATATACGTAAGTGGATATAAGCCCCTTTTCTCTTTTTATTCCTTTCTTTCTCAGTTTGCAGCCTCCATCTTGGTGTATTTGGATCAAGGTGATGAGATGAGTTCCGAGATGCTCCAACCGCTGCTAAGCTTTGTTTAATTGAGGCCACGCGACAGGAGAGACAGTTTGCGACTCAGCACGTACAACGCACCGGCCACGTCGGCAATATCTCCGGAGTCAGGCTGAAGAAAATAAATAGCAATAGCGTGTCAGCACCAGTGTAAGAGCTCTTGATTGAGCGAAGAGAAATAACTATTTCATTGCAGGAAAAACAAAATTGCTTTCTGAGACGAGAGATGCGATGCTGAAGCAGTCCAAACGGTGAGCACTTGCCCATCGGTAAAAAGGGGTTTAGTGTGATGCCATGGCGCTAGCTGACAATAGGATGCTAAACCAATCTGGGCTGCTTTTCTTAGATCAGATCAGCTATCAATTAGTCTATTAGTCCAGCATTTGAATTCGGCATTTCTCATCAAGATCGACTTTGTATCATTCATTCATTACACAAGCAATTGGCCACTTGTTTGGAGGATTATACTCCATTTTCGGGTCTTGACTCAAGACAAACAGCTCTCTAGTTCCATCGTCTCTTGATATGGAAACATAAAAAATGCGCCGAGTTGTCGTGACGGGCCTGGGGGCCATCACGCCTCTCGGGCTCGGGATCCAGAGAACATGGACTCGCCTCATTGCCGGCGAATCAGGCATTGTCAGCGTTGCGCAGCGAGAGCCTCAAGAACGATGGAGAGAGCTGACATGCACTGTTGCCGGCGTCGTTCCGGGAGGGCCCGGCGGGAAATCCAACGGCTTATGGAAAGCCGACGACTGGCTCAGTGCCGCGGAGCAGCGTCGCATGTCCACCTTTACGCAGTATGCAGTTGCGGCCAGTGATATGGCCTTGAAGGATGCCGGATGGGAAGCATTGAGGCAAGAAGAGCAGGAGGCGACTGGGGTATGCCTGGGAAGCGGCATAGGAAATCTGGAAGAGATGTATGACACGAGCTTGGCTCACAGCAATGGGGTGAGTAAATCTAACTGGCATGGAGATTCATATTTTTATCATCTGACATGAAGATATCGCACTGTCCTTGAAACAGGGCTACAGAAAAGTTTCGCCACTTTTCGTGCCCAAGCTCTTGATCAATATGGCTGCAGGACACATCGCCATGAGGCACGGCTTCCAAGGTCCAAATCATGCAGCCACCACAGCGTGCACTACGGGAGCGCACTCCATCGGAGATGCAGCTCGTTTCATCGCACTGGGAGATGCTGATGTCATGGTTGCCGGCGGAGCAGAATCGTGCATCCATCCTCTTACCTTTGCTGGTTTCGGCAGAGCTCGCTCGCTGGCCACGGCGTACAATGACAAGCCACAGGCAGCATGTCGCCCATTCGATGCTGATCGAGACGGCTTCGTCATTGCCGAGGGAGCAGCAGTATGTGTGCTGGAGGAGCTCGAACACGCAAAGGCCAGGGGAGCCAACATCTATGCCGAAATCAGTGGGTATGGATGCAGCGGAGATGCGTACCACATGACGGCGCCGCGAGAGGATGGGCATGGTGCATATCTAGCCATGAAGAAGGCTTTGAAGAGCGCGGGCATTAAGCCGTCACAAGTCGACTACGTCAACGCACATGCTACAAGCACGCAGGTGGGAGACGCGGCCGAAGCCGCAGCCATAAAGCGCCTCATGCTCGGCGAGGAAGGTGTTTCGTCTGAGTCTCAAGTTACTGTGAGCAGCACCAAGGGCTCAATAGGACATTTGCTAGGTGCCGCAGGTGCTATTGAGGCCCTGTTTTGCATCTTGGCCATCCATGAGGTAAGTTCGAGTCCAAGTCCCATCTTCAGGTCATCTCAAGCAGCAATAAGCCATGTTCCCCGAGAAGAGAAGCTAATAAAGGTGGAATGAAGGGAATTGTGCCGGCTACGCTGAACCTGGAGCGGCAGAATGTAGGTGCCGACTTCAATTTTGTCCCACTAATATCTCAAGGAAAGGAAGTCAAGGTTGCGTTGAGCAATAGCTTTGGATTTGGCGGAACTAACAGCACCCTTGTGTTTTCCAAGCTTGAGTGAGTACATGGGTGGGACGACGTCCATATCCAGCATCACTTTGTACAATAATGTATATTAAACAGAGAAACGGATGGTTAGAATATACCATTAGTGACACACAATTCAATACTGAAAACAAGCCAAATCAAAAGATAATCGCACAGCCGTAATAAAGCAATAACATGTCATGGGATGGGCACCATCGACGAGAGCTTTATTTGAATCTGCCCCTCCATCATTGGACCCTGGATCTGATAACTCGGGCACAATCTAACGTGCGTGGGGCAGCCGAAGTTCAGCCGCTTGCGCCAAACCATCATCCGATCGCAGTCAATTTCTGCGCACAAGGAAATCTAGCGCGTCATGGAAGCTGTCCTGGCGATCTGAAAATTCGACACACGATCTGCCCGCCTAATTTTTTTGCCTTTTTCTCTTTTATTTACGGCTATTCCTCAGATACCCTTGAAGGAATTTCTGCCTGCCATATTCCTTTCTCACAATGGCCTGCGAAAGCTGTAGGTCCCAGGCCCGGACACTGCTTCGGGTCGCAAACCGCACCTCAGTACTATCCCGGTCCTCGGCCGCCGCGAGGTCGAATTTTTTGCCGCTGCTCAGTGCGCCTGTCCAGACGCCGCCGCCGTCACGGAGTTTCAGCAGCACGAGCTCGAAGAAGATTTTGGGAATCGGAAGCTCGATTGGAGAGTCGTACCGGGTCATTGGCGCCTCGGAGAGAATATTCAAGGCATGCTCCAAGGCAGCTGATTATCGCATCACCGAGGAGGAGCGCAAGAACGATCAAGTGGAGAGATTAGAGGATGGAGAAGAGATTGGCCGCTCTCTTGACGAGGGGAATATCTGGCACAACAGTATGTCTTTGCTTTGAATCCAATTCTACCATGGACAAAGAACCGTAGCTAACGTTTTCTCTCTCTCTCTCTCTCTCTCCCGAACAGCTTTCAAGCTCTCTCCTACCTTTAGCACCTGGTCGCATGTTACCATGCTTCACCTCTACCTCATCAACGCCCGCATACGGATGCTCGAGCGAGACGCTTACCGAAGCTGGCAGCAGCAGCTCATCGACCACTTCTTCTTCGAGTGCGAGAAGAAGATGCACATCGACCACAACATCACCTCCAGCGCTCTCCGACAGCGCTACCTCAAGGATATCTTTGTCCAATGGCGAGGCCTCCTGCTGGCATATGACGAGGGCCTCATCAAGGGCGATGCCGTATTAGCGAGTGCTGTGTGGAGGAATCTATTCAAGGGCGATCCCGAGGTTGATCCCCGAGCATTGGTGGCCATTGTTGGATGGATGAGGTCGGGCCTTGCATCACTGGAGGGTGCTTCCGATATGGCAATGTCCAATAGGGCTCTCGAAATCTTGGACAAGCCGGTGGATGTGTTCTGGACGAGACTTGAGGAGCCCTTCAAGAGAGAGCAGGGCAAGGAAAGCGCAGAGGAAAGCCAAGAAATCAAGGCTACCCCAGAATTGGCCAAGGCTGCTTAATTCATAAATGAAAAGAAGAAGAAGAAGAAGAAGAGAGAAGAGAAAAAAAGGAGAATCAAGAATCATGATGACGATGATGACCAAAACGGGCGATTGAGGGAATCTGTAAAATATGCAAAAACTGCGAGAAGCGAAGAAAAGTTCTGAAAGGCGTGTGGAGATATTCGAGGCAAACAAGTCCTCCGTATATGTGTATATAATAGTGCTCGGGTGTATGTTACAAGTGTATTGGTGTACGGATAGCTGCCGGCAAACGTGGAGGTTCGGCATCCCACCTCCCTGATAGACCTTTGATAGATGGAAAACAAGAACAAAACAAAAAAAAAATCAATTCCATATTCATACTCTCATGAATCAATCCTTCTTCTCCCACATCTGAAACTCGTACTTGACGCCAGCCTCCTCCTGTCCTCCCTCGTCAATCTCCTCGCCCGTCCACGCCTGCAGCTCCTCCTTCGATTTCCTCTCCCACCCTTCGGCCTTGCCACCCGTCAAGTCCAGCGGGAACCACGTATCGCACTCAAACTCGGAATCAATGCTCGTCAGCAGCACGCGCTTCGCCAACGGATGCGTCAGCGCCGCCTCGTAGATCTGCGCGCCTCCCATGACGAATACACGTGCCGCCGTGCCGCCGCCGTTGATCGAGCTTGCCTCTGCCGCATACCTCAGCGCCGCTTCTACGGAGGGGACCCGGACCTCGGCATCAGCTGGAGGCGGGGACGGTGGTGGGTTGGCCGGCGCGGAGCGAGTGATGACAATGTTGAGGCGGTTTTTGAGAGGCCTGAACTTGGGGGGGATGGAGTCCCAGGTTTTGCGGCCCATGATGACGGCGTTTTGGATGGGGGGCTAAATACTTGATTTAGTTTCATACATTCGCTTTAAAAAAAAATAAAAAAAAAAAAAAAAAAAAAGTCATGAGGACAATTAATGGAGAGGGTGAACAACGTGAATGAAGAATGGCCTTTGTCTTCTTTATGACGAGCTCGACGGGGATGAAATTTTTCTTTTCTTCCATTACCTGTGATGAAGTGGGAACTCGCGTCGTCACACGCGCAAAATACTGCATTTCTCTCTTGAGGCCTTTCCAGGGCATGGTGCCCTGGAAGCCAATGCCCATGCTGCGGGTCGCCGCGACAATGAGAGTGAGTTCGGGAGTTGTCATGGTGGGAAAAATGTGCTTGAATGTGTGTAGTTATGAGGTTGATTGTGAGTGAGTGAGTGGGTGGGTGAAAAACGGGTGTAAGTCGTTAGCTGCCGGTTAGCGCAGCTACATTTACTGAGCTCGACCTTCTCAAGTTTGAGCTGCAATCAACAAGCACTTGAAGAATGAAAACGTCTTGGAGTTTTGAGTTGATATACGCAACATGCTTAACTACCTATACTCTAAGTAAATTACATCTGGGTAACCATCATTCTTCCGGTCGTTCGCTCGCCATCAACCCATTCTCTCACAGCTTTGAAGGCGCTAAAACAGCAATATCCTGATGCGGAATGTCCAAAAACTTGTAAATGTGGTGAAATCTGAAGAACACGTCAGTAAAATTCAACTTTGTTACGTGTAATTGTTTTCTGTTCTTTCAATGGATGCACAGCACATTAATGTTCAAAAGGAAAAAAGAAAAAAAAAAAAAAAAAAAAAAAAAGAGCCGACAAAACTCACCGATCACTTCCAAAAAACGGCTCTGATTCTCCCTTTGCATTCGTCACCCAAAGCCAAGGCGCGCCAAAAGCCCCCAGATCAACAGCTCTCTTGGTAGTAGCCAAGAGAACATCCTTCATCTTACCGCGAGACTGCATAATCGTTTCGACCTCTTGTTCGGTAAAGAGCTTCTTGCTACCGCTTTGGCCTGGCTTCTCCGTTGCCCCTTGGAGCACGGCCCGAAGATTCTCTTCCGGAATGAGGTTAACGTTTGGGGGCGTCCAGAAGGCCATGAAGAGAGATTCAAAAGCAGCTAGAAAAGTAGCATTTGGATAATTGGCCTTGATGTAGTGCAGAGCGCGAAGTGGTGAGATGGTGTGAGAGACGGCCATGAGATCGGGAGGGCTCTGGATGTTGGAGAGGCCAATCCGCTCAGCCGCACGACGGGAGTCATACTTGAGGTACTTGGCCTTGGCCTCAACGGTCCATGGAGGTTTGTTGCCTAAGAGGTTGGTCAGCTTGAGCCGAAAAGGGGGAGGTGGCATGAGCATGAATAGTCGACTGGCATACCTGACAAGTGATTGATGCCACCCAGCAGCACGGGGTGAATCCTGATTTCAACGGAAGATGAGTACTTTGTCTGATATAACAGAACTCTTCCACACGGAATAGACCACATACTCTACTTCTATTCCATTGGCCGCCAGCTTATCCCGATTCTGCGCCAAGTCGGCGAAGGCAATGTAGCTAAAATAGGATGCTACCCTCCTCACACGTCTTCAGTCAGTCTCGACTACAACGGAAATGGGACACGGAAAAAAAAAAAAAACACAATCCACCCAAATGGGAGACGATACATCGAGCCCCAAAACTTACCAAGATCCAAGAAGCACTCAATCTTGGCGCCCATGATTAGTAGCTATAAATTATGCTTTTAAGCCCCTGGTCCGCCTTACAAGCAGCAAAATCGTTCGGATCGGCTACCCCAGATTTTCTTTTTATCTCCGGATTGCTTTGTCACTGAGATCAATCGCCCGCTGCAGGAAAGTGTGTCGATTGGCCGCAGCTTAGGCGCAGATGGCGTGATAACTATGATGACAAAATCCAACAAAAAAAAAAAAAAGAGAAGGGCAAGAGGAGGATGAATAAATAGGCATCCAAAGACAGGGCTTAAAATATTACCTACATGGATGTACTATACCGCCGATAAGCTTCAAAGTAGGTAGTCTATGCAGCGATTGTGCCTAGGTTGCAAGATGCCAGCGGCAATATTACAGCACTCTCCCCCTCAGCCCTTATCCCTCCCTGTCCATCCATAAGATTAGCGCTGCAACGGATGTCCTCCGGCTCCAAACCCGCCAAAAGCCACTATGCCTATCCCGCATAGCTCGCTATAAGCTTGCGGTCTTTCGCGGGGTTATAGGCCCTCCTAGGCGCCGATTCTGCGTATAAAAGCGCCGACATATTTGCGGGCCGAGGCATCGATTTCCATCCCCAGTGTTGAGTAATCAGAAATTGCTGCTCCGGGGGAGCCATCCACGCTCCACATCTCGGCAGCTTCCACCACTGCTGGAACTCGCAATCTGTAGATTTGGCGAATTGGATGGCGATGGGAGATGACATGTGCCTTGGGCGTGTTGAAGCTCCGGAGTCATCAGCCTTATAAGCCTGATGGCCCTTCGAGTCTCTCTGCCTTCTTCTCATTCATGACAACGTCCTGAAGCCAATTGATTGATTAAGATCACACTTTTGATAAGCATATCATCATCATCCTCCTCAGCAGCGTCATCACCGTCAGCAACGCCATCAACACCTCTCTATTGTAGCCTTTTATTCCTCTCCATTAGCTACACGTGAATAATTCAAGAACAAAGAAAAAATGGCCAACCAAAAGCCCGTAGCCCTCGTCGTGGGAGCTTCTCGCGGCATCGGCCGTCAGGTCGCCATCGATCTGGCCAAGAACGGCTATGCAGGTGAACCAGCATCCATTCATCTATACACCCTCTCCTCTATACTTAAAGAGAGAGAGAGAGATACACACTCATAAGAGAAACTTTCTTTGCTAATGTGTAAATCTACTTTCCAGTCGTCGTGGCCGCAAAGTCCATCACAGACCCCTCCAAGCTCACTGATAAGACACCCAATCCCAAGACCAGCGAGTCAACCGTCACCACCGTCGCCCGCGAAATCACCTCCGCCGGCGGCGATGCCACCCCCATCCAGGTCGACGTGCGATCCGAGGAGAGCGTGAATGCCCTCGTTGCCCAGACCATTGCCGTAAGTAATTGCAACATAGGCATATCAAGTCATGGCCACAAGACACACAAGACTCAACTACTCTCTCTCAGAAATACGGCCGCCTCGACGTCCTCGTCTACAACTCCGGCGCCATCTGGTGGGCCTCCGTCGCAAACACCCCCCTCAAGCGCTTCCAGCTCATGCAGCGCGTCAACCCAGAGGGCCTGTACGCCGTCGTCCAGGCTGCCCTGCCGCACCTCCGCCCTCACGGCCGCATCGTCGTCGTCAGCCCGCCCATCTACAGCCGCTTCTTCCGCGGCAAGACCGCTTATGCCATGGGCAAGGTCGGCATGAGCGTCCTGACAAAGGGCCTGGCCATCGACTTTGAGCGCGAGGGCCTCAAGGACATGGCCATTACGAGCATCTGGCCTGCAGTGGTGAGCGAGCTTTTCTTACCAAACAAACACAACTACATGATCCTTTATAAGATGACTAACACCAACTCGTCTTTAGGCCATTGAATCTGCCGCCACCGAGCAGTTCACCAAGAAAAACCCCGACGAAGAAAAGGACCTCCGCAAGCCCACCATCTTCTCCGATGCCATCCTGGGCATCCTGCGCTCCCCCGCCGCCAAAGTCAATGGCGAGCTGGTCCTCGATGAGGACTTCCTCCGTGAGCACTGCGGCGTCACCGACTTCTCAAAGTACAGCGTCATTCCGGGCTCGAACCCGCGCCGCATTATGCCCGCGAAGCTGCCTGACTTGACCGTTGCTGAGCAGGCCGACGAGGGGAAGAGGGTAGATAGCGGTACCAAATCTAAATTGTAATCCTGGATTTCACTCGTTTACTTATTAGCCTAGAGAGGATATTCAGGCATCTCTCAATTACCAAATGTGCTTAGACAGGCAAGGCCAATGGTAATAGATAATGAATACTGAGAGACTAAACGTGGCCAAGAAAAGTATGAAAGAAATACTGCTACCACTATTGTATAATAAATATATGCATCTAAATACACCAACACTTGCATTGGCGCACTCGTATACACTTCATCAACAACATCATACAAAATCAAGCTCCGAGGAAAGGCTCCAGTCATTACCTCATTGCAGCTCAAAATCATTGTTCATTGATATATAATATCCATAAGAGTATACATCTAATTCCTCATAGTAATCTCTCCTTCACTTATCGCAAAACAGAACAGGAAAGAGGGAAAAGGAAAAACAGAAACAGAACAATGCTCAGTTCCTTCAAACTCCGCAAAAAAAAAAAACATTAGGCACATTATATAAGGCCACTCCTTTTGGTTAGTGCCGGCTCCTCAGTCAACAGTCCGCCGGTCACCTCTGGTACTTTCTACTTCTTTTTTCTCATACACAAAAAAAGGGGGGGTGAGGGACAAAAAAAGAAATCAAGACTAAGGAAGTATAAGAAAAGAAAGAGACTTCCTCAAAAAGAGGGTTAAGAGAAAAAAAAAACAATCGCTTTGCCGTCCCGATCCATTATCCATAGTCAATCTTACAAAATTTCTTTCGGCGAAGTATACTCGCTCACTCCGCTGCTGCTGCAAGTGTCCTTATTCGCTCTGGTACTGCTGCCACTGCGAGGAGACGAAGGTATTGATATGAGGTTCTCGCTCTCCGGGGTATGTTGATCCTATGCGTCCATGTAATCCCGCTGCTGGCTCAGCGGACCCACGCCCTGCGTACTTTCGATATCGCTAACTGTCTGGTTAAACACCGACGTCACGTCCAGGAGCACCTTCAGCCGGTTCCATTCATGTCGGCTTCGCCATATCTGGTCCATCATCTCTCGGTTAACTTGTTCGAGCTGTTCAATGGTGCAGCCCGAAGTATTATCTGTCATCCGATGCAAAAAGCTCTCTAGCTGCTCTTTCACCGATAGCGGCTGAGAAGCCTGGGAAGCCTGCGGGCCTGAGTTGCGGGATGACGAGTGTTGCTCCTCCGGGCTTCCATCGTGTGAGGGCAAGCTAATCACCGATTTCGAACCCGCCGGGCTCTGATGTGTGTGTGAGCGGGGAGATGGCCGGTCTGTTAGCATAGGCGGAGAACTGTCGACATGCTGCTGTGCCCGAAGCTGTGTGGATTGCCAGATATCCTCGTTAGACGATAAGAGACTATTGTTTTGCCCGGTTGGCAGTGTGTCAGGGATATCAGTCTGCTCGTTAGGTTCAACACGGCGATTTTCGTCGTGGTTACCATTTGTATTTTGGCTCTGGCTCCAGTTGGATGAGCGATGGGTCGACAGATCCGATGTCTTTGTTGTGGAGGCTTCGTTAATTACAGCGGAAGGCGACATGCCAGGAGGTAGAGTAGTAACCACAGATCGCTGAGATACTTGCGTCCCTGCCAAGTTTCTCGAAGACACGTCCTGTGACTTTGGCGGCGGGCCCATGGGAGACGTCGTCTGGTGTTGGGATTGGGACTGGGATGCCAGTTGCGTAGTATCGTCATCGGTCCCACTCATATGTACATCGCCCTCTTTAATAGGGTTGGAGGTGGAGGTGCCGTTGCTCAGCTGATGCGCGTCTTGGCCGGCTTCGCCATGTCCATTAGACAAGGGGCTTCGTATTTGGAATCGAGCCATTGTACGAGCTCCTGGTACCGGCTCCCCGAGTGTAAGCGGACCTTGGGAATCGCTGTCATTGCCTCCGCCGAGATCTGACTGAACTCTCTCTAATACAGACTGCATGGCTATTCGCTTCCGCGCTTTCGCGGCTGCTTCCTTAGCTCGGTGCTGCTGGCGTTGGTAAAGCGCTTCCCAGTCAATATGGCCGGTGCTGTTTTCGATGCTGGCTACATCGACCTCGACGTTGCTAAGTAACTCATTGGCCTTGAGAGTACGCTCCTTATCACCAATATTCTTGGCATCTCTTGCCAAAGACTTGATATCAAACAGAAAGTCCTTGGGGCGAGCATAGAATCCGTTTGACAAACGCTCCTCAATGGTTGTGGTTTCGAGATTGTAATAGTACTTTCCGGATTCAAGGTGCATTAGCACTTCATTGCCATACTTGTCCTTGGCAATCTCAAAAGGTCTGTTCTCCCCCTCCGCTAGATCCGGCCGTACATAGTTCGGGTCCGCCTCCAGGAACAGATAGTCAATCTGGTTTTGTTGAATGACTGGCTGTCGGAACTTCTTATATCTACGGTTGATCTGATCCATAATGGGCTGTAGCTGAATTTTCAGAGCATTGAGGAGTTGGTGGTCCCTCTTCTTCTGGGCCTTCATCTCTTCTTTGGTGGGCGGTTTGGGAGGCGCTTGAGGTGCCACCGGGAGCTCCTCGAGAACTCTCTTCTTGCGGTTCTCCAGGTCCGGAAACTCGTGAGGATTCAGCTTCACGTAATCCAGAGTTCTCGCAAAATATTCCATGCGATTAGCCTGCTTTGTTGTTAGCGTCTCTCGATCACACTATTCGTAGCACTGCGTCTCATCTTACCTTTTCAGGCCTTTGAATCTCCATCTGGTTTTTACTAGAGTAGCCAAAAAAGTCCTGAATCAATTCCCTTGGGAGATGCTTCTTCTCGCAATCCGCGGTAGCAAAGAGGAGTATAGGATCTGTCGGAGGGATGGATTTCAACATCATGCGAAAGGTAACGAGTGCCATCGTCCCAGTCAGCGCCGCGTACCAGGTGTCGATGTTTGGTATGTAGATGACACTTGGTTTATGGCGCCTCACTTCGGTGAAAAGGCCAACAATCACTTGCTCCATCGGCTATTAAATCAGTTAGCAATTGTAGTATTTTGTGTGGGGTTAATCATTCGACGAGAATTTGGTGTCGAGGATGGCCGGGGAGGAATCAATCACTTACTCGAACGTCACTGAGCAAGCTGGGGAGATCAAAGTTTTGAACGTGGAGTCCCTCAAAGTAATGGAGAATTGCAGATGAAATGTAGCCTTGGCCCATACCATGAGCACCTGAGATAAGGAATCTGGGCCGGAAGACTCGAGAGCGTTCGAACTCTTGGCTCAGGGCCTCGCGGCCAAAACCATGATCCTTATCCTCGTATTGCTCGTACATGGCTTCTTCCAATGCAGTCGTCTTCTTTTTTCGGGGCAGCAGCCGATCAAGCGCTCGCTTAGCTTCGTCAAACTGATCACGCAGCAGAGGCTTAATAGAGGCTGGGAGTGGGCGTGCTCCAGATGTCGCAGATCGCTCCGACGAAGGTATCATCTTCTTGATAGAAATCATGAAATCAGAAGCATGAACCGAAATCCTGGCCGGATCAACAAGCAGCTTCTCTTTGGATGAGTAGATCTGTGGGTAGGTTCGCTGGATAGCATTGAGAGAAGCCTCGGTGCAGAGGGCTCTCAGGTCAGCACCGCCATAGCCCTTTGTGCTCTCTGCCAGCGACTGCATGAAATCATTCGACAGGCCCCAGTCTTGCGTGTGAATATTGAGGATGGACCGACGCCCTTCAATGTCAGGCAAGGGAAAGTAAAACTCTCTGTCAAATCGGCCCGGTCGTCGAAGGGCAGGGTCAATGTTGTCTGGCCGATTGGTGGCGCCAATGACGATGACCTGTCCACGTCCATCCATGCCATCCATCAGAGCCAACAGCGTCGAGACGATGGAGGCGTGAATCTGTTCTTGTTTGCTCGATCTAACCGGCGCCAATCCATCAATCTCATCAAAAAAGATGATGCTAGGCTGGGTTTTTCTCGCCTCTTCGAAAAGCAAACGAAGCTGTTTTTCAGCCTCGCCAACCCACTTGCTGAGCGCATCAGCACCTTTGCGCATGTAAAAGGATATCTTTTTACCGCCAGAGCCGACAGAGTTGGCAAGAGCACGAGCAAGCAGCGTTTTGCCAGTTCCCGGTGGGCCGTGGAACAGCACTCCGCGAGGCGGCGTAACATGGAATCTCGTAAAGAGCTCAGGATACAGCAAAGGAAGCTGAACCATCTCTTTTAGCTGATCAATATGGCCTTGCAAACCACCAACCTTGCTGAAATCCACATTCAGATCCACGCCCAGAGGATCGGCATCCGCCAGTGCCTTGCGGTCTTTGATCTTGCCAACGTTAGGAGTGGCCCCGACACCGTCAACGCCCAGGCCCTGGCCGCCAGATACAAGGCCGCCAGCTGGAGCAGCAGATGTCGGTGTCATGCCTACATTTCCGGCAGCATTGGAGCGATGCATCATCTCATCATCACTACTATCGGAATCCACACCACCAGTGGCACCAGTACCCCATGGGCCGGCCAGCAACGATCCGACTTCGCCGCCGCCACCAAAGGGGCCGTATGTAGTGTTTAGATTCCTATCCCAGCCAGCGCTGGCGCCACCTCTACGGCGATTGCGAGCAGGCGTAGGAGCCGGATCCTCTGCTTCATCTTCAATGTTGGCAGCTGTTAAGGGGGGCATATAATAGTTGACCCGAGGCCGCGGTCGACGGGAGCTCCCTTGGTACACAATGGGAGATTCTGTTCGAGCCTTGCGATGTGGCCTTGCTGACCGTCTCAGCTCCCGAGCTTCTTCATTGAGTTCGTCCATGTCGAAATCGGGCTCGTCGTCAGCGGAAGAATTTCTACGGCGTGAGGTGCGGCCTCTCGATCGGGTCTGTCTTCCACGAGGAGTTGGACTCTCCATGGCATCGTCCTTCCCTTTCCGTTCCTTATCAGAAACTTCAGCGTCATCGGAGTCATCACCTGGCTCAAAGTCACTGCTAGGTTCTTGAGTAGATTTTTTGGTGCCCCTCGTCAGCCGGCCGGACCGGCGGATACCACCAGCTTCCGGTGTAGCTGCCGCCTCGGCCTCAGCATCGACGGCCTCGGTAGTCTCAACAGCATTTTCTGTGGAAGCAGCAGCGCGAGTACTCCTTGTCCTCCGAGTAGTAGGTATGTCATCGTCGTCATCGTCGTCGTCTTCGGCCTCATCCAGTTTTGTGGCAGCGATCTCATCGACAGGGGCCTCTTCTCCTTCCTGGCCCTCGTCAAATTCCTTAGCAGCATCTGGCATGTCAGAATCAATCTCTTCATGTTTCCTTTTAGCCGGTGAACTTTGCGAGAGCTCATCGGGAGCATTAGCATCGTTTACATTTCGGAAGCTGCTGCTGCCTTCATTAGAGGCCTCTTGGATTGGCTCAGGGGCCGTCTTGACGCCCTTCATGCCACGAGTAGCCCTGCCACTCCGTGTGACTCCTTCGGGGCTCTTGCTTCGCGAGTTTCGAGATAGGATAGCGTGTCGACCAGAAGTAGATAGCTCCATGAAGTCTTCCGCATCTTCAGTGTTTGCCCTGGTCCGGCGTGTCTGGGCTAACGCTGGACCAGGGACCTTGAGCTTGACCAGCCTCCTCGGTTCAGACTCAGACTTGGTAGGCTTGCCAGGCTTGAGAGGAATATCATCGAGCTCATTAAGCTCCTCATCTTCCTCTTTTTCTTCCAAATCATCATCCTCTTCGCTGCTTTCTTTGTAGTTTTGCTGTTTGACTGCTACCTTTCTAGCTTTTCGCCCAGCGGCATTCCTGGGGGCATCTTCATCCTCCGACTCCTCAGTCGCTTCGACAAACGAGTCTTCGTCACTGTCGGAGAGCTCGTCTTCATCTTCATCAATGTCAGAGCCACGGTAGCGGTTGGTCCGTTTTTGGCCCGATTTGGCACCTTTGGATTGGCGGGTTTTCTTGGAGCTTCGACTCGGCTTTGCCTCTGTCGGATCGAAGTTTTCGTCCTCGGGGTCGGATTTATTAGGGTCGAAATCCTCCAAAAAGTTTCTCTTCCTCTTGCTGCTAACCATTTTATCGCACTCTGTAGATTTTATTCGGTGGTATTTAGAACAATTAAACGACAGGCAACGACAAATAGACTGCGTATGTTCGGATGGGTATTATTCGGGTCTACAACTCAAAATATCAAGTATTAGCTGATGGTCAATTTCATTCTGGGCTGCATTGGCAACATAGTCCAGCCCATTCATGTCTTGACAGCTTGAAAGACTTGCCTAGGCCATGGACAGCACCGCACGCTCGTAATCTAAAGCGTGCATGGAATCGCGCAATGACACACCCACTCTAGACAAAACCCGGCGTCGACAGCTGGCCAAGGAAGATTCGCACCGCAAATTTGACCGGATTCTGCACTCAAAAGATGTCGCGTTGATAAGATGCACCGAGATGGGGCTCCGGGCTGGCAAGACAGAAATGCAGCGATGGTCGCAAATCGAGCTGGACGACGAGACTTCGCGCGTCGCGAGAGCTAGCAGCAGTGTTAGCGCTGAGGAAAACTGGAGGTTGCCTCCTCACGTGCAGCCACTGCGGCGCGAGCCAAGCCGAGAGTGGCCCGAGCTTTTTTTCTCTCTGCCCTTCCGGCACCTATTCTAGGGATCCAACTTCTCCAATCCAGGGGCCCGCTATTAATATCCAGGCCACAAAAAGCGGCCCATGAATGACGATGTGCAACCAGGGCTTCAAATAAGCTGTCAATATGGCGTCAAAGAGCCCATTTACGCGGTTGAGATTACCTTTACAACGTGAATGAAGAGTGATTCAATTGTTAAACACGACGTTTTCCTTGCACAGGCGTACCGCCAGCAGCATTTTGGCAACGTCGCCGACCAGCAAACAGACGATGCCCGAGACCATGTCCATCAAGGTGCTGCCGCGTCGTCCACGTTCGCATCGCGTTTTTGACACTTTAATTTCCAGCTTCCCCAGATTCTTCAGATCTGTCCCTGGCACTGATGCCCTGATGCGGCTCAAGCATTCTAGGCTTGCCGTAGGGCTGATGAAGAACTGCTACCACCGCCGCCACTACTGGCCATCTGGACCCCACGTCTAAAAGTCATGTGGCCAGGCGCCCATCGTGGAACTCAACAGTTGATGCCTTGGTGCCTGATTCTGCATGTCCTCCTGAGCGGCTCCAGGGTAGGTGACGGCGTCTCCTACAGCGCTGAAAAGCCCTGGTAGAGGACACATTTGTAGGTACCTACTAGACTACTAGAATTACTAGTAGGCAGGTTAGCAGCTGCAGACAGAGTCCAGCATTACTACCTGCATGTTCCTGTCCTGTGCCTGTAGGACTTCTCACGCTTGAAATGAGCTAACTTGCAGCCAGTCCTGGATTTGCAGCATCTGAGCCTGTTTTCTGATCCTCTCCCCTGCATCACATTCAAGGTTCTGATGACAGGCAACACAGGCTGGTTCGCTTGCTGCATAGGAAAAGTGGAAAATGTCTTTCTTTTCCCTTTCTCTTCCTAAGGCGTGACTCATATTTTGGTCCAGTATGACTGCATTCTCAGCGACCAAGAAGCGTTGCCTGAAAGTCATTGGCTCGCCCAAGGCTCAGCTCATGCCACCATGACCGCTATCACTACTCCAGCAGCAGCCCATGCTACGACCAGAGTGGTAGGAAAAGGGGCGCCTTGGCGTCGTCCCCGTCGACTACCTGGCCCATTCCATCGCTCGATGTTCTAGGCCACACTAACCGCTACTTTTGGCCCCCGAGCTGACACGCCAGAACTTGGCTACCGAGTGCTTGGCCGACAGCCGTCCCGCGTTACGGAGCTGGACAGAGCATAGAGTTTGCTGCTCGCTTGAAATACGATGAATACTGCTACCATTGCTCGGTAGCGTTGGCTAGGCTGCCGGAAGGGCCCGTCTGGACATAACACTACTAGTATATCCGTCCCACTACAACTAGCAATACTAACTCACAACAGGTGCTACTCGTATACCGGCTTAGTAGAAGCTCGAGAGTATGTCTTGCTATGTTGTCTTCCATGGTACGGCAACTATTGGAGCCCTGGATCCCAGCAAACAAGAACAAAGGGGCTCGTTACGTTGGGAAGAGCCCGTCCAAGCTTCATCACCAGATACCGACTGCTCACTCTCTGTGGAACCACATGCGAGTACTTCCACTTACCTGTTTATACATAGATGCCCTGTCGTCATTCAAAGGACCGATCGACACTAGCAATAAAGGCATCAGGTTCGAGCGTCAAGCCAAGTGGCCCCCGCCATGACGCCAGCCGGGCAACCAACGCCTCCAATTGAGGCCGGCCGAGAGCGAGACCCTTTTGCGACTGACTCTGCTGGCTCCCGTCACAGGCCTGGCCCCGGGGATGCGTCCCTGCTGCCTTATCTGCTGCTCGCCGACTTCAGGCTAGCCTCCTCAGCGATGGCCAGCCGAAACAGGCGTGATTGGCCCAGGCGTACAGGCAGTCTGCGTGCTTTACCGACAACCTGGGCTCCTGATGGCCCTCCACGCGACTGGAATGCCGCCCTGGTAGTCGCACTACAGATAGTCTTGGCCGTCTGCATCTGCGGCCTGACACGGATTCGGTCAGCCGCCACATCGAGGCCGTCAGTTATGCATCCATCCCTAACAAAGGATAATAATAATATTAAAAAAATAAAATAAACACGAACTAGGTCACTCCCTCGTCGCACCCCGTAAAGGCTCTTGGTATTTAATTTTCCCGCCGACCCATTTTCTCCTTCTCTCTCTTTTCCCATCACGTAGTTTTCCCCTGCGTAGCAATCGATGTCTTGACTACACGTCGACTCTGCTCTCACGTTCTCCCTTTTCCTACGCACCCGGCGTGCAGAACCTCAGCTGCCTTGACGGCACGGGTCAGTCCTATCTTTTTATTACGACGACAAGCTATCAAGAAGCAAGCCTTCTCTCGCGCTGGACAAACCTCGGGCCTACAATAGAACACACTAGACGTACCTCTTGTATCGAATAACGAGAATAATACCAAACCGACATTCGCTATGACTCGCTCATCCAGAGCTTATCCTCCCTCGCTGGAGCTGGACACTTCCTTCAGCGGCATGGGCGCCTCCGAACACTCTCCTGATTCCTTTGACTCGCCGTTATTCTCCCCAACAAAGGTACGCAGTTTTAGCACATGCAGCCATTATGATTGCGAATGCGAGCAGCTTCTAACCAGAGCCACCAAAAAACAGAGAGTAGGCACGAGCTCTACAAACCCTGTATCAATCACCTCGCCCCAGCGCAGGACATCATTTGGATTCATCAAGTCCTCGCCCACCGTCAACGTCCACACGACCTGTGGCCGCCATACCGACCAGCTGCTCTTTGGAGGACCCTCACTATCGGGCCTTGCCCGTGCTCTCCTTGGAAGGAAGAAGAAGAGGCCGACAGACAGCTGAACCTTCAAAGCCGGCGGGGCACTTTTCATGTGAAAATGACCAGTGCGCGCCAGCCTAACCTATATATACTTTTACTTTTTTTTCTTCTTCCACCCTTTCTTTTTTTACCCCTTCTACCTTTTCTATTATTATCACGACTTACAGTGCTGGCTGGATCGGTGCAACACCTAGTACGTTATGCGGAGTACGATATGGCTTAATGATACGACTATTACTGTTACGAGCGTTACTATTGTTACTGCAACTATCATCATAATACTTGGCGCAAATGGGGGAATGTGATAAAATAAAAAGACACGTCTTATTTGTGGCTTGCTATTTATATCTTAGATAACTACTATAATAATGCCACCTCCTTTTTTTTTTTTTTTTTTTTTTAACGAAACCATACGGGATCATCGACGTGGCTGCTTACGAGTTTCACACCCTCATCGCCAATTATAGCAAAGTTTATCTTTCGGCAACTAACTTGATCACCAGATTCGTACGTGGCCTTTGGTGTCCCTGTCATAAGATGATCGTAGCACAGTGAGGCGTGACTTTTTTTCCCCCCATATCCAATGGAAATCATAAAAAAGATTAAAAAATAAAAATGAAATGCTGTTTTATCATATTGATCTATCATTCGGCCATGCTGACCTCCATGTATTATCGGTGAACCCGGGCATCTCTCAATATGCTCTATAACACGTACGTACCTGCATCATACAAAGAAACATATGAAAATTGATACCCAAAACACTCTAGGGCATCCCCTCCACACCCCTTTCCTCTCTCGAACCAGACACAGTGGGCTCTGACTAGCAGTAGTAATATGTACCTCGTACTTCGCATTGCAACCCAAGGTCTCCCTGCTCAGTAGAAAGAATAACAAAAAGCCAAAGAACATTCTATCCCCATTGCTCACCGTCTCTCAGGTCTCACGAGTATCCTTGCGCGTCCACACGCGGGCTCGGATAGGTATCCTTACTCGTGGCCGCATATCTCTTGGAGAACTGGTCCAGCAGCGTGATAATCCACCGCTGTGCTTCCGCATTGGCAAACTCATACACTATTCTTAACGAGTAGCCAAGGCGGAAAGGCCCCATGGTGCCTCTTCCTACCGACTCGATGGAGCGCAGGATGTTATGCACGAGCTCCTTTTGGGACTCTTGGTAGTCCACCGGCCACTGGCATCTAACCAGCAGGTCTTGCAGAATTAACATGCTGGCCCAATATCCCATGTACATCGACCCAAGCCATCCTATCGGATGTTCCAGGATCACCTGGTACGGCGAATTCGGGTCCTGCGACGGAATTTCCTTCAGCTCGACACCAATTTTCTTGAAATCCTCATACCACTCGACAAACCGCTCGCGCGTTTTAGCTGCGAGTTCGGCAACTTGCTTTATACGCCGTGGACTAACTTGCCTGCCAGCCATAAGAGCCTCGCGGACGGGATAACCCCACCACATTACCTCTGGCATCTCTGCCAGACATAGGAAAAACGAATTAGTTACTTGCATCGAGAACTCTGGTGCATCCGGATTCAAAAACCGTCGTGTGTCGCCACAGAGCGCTCCTCTCCATTCTGGACGGGCTAGGAAGCATTTGCTGCTAGTCGGGAAGAACAGCGAGCTCATGATCTGGAACAGGGAGAGAGCGGAAAAGGATGTCAGCTTTTGCAAATTCTATGCAGGGTATCGGAGTGTGAGCAATTCCCCCCTAGTTTGGTGGCAGCTGCATGCCGTCCCTCAGCTCGAGGACTCCGCGGCAGCCGGAGCTCGATTGTTCGAGGGTAGTGGCTCGGAAGACGCAGGAACAGAACAAATTGGTGCTCAAGAGAGGAAAAGCCTCCACAACCAAAACACCAATAGCACCAAAGCAAAGGAGAAAAACAAACTGAGTAGGTAAAGCGGGAGAGGATGCTTACCAGGATGCCTCGGAAAGTAAACAGTATGGCGGCGTCGTTGCCCTGCGTATGAGCTGCAGGACCACGTTGCTCCATCAGCGTAGCGATTCCTTGGGCGTGCCGCAACCAGGTGTCTGGAGCAGTCGTACCCGCAAACAGCTTTGATTTTATCCTGTCAGCCAAGGCTCGGGTAGACACTTTTTAGAGAAGTTGGATTGAAGCTTAATGCTTTCTCTCATCATATATGAACTCTCTCTCCGCAATATCTCTTACTTACCTCAAAGAAACACAGCATGACGGCAGAAGAGAAGGTCTCAGATGACTTCCATTTTACAGGATGCCTCAAGGCCGCCTGAAGAGCACCCAGAGACCATCCATAAACAGTCCTACTCCGAGCAACGAGGTTATCATCTGCCAGCTCTTTACCCATCAGATGCAGGGCAAGTGAGCAAATAGCGCCATCCAAGGCGGCCACCGTCCCCAGCTCTTCAAACCTCAGCCGGCAGAAGAAGCCCAGGAAAGTAGACACATCCTTCGAGGCCAGCCTGGTCTGGGCCATCTCCATCAGCGTACCAACAAACAGGGCTCGATTGGGCTGAGGCGAGGCCATCAGGGACACCGCAGCAGTGCTAGCATCGCTCGTGGGTGTCGTGGCGCCAACGGATGAAGTCGAGGTCGAAGCGGTGGACGGCGAACTTCCTACCACGGCAGCGCCAGCGCCGGCACCGGCACCAGCACCGACGCTGCTATCGCGGCTTGTTGGCGACGGTCGAGAACCTTTACTTCGGATCGCATGTTTCCCAGACACGAACTTCATGGCCCGCTCATATCCGGGACATTGGGCGCCATACTTGCGACAGTTTCCGCACTCTGGCCTGGCCTCGTCACACTTGACTCGTCTCTTCCTGCAGAGCTGACAGCCGCTGCTGCGCGGAACTCCGACCATGACGACTGATATCGGCTCTCTCCGTCGTATGTGCGTGTGCGTGTGCGTGTGCGTGTGCGTGTGCGTGTATGTGTGTGTCCCCTACTATGCGCGGCTGTCGCACGTTGACTATCTGAATGATTCCAATCGCTGGGCGTGGTTTTTGGCAAGGCAAGGAGCCATTGGGAACGAGACGATGTGAAAGAGATGTCAAGCTGCCTTGGGTATCTTTAACAAGCTGTGCAAGTGTTGGCTTGGATGCGATGCGATGCGAGGCGATGCGAGACCGTCAAAAATAGCAATGTGAAAAGTTTGGAGTCTCTGTCTGGATGTATGTATCTCTCGATCGTGCTATCCACATACATAGGTAGGTAGATAAGATATGATAAGATATCATGCATGCATGCGCGTATGTTCTTTTTTTGGTGTTTCGCAGGCCGCCTTTGATGAGATATAGCCGTCATTCAACCAGCCGGCAGCATCACGATAGCTGTCAGCGCATGCAATGATGGACACAAAGGTTGTCCCGCTGACTAGTACCGCGCCACGTCTGCCTGGCAACATTGACGCGAAGGATTGAGCTGAAGCTGCTAACTGCATAGCTCTGCTACTATGGCTCACTAGCACACAGCGAGTCCATTGGCTAGCGGTTTCGTTTGAGCTTCTGTGAAACCAAGCGTCGTCCTTCCATGCTAGTCCTGTTTAGGCCATGAAAAGATGGGGTCAAGTTCTACAGTGGGTTACCTATGCAAACGGTATCTGATTTACACCATATATGTAGGCTATCAGATGCTGTTGGCCTCTGTAGGCTGATCCTGCATATGACCAGAAAAGGAGCAACTAGGTATATGATGCAATACGTCTTGCTTTACGAAGAGAGATATCGCCGCCGAATTGTTACATAGCAACGATATTTATTGCCTTTCGTTTCAGAAAGAAACCAAAATGCCACCTTCTCCTCACGTTTTCTCCCCCCGCATTCCGGAATAACATGATAGGAGAAATTAAGTCGTAGCGTAAAAGCTTGTTCAGCCATGACATTGCCAATCACTGCCGCAAACACATCTGTTGCAAGATCTTGGCGGAGCTGCGACAAGATTCAAGTGACCCCTCCTCCAACCCCCCATATTAGCCCGCATCGAATAGATTGTAAGCCAGCCGCGAACAGCCGGTTGAGCAGAGGGCCATGGCGCCGCCGGTTGCAACCATCCTTCAGACCTCTGTGGCGAACCGGGTATCTCCGCCAGGTTAATCAAAAGCTCGATAAGCCTCTAGGCTGCCCTTAATCTTCGTGGCGTCAAAAACAACGGCCCGCGTTGAAGGGGAAGAAAACCGTAGGGGCTTGGGGAAATGGGGGCGAAGAAATCGTTTTCGGCTTGCCAGTATTATTATCATGTAGTAGGTAGTAGATATGGACACTAGCATGATATCAACGATTATATATATGTACTTGAACTGTACATGCACTGTTATATATCACATGCGCTGCGGGATACGCGCTTTTGACGCTGCATTAGTCCCTGCGTTGGCGTATGCCTTCTTCTACGATACCAGCGCGTTATGTGAGCAGTTATCTGCTTTTTCTCTTCGCTTGAAGCGCCACCCACCTCATACGAAGGAACAAGGGGCATGCAAGAAGCTCTGTCGAACAATTTTGTCCATCTATCGACACACACTCTACGGCTGCTACACCATGTATCTCTGTTTGATCCCTGCTGCATGATGCAAAGTTTCTCTTGGCTGCTTTTCCATTTATGATAGGCATGCAACTCGTAACATCGATTTCAACGACGGGTGTGTGCGTGTATATATCGGGGGCGGGCCAGACGCCGTGTAACAGCTCACCACCTCGCAAAGACCGACCCCCGCCAACAGCATACGGGAACGGGTTCGAGCGATGAAGATTGCAGACGTCTTCCCTTCGATGGAAACAGAGATTTCTTGCGCCACTAAGAGATTCCGAACTATTGGGAGCGGCCTAAAAATAACCGACGTGGGCCTCCATCTGTGGTGGAGCAGAGGGCCTCGATTCTTCAGTGCTGGGCATCACATGGACCTCGAGCTGCTCTTCTAACAGATGCTCAAGGAGTGTCTCCTACAGGCCAGAATATTCTGGAGACTTCCACATCCCCCCTCTGCGAATACGATAATTGTCGCATGAGATGCCACTCCATAGTGCACCGCATTAAAGTTTCCGTGTGAGCTTTTATCTCCGTTACGTCATCTCCTTGTCCGGCTTCGTCGATGTTTAAGCATTTATGATTCCGTAGCTTGTAGGAAGAAGGAGTTAAAGCTTAGATCAGCACCGATTGAGGTTTGTTTTGATTGTGATTACCGAAGGAAAACTTTGATCATATGGTCGAAATGATGGAGCTTCCATCCCTGCGGCGGTAAAATGAGTATAGGAGATGTGCAATTTACACGTATCCTCGTTCTTATGACTTCCAATTTCCGAGCGACAATAGCTCTTCGACGGTCAGTAAGTGTCCTGAATAATTACTCACGCACTCGCCTGCTGCATGCAATACCTGTCTTGTTCGCCAGTCTCCGGATAGCTGCATGTTGTTGTGAGCTAGCAGTAGCATGATCCGTCTCCCGAGTCCGGCGCGTCTTTGCGTTCTCCAGGAGCATTTCGTGCATATCATAAAAATGTATCCCGCCGGCCATATTGCCTCACCTGGGACTACTGCATGAAATAGCGCCATGGGGAGGTGTGGGCTGGCGGTGGTCCATGGATAAACGACCCACGCACCTGTGCTCTGGCCGTGCCGTTCAGAGCTCTGCCGTAGCATCCACGATCCCATGGGCAAGAGAAGAAAACATGGAGAAGCGATGAAGCACCAGGATTAGTGCTTGCCGATCCCCGTGCCTGCTCGCGGAGATGGCATTTTCCCTCATCTCGTCAGAAGAGGCTTGGGGTAGCTGCAGGCTTGCAGATTCGCAGGCTGGCCTGGTTCAAGTAACTAATCAAGAAAGCAAACAGTTAGGTTGAAGAGGAGGAAACCCTCCTAGGTCGTATTAGTCGTGAGTAAGCCATCGGAATCGAGAGACTGCTTGGCTTGTTGGGTGCTCCATTCCGCAATACTACTTTCTCCATACCTGCTCCCCTACTGTACACACGATCTGTTGCCGCCTCGTCTGAGCACGGCAGCATCGCTCAGGCCGTAGGCCCGGCATTACGAAGAGGCAGGTAAGTTTTTCGGTCAAGTTTTCTGATGGTGCCACTATGACTCTCGCCCAATTGAAGGGTCCCATGGGTTTTTACAGCAAAATCTGCCGCATGGGTAGATTATGATGGGCCAGTGCAGCGAGGGTAGTGGCCGGAGGGGCGAAATATCGTATTTGGGGACGGGTCGGTGCTGATGCTGGCGCTGGCGCTGGTACTGGTACGTGAGCCACGACTAGCCTCAAGGCTTGCTGAATGCTCGGATGCTGCGTGAGTTGGATCTGCTTCTAGTCGATGTCGATCCGCCGTGGGGGAGAGACGCGGAAGGGCAAATCGCAAAGCCGACTAGCTGCGGTGATGACAGTGGCCAGCCGCAAATCGAGACGCGCCAGGCCAAATAGGAGGCGCTGTGAGTGTCGAAAACAAAATAAGATGAAGAGACGTAAACGCCTTCTTTTCCTGTCCTGGCGGCAGGACGGTCCTGCATCCGGACATAGATGAGCATTTTGAGGCGGCATGAACGTACGAGGCCATCCAAAGTCGCGCTACTTTGCCATCATCTGCGGCCCTGGTCAAGGCCCCTGGCCCTAGTGGGTAATGCGGTAGCGAGCTAGAGCTACAGCGAGTCGGGGTCCGCCCAATCAGTCGCGCCAGGCGGCCCCTTGCTGCTGCTTGTTCTTGACCTGGTGCATCAACGCGACCACCGCGGCCTAGCCCAGCAAGGCATGTGTGGACATCATTCTATGTCCAGGGGGCAAGGGAAGGGACACGGCGTCAAGACGGCTGATGCAAAAGAGTTCGTGTTCTTTGCTGTCTTTTATGCTGCGTTGTGAAGCGAACGGGCGGCATTGCATTGCCTCTGAGTGGGGGACGACATCAATGACTGATGCGATGACTGATCCGTGGCGATGTTACCGAGCGCGTACCTGGTACACAAGTACCGGGCACTAAACGTTACCATCTCAGGTGTATAAATTGCAATTCATCAAATGGTGCATCAGATGCAGGCGGGCGGCTCTGCCCATGGCGCGCGGCGTGGACGAGCTCGGAGGAGCCTGTACTGTATTATCACCATGGCGACTGTCACGCAATTGTAATGGAGCTGCGACAAACATTAAATAGTACCTACCATGTACTCCGCAGTAGCAGCTGCAATTCGGAGTTTGAAATGAATTTCTGCTGTTTGAACGCACGTCTTGCACACCAAAAAGTACAGCTTTCTGTGCATAATCCCACAGCTTAAATGGCCGCGCTCCGTCCATGGAAACGTAAAGCGGAGCCACCCCGAATCAAAATCAGCCGCCTTGCCAAACGCAACTTGGGCCTCTCCCTTTAGCCTTTAGCTTCGAATAAGGGCTGCGGTCGAAGGGGTGGAGGCGCCGATTAGTGCTTCGTATCCCCCGAGAGACCAAGGCGTTCTGACGAAACGAAACTGCGGCACACGCCATCGTTGTTCCTGTTCGGTTCCTGGTGCAGGAACCAGTGCAACCGCCTGGTGCGTTGCGCCCGTCCAACCACCGCTCGCACGCTGTGGCCTCGGCGCCGGGATTGTCGCCGTGCTGCGCTGAGCTGCCTTTTGCTGTACGAGATTTTCCGTCCGGGTGAGAGCGCTTCAATGCAAGTCGGTTCTTGCGGATGGACGATGGATGGCCGCGCGTTGGCCTGAGCCCAGCCTGTCAATGTCGGTACGAGCTCTGCCTTGTGCAAGTACTTGGTACCTACAGCACTTGTACATGCAAGCAAGCACCAGGGCGCTCCAGTATAAACCCCGTGGCATGCATGTACATGTACGCACTGCACAGCAAGCACCAGGGCTTCTCCAGGGCTCATCGACGTGCTTGAAAGTGCTTGAAAGCGCGTGTAGACGACGTGATGCAGAGCTTGTACTGCTACATGCACCTGAGTCTGCAGCTGTCCCATTGCTGCTGTGCTTCTGCTGCAATGTCCGGAGTTACTGGCCTGGCTCGCTGGGGTCCCCCCTTCATGCGCTGCCAGCCCTTTGCTATCCCCCCAAACGGGCTAACCTCAGCCAACTCCAGGCCCCGCGAGATAGGACGGTTAGGGGCGTGCTCCACCCCTGGCAGCCCGCTAACCTGACCCTGGCCTGGCCCAGCCGTTGCCACTGCCAGGTGCCTTGGGGCGTGGCCACTTTCGCTCGCTCCAATCTCTCTTCCTTCGACTTTTCTGCCTCCAAGGGTGGCTGCTCTTCTCCTCAGCCCATCACCATCACCATCAGCATCGAACCCATTGCGGCTCGTCGACTTTCACTCTCTTCTTTTTTTCTTTTTTCTTCGTGCCCAAAGCCTTCCCCCTTCTGCTTCTTGGTTCGCCAGCTTTTTCTTCTTCTTCTTTCGCGCCGTTGTCTCTCTGCTCAGCAAGCATTTTGCAGCGCCTTCGTCGTGCCCCCTTTCCCATCAGCGTTCGCCGTCTTCGAGCCGTCTTCGACTTGTTTTCTTTTCTCTCTTTTCACCACCTTGGGCGTTGCGCTTTATTGCACATACGCCGACGTTTCTGACTGCATTGTCTCTGTCTTGTGCATTTACCTTTCCTTTTTCTTGTTCACCTCCTGTTATTTCCACTATCTGGTGACTGGCTCTGCTAGAAAGCTCTACTTTTTTTTTAACTTGTCATTTTCTCCCTCTGAGCCTGTAGTACCTCAGAGCCCATCTTCGACCTCCAAAGTCATTACCTTGATACGAACCACCGATATCTGCACAACCCCCATGTGTCTTCGCAGCTAGTTGTGGTCCAACGTGTCTTTTGTGACACTTGATCGTGCTCAAGAAGTTAGCCGCCTGCCTTGTAATAGTCGAGTGTGGCCTCGTGGTAATAGTGAGCTCTTCATTTCGACGCGAGGCACCCTTTAACGCCCTTGGCCGCTGAGCGCCCTCCTATACAATCATCATACCAGCCTTTTGTTCTTTTGCGAATAATTGAAAAACATCGAAAAATCGAAAATCGAAAATCGAGAGCGATACAAGCGCGTCTGTTTGCTGTTGATTTGTTTCCAGCCATCCGAAAAAAAAACCAAAAGAAAATAAAGGTTCGATCGCCTGTTGATACGTTCACTTGCATTTCTTTTTTTTTTGTCTTCGTTTGTTTTTCTGTAATTATGTTTGTCAACGAACAGCTTAATTCTTCAACATGAATCTTTGATCATTAGCTAATGCCCAATATTTAATAGCATTATCAGCTCTGATTTTATCGTGAAATCGCTGCATTCTCCTCGTTCTCTTAATAAACGCCAATAATTTCGAAACTTCACCTCCAGATCGTTATATAACCGAAGGAAGATAGCTCCTTCGAGCTCGTTTGCCACTGTTCCCTATTGGGGAGGATTATGGCTGCTTTGACACAAACGTATCAGCAGCAGACTGGTACAGTGACAATGCTTTCGGGTCGAACAACACCCTCAGGCGGCATGATGTCGACCGGTCAATCGAATGGACATCATCAATACACGACTTCAGCACCCAGAGGAGGAGGCGGCTACCGGGGAAGCACTGTTCCTGTTCAATCATATGCTTTTCAGCCTACGCCGAACCTGAACCAGAGCCTGGCGTGGCAGCAGTATGGAGCTTATCGGACGAGCTCATCATCCTCCGGCATTCCAACGCAGACTTTCGATCCCAGCCTGGTTCAACGTTCTCATCGTCCCAACCCCTCAGTGACGAACATGGCCTTAATCCCTTCCTACAGCCCTGGTCACAGCAGCCATGGTAGCAGCCATAGCAGCGGCCACAGCAGCGGTCATAGCAGTGGCCACAGTAGCAGCCATGGCAGCAGCCACAGCAGCACACGAGACGACTCTGTGAAGTCGCAATCCAAGAGTGCTGCTTCTGCTCAACGTCCACCGCTTGCTCATATTTCCTCCACTGGCTCACAGCCGGCTTTGTCACCCGGCGGAACGCCGAAGAACACTCCTGATCGGTACCGGAGGCCAAGCAACTCGAACACTCAGCATAGTCGAACCCAGAGCTCGAACCCTCCGCTTAGCCCTGGTAAGCCGAACATGATGTATCATGCACCCTCCGGTTCCAGATCTGTTCCGAATCTCGCGGCTTCGCCCACACTTGCTCCGGGCGCATCGATGGACGATTCGCAACTGCACCGCAGACCATCTCCGGATGAGGCGAAGAAGATGCGTCGCCGCAGCGTGCATACGATACAATCCACTGATTCCTTCCGACCTCTCTTGAAGCCCGAAAATGCTCCTCGCCCCGAGCTAGCGGTCATCACTAAGAACAGTGACAGGGGTGAAAAATCCCCTCAATCTGCCCCGAAGAAACCTGTGCATGTCCGCAAGGGCAGTTCAGACAGTGCATCGTCTAGTCGAAGTAGCCATTCGCGATCCGCATCGGTAAGTTGATATTTTATTGCCACTTGTTATCCCCATGTTTGCGGATTGGGGGACCTTTTTGGGGTTATGCATGCTGACTAGGAGATTGATGTGCAGTTTTCCAACCGTAATGCGACTGTCCCCACTGGCAACCCCTCTTCACCGGGCTCTGACGAAACACATGCCAGGAATGATCAGCTTAAAGTAGCCGTACCGCCAAGAGGTTCATCTTCCGATGGAACAAAGCGGACGATTAGTCCCTCTCCATTATCTAAACCCGCTACGATGGCAAATGAGCAGACTGGAGATGCTGTCGCAGCAGCTGCAGCGCCCTCGGGCAAGACTGTAGAATCACCGGCGGTGAAGCAGCTCGCGACCATCAATGAGAAGGCTGTTAAAGGAAAGACCAAGACTTCTAGGCTTCGTCGAGCGTTTTCATTTGGGAGCGCGGCTGAATTCCGAAAGGCTGCTGGTGGTATCGATGGCGAAGGTACTGATCAAATGGAGGCAGCCAGGCTTCGTAAAGACCCGACAGCCGAAGAAGTCTATGATGCTGAGCAAGCACGGATCGCTGAAGCACAAGAAGCTGCTGGTATTGGCAATAGCATCTATGGCGGCCGCTTCTTTGGCGGGTCGACGGATAACCTCTCCATCTCATCAACTGCTTCATCTGCTTCTATTATGATCAGGAAGATGGGCCGTGGTATGAAGAAGAGCACCCGCTCGCTGGTTGGACTCTTCCGGCCAAAGTCAGTCGTAGGAGTGCCCGCGGCTGATGCTCCTGTTACCGAGGGCCAGGCTTCCGTATCCATGATTACCGTGGAAGCAGAGACTCGACGTGTCAACGTAAATGCGGACCCCCAGGGTGGCAAGGGCGGTACTGGATTCCCTCGCCTTGAGCGCAACTCTCTAGACGCTACGCAAATCCCTGAAATTGGAGCGGAGCGACTAGGCAGTGCAGGAACAGATAACTCCGCACGAAAGAGCATTGTGGGTGGTGATAAAGAACGTGCAGAGGTGCTAGCGGCGGTTCGCAAGGGCATTCTAAAGCGTACGTATAATCTGAAATGTCCCATGTTTCCAATCGGCCATTGTGATTAACTGACCTCAGACACAGGTTCTTCGAGTCCGTCAATCCGTCCGTCGGATTCGCCTGATCTTGTCCTGCCAAACATCCCGGCTGTCACGGACTCACCCAACTCAAGCGCACCGAGCACGCCAAATGATGATCACAAGAGAACGGGTTCTATCGCTATCGGTGGCGAGGACTACTTCATGGGCGCTCTTCGCCTTGGAAAGAGTCGGCCCGGAACACCCCAAGCTGGCCCAAAGAGGAATGCCACATTTTCACCGCGAATTATTTTCCACGACACTTGGCCTAGCCAAGAGTATGACCGCCGCGGCGAGATTGCCACGTGCAACCGGCTCACGCCAATGCTAGCTCAGCAAATCAAAGAAGAGCTAAACAGCTTCAAAATGGTTCGTCAGAACTCAATGTTCATTACTATGGCTAAGCTAACCTTAACTTTTTCCTCTAGGAAATGGAAGTCCATGAGAACTCCAAGATTTATACGCATTTCTTCTGATGATATTATCCGATGGACGAAATCTTGAAAGCTGATATTTTTTTTCTCCCTCTACTATTACGGGTTTTTAAACCCTAACCATGTATTTCTTCACTTTTACCATTTGCGGCGTTTAGGGACAGCATAGTAAGGTGTCATGGGCGTTTTGTCACACTGCCTCACTACATGTCATGGTTTTATAGCCCCTCAAAGACTCATACATCTCATTAATATTCAGTTGGACTCGTGGGCACGAGGATTGAGCCATGGTGGATGTGGGAGGAACCGGGATCAGATGGTCTCGTCTGTTGTCATTGAAAGATGAGAAACTCCTCGTCACAGCCTATGGTTCAGCCGTGTGGATAGAAGAGCAGCAACATGTTAGACGATGCGATGCCATGTTGGCACAAGACGAGCACTTAGGCTTGACTGTTGAGGGGGCACGTTTAGATATGGCAACTCAACCGATTGGAAGATGAAATATAGGCCGGCAACTTGTGTCTTTTTCTCTGTTGTTTCATTTAAGCATGTCTCTATAGCCGGATTTAGTCTATGAGCGTGATGTGCCTGGTATCTCCATTTTACAGCAAATAAGAGCTTTGACTATTTTTAGTTAATCCTTGCCTTATAGGCCTTTTTTCTTATATCTGCCAAAAGTGGACTTATCTCAGCCTGCTCGCATTTTGCATAGGATTGGCGATCTGGAGTCTAGATTTATAATATTAATTGCACCAAACATGAATTTGCGTACGATATGTCTTTGGGTATGCCGATTATCTAGGTGCTAGAGTCTAGAGTCTCATTACTCATTACAACTCAGGTACATGATAGTGGTAGAGGCGTGGCGTCTTGGTGCTGGTATTAATCAGCTGCCAGTGTATAAGACGCCCCGCCATGTTAGTAAACTTCAAGCCATCCCGTCGCCGGCTACTTTTTTTTTTTTCCTTCTAGCCAAAAAGGAAAAAAAAAAAAAGGAAAAAAAAAAAAAATAAAAGCCTTGGGGCGTATTTCTTTTCTCTTCACGTTGGTCCCTGATAGAGCATTGTCTTCTTGTACAAGGCATCTATACGCGCAGTGCTTCTCTGGATACTTATGTGGCAGCGTCCGCTTGGAAGGATTACGGCTTATCGATTGCTGTTTCAATCTCGATTCTCTGGCACCTCCGATAATACTTTTCGAGGTTTTGCGACCATGACCACCACCGAGGCAGCGACGGGCGCCGAGCCTCCCAAGAAGCTCCATGGACGGGCATTTTACGAGAGCATTGGGAGTCCCAAGTTTATTGTGGCTCCCATGGTGGATCAATCTGAGTTTGTTTGTCTTGCTCGATCCCCAAATGGCGTTTGCGCTGGGCTAACTTGGGTGCTCTCTAGGCCTGGCGAATGCTCACACGATCCTTCTTGCTGCCCTCGGAGCAGTCTAAGCTTCTAGCCTACACGCCGATGCTTCACGCGCGACTGTTTTCACAAGACGAAAAGTATCGAAAGGCACATTACCAGGCTGTGCGGGCGGGATCCTCAGAACCCTGGCTGGACGGAAACCCCAAGATCGATCGGCCTCTCTTTGTTCAGTTCTGCGCAAATGACCCCGAAGCGCTGCTTTCTGCGGCGAAACACGTAACGCCGTACTGCGATGCTGTGGACTTGAACCTCGGATGCCCGCAGGGCATTGCGCGGAAGGGCCACTACGGAGCGTTTCTCCAAGAAGACCAGGACCTCGTCTTTCGACTGATCAACATATTGCACAAGGAGCTCTCCATCCCAGTCACAGCTAAGATTCGCATTTTAGAGACAAAAGAGAAGACCCTGGAGTACGCAAAGAATGTGCTGAATGCCGGAGCTTCTATTTTGACTGTGCATGGCCGAAGGAGGGAGCAAAAGGGACATCTTACTGGTGTTGCGGATTGGAAGATGATCCGATTTCTAAGAGACAATCTGCCACCAGAGACTGTGATTTTTGCAAACGGAAACATCCTGCAAGATGGAGATCTAGACAAGTGCCTGGAGGCCACTGGAGCGGATGGTGTCATGTCAGCGGAGGGAAATCTCAGCGATCCCGGCCTGTTCGGCAATCCACCACCCGCCGACGAGAAGAGCAGAGATTACTGGAGAGGAAGAGACGGAAAGGGCGGATGGCGAGTCGATGCCATCACGAGGCGCTACTTGGACATCATACACAAATACGTCTACGAGGTAGACCCTCCGCAGCGACGACCGCTCTTCGTACCAGGCGACGACACCGCATGGTTGACAGAAGGCGAGAACAGCAGCTCAGAAGACGCAGACGAGCCAGCAAAGAAGAAGCGAAAGAAGGAGGACGACAAGGCTCTCAATTCGTCCCCTAACATCTCCGCCCTGCAACCCCATCTGTTCCACGTCCTCCGCCACTTCGTCACCAAGCACACCGACATCAGAGACCAGCTTGCAAGGGCCCGCAGGGACGGCATCGACGGCTACGAGAGGGTCCTCGCCGCCGTGGAGAAGAGGGTCGCCGAGGGCCTGCTGGAGTACGAGAAGACAGAGGGCAAGAGCTTCGAGGAGGAGCTGGAGAAGCTCAACGAGCGGGCTATTGAGGGTGTTCCGGAGGAGGAGAGCTCGCTGGGGACGATCAAGAGGTGCAAGCGCCCTTGGTGGGTGGCACAGCCGATTATTCGGCCGCTGCCAAGCGAGGCGTTGGCGAAGGGGGCTATTACGCTGAAGAAGGAGAAGGAAAAGGGGGGCAAGGAGAAGACTGAAGGCAAAGAGAAGAATGAGGACAAGAAGAAGAATGAGGGCGATGAGAAGAATGGGAGTGAACAGGTTGAAGCTAAGGAGGAGACGGAGGTAGAGCAACAGACGAAGCAAGAGATTACATCAAGAGATGAGCTCGTCTCTGGATGAGAGACACCGGGAGGGAGATAGAAGGTTCACAGCATTATAGATAGGCAACATATATAAGTAGACATTAGCTAATGCGATTTCTTTGGTATTACTCATAAGGCCGACGCTCTTGCTATTATGGGTATATAAGAGCTAGTCATCCATCATTTTGCAGCCTCCTATTCATATTACACACTTAATCTCTAACCTCACGCACTGCCAGTGATGTACTGGAGAATAGTATAAACAGGTCTTGCAATCAGCGCCGCTCCAGCAGCTTGGATAGCTGTGGCTACAGTTACCAACCCAGCTCCTGCAGCTCCCGCACTCTGGAGAATGGCGAATAAACTGCCCGCCGTAATGGGGTTTATGATTGCGTGCATGGTTGCAGCTAGAGAGCCTTAAGATTAGATAAAAAAAAAAGTTAGCTGTCTGGTCTTTCCCACGGCCACTATCATTTATTGGTGTGTCTGTCACAGCATACCTGCTGCTACGCCACCGGCACTAAAACCAAGTACTCCTAGGATAAAGCCGGCGACGGCCGCTGGAGTGGCAATCATAGATATCCCGCAAAATAGAAACGCTGTTTGGATGGGATTCTCAGTCAAGAATTGTTGGATCTTTTCCTCCGAGTTGAAATTCAGTATACATGTGCCATGCATAAGGCTGTTTTTGAAGTGGATGTGCTGGATGCACAAGACAAATGCGTACCCAAGTTTGCCAGGTCATGATGAAGGCGAAGCGATTTCCCTTGCAACAAGGATATTCCTTTGACAATGACGGGTTTTCTTCCTCTTCGTTTGCTAAGATTGATTTTGTCAAATGTTCTTATTGATTCTTCGGCAGGAAAACTTGAGGCAGCCAGGGCGGGAAAAAGGAAACGCAGGTTAATTATGCACCCGCGACGTAGGCGTTCCAATTACGCACTGCCAGCTGTCCACGCAGGAAGCGGCAGCCGGTGAAAGTGAGAGTTTCGGTCTGCATGCAGGTGATATATATGCACAGTAACCAATCCGCCCGAGGGCCCGCCTCTGAAGGCAATTTCATGTTTTGATTCGTGCAGCTGTTTGCAGGTGCGATTGTAGTGAGTGGCTGCGGTGTCCAGCGGTTGGGAAGCAATCTTGCACCCGCGCGTTACTTGCGTCCATCATTATTCGTATTTCTCTCGTCGCTTTTTATAGATATCGAATCAACTATGATCAGGTTAACAAGTTAGCAAAGACAATACCCTATTATAGCTATTAATAGCTCGCGGAAAACCCCAGACTACCAGCAGGGCCAGTTATTTGCACGGACAGCTGGTGGCAAGGTTACATTGGTAATGTCGGCACACCGAGAGTGTCCTGCTTAGACATACGTGTAGCTACTGTACCCGACGGAGTGCATTAGTTTTGAATAGTCCGCCTTGAGGCCCAGCAGTGTATGCAATCTGTTTTCTGCTCCCGCCTTGTTAGCGTGAGAATAACGCCGATGTTGGCTTAGGATAAGGATGACACGATGCTAATAAATGCAAGGAGATGATTGTTAGTGGCGTACATTCAGTATGATTGGCTAGGGTGATACATGCCTTGATTAAGTAAATGCGAAGAGGAGAGAACATGTAGTGGATAATGAAGCAACCACTTCCTTGTTTGAAAAGCGGCAGCGGATAAGAGCTGGAGAGTTGGTGTACCATTTGAGACTTGGATCCGGGACTATAGCCGCACGTAACAATCCATATGCTGATAGATCAAGTTGATGTCTACTCAAGCGCAATGGTAGTGAAATGATGTGACTAGAAGTGAAGAGAGTAAGATATGGAATGGACTGACGCCATCGCAAATGAAGGTCGAGAACCGGAATATCGGAACTGAGCCCCGTGCCTTCCTTGTTTTGTGTCGACAGTTTATCCCAGATTCCATATGACTAAAATATGTCCTCACTTTTACCAATTACAAGCCTGAGACCGATACTATGGAGGCATGTCTTCCGAGTCATGAAGCTGCCGACAGAATACACGTCGCAATCGAGGTAGCCACCTAACACGGCGCAGGCTTGCTGAACTGAGGACGGCGGTGGGAGTTCCGTGGTCTGGTCGAGTTTTCTGATGTATGAGAAAATCGTGTTATGTATAACGTTTGCCTTCGAATGCTCTGAAAGATATACTTGAAGTCAACAAACTGGTTCCCGAACGAATACGCCTTTCGATCCACACCTTCGAGCACAGACGCTGTGAGTATTAGTCTTGATTTCCTTAGAAATTAGGAGCTCTCTCTTCCTTAGATTGAACATACTTTTCGTCTGACGGTTGTTCCGAGACTCGCATGGACTCCCCCAAAATTTCATCACTTCAATTCAACGAAATGTATGGCGCCTCTCATCGCTGGTATCGTCTTTCAACTGTTTATTGCTAGTATGGCGTTAACCCTAGAGTTCTGAGAACATTCAAAAACTTATTCGCGAAGCTTCTCTCCCGATTTCGTCTGTCGCTGGAGTCGGAAATCTATTTGAGACCCTCTTCCGAGCGTGGAAGAGCGTCTAGCTTGCGAGAGCTCGAAGCAGTACTTTGATGGTATGATTGACGAGGAGAAGGTCAAAGAGATTGAATGGAGATGACCATCGAATTTATGACCAGAACAAGCAATAGGAGCCGAAATATAGCGAGGACAGCAATGACAATATTCTATCTCATGATCTTTGCGGCAGCAGCTTCCGAAGGTTTGACTTAGACGGCATTAAAAGGATATACGATCTCATGAACGGCTTTGCCCTCCTTTGGCATATCCCAGCCAATGGGATCCTGTTCCGGCAAACTAGCAATCCCAAATCCTACGGCGAACTCGACCCCAATAAAACGAATTGGGTGGGCGGGGGCTTGTGGTTATCCCACTGCATGGTTTGGCTTACAGCTGCATTGACCGGCCTCTCAATGAGCGCCAAAGCGGCCTGCATCGCAGCTTCTCACACAGGCTATAAGCCGTTGAGGAGGTGGCACTCCAGAGCTAGGCATGCACTGATTACGAGCTGCATGCGTGCGTATGCCCCGTGTCAGACCGTCGATCGTCCAAGTCTCTAAAAGTTGAGAAAAACAGGGGCCGTGTCTGAGGCATGCAATATGCAAGTGCATATGCGCCCTCGCAGCTAAGCGGAAGCGAGTTTTCAATTCCTGGTTTCAATGCTTCGTAGCTACATATGCAACCAAAGTTCGCTGCATTGACCGGATAAGCTTGGCTAAGCGGTGGCTGTACTTCACATGAAAAATCGCGTTGTCGTGTCGTGTCGTGTCTGTCGACCTACAGGTTCTCCTCACCATTCTCACCTTTCGATTGGACATTTGCTGCTCTATCAGTTCCTGCGTTGCGACATGTCGTGCTGCTATTCGACCAGCGCAATGCCTTGTGAGCGCCACTAATGTGGCCAAATCACGACCCTAGGGCGAAACCTCAAGAAGGGGTCTGCTCAGTAACTCTACTATGCATATATATATGTGTGTGTATGTATATATATATATATATATATAAAGTCGACCTTTACTTTGTTATTCGCTTGGGCTAGACATGCATCTTACCTGAGATGATTGTTATATTCATATTGGCTGAACAGTGAAGTATTGGCGATGGCGGAAAATCAAGACCAGCTACGGAGGCTGGAGGAGCAGCGGATTTCAGTGATGGCAGAAGATGAGCGTAAGGCTGCATTAATTTCGGTGAGACTCGGATTTTTTTTGCTTGTAAGAATGTTGTTAATGATGCACAGATTAACGTCTTTTTCTTAGGACCTCTTCAAGCATATCGGTGATTTGACGGGCCAGCTTGCCGAAGCGCATATGGATCTTCGAGATAGAAAAGACATGCTTGAGCTTAAGCGTACAAAACTTGAGCTTGCAGAGAAGCAGATTGAAGATTTACGACGCAAAACTGTGAGAAAATAGAGAGTAGCATTGGCGTGTGAGAAGCGGCCTAACAGTTGCATAGGATGATCATGTTTTTAGTATGGTTATAATTGATGGCGACAATATGCCGGTGAGTCTGCTCAGTTTCATGTTTTCTCTCCAATAGGGCAGCTCTGACCCTTACGAATACACTAGTTTCAGGATGAATTTGCTAGAGACGGCCTCACAGGAGGCAAGAGAGCAGCTGGTCTCCTTAGAAAAGCAATAACTGAGGATATCAAAACGAGATTTCCGTCTCTTCCTGCGAACGTCCCAGTGATGATTCGTGTGTATGCGAATTTAAGAGGGTTAAGCAAAAAATATAGAGAACTTATGCCTGACTCGGCATCGTTTGAAGATTTTGTTCGTGGATTTAATACGGTCCACCCTATGTGCGATTTCATCGACGCTGGGTGTGGCAAAGAATGTGCCGACGAGAAAATAAAAGGTAAGCTTCCGCAGTTGTTCACTTTATCTTACATACATTTTTTTTTTTTGTTTTCATTGTCAATGAGTGGTCGAATATGAAACTAATATTTCATAGCCTCTATTAAGTTTGGCCTTGATGATAGTCATTGCAAACAAGTGTTTTTCGGTGGACCAGGAGACAACGGATATGCCCGCGTTTTCGACTCTTTCCTCGAAGACCAGGGCATCAGAGAACAGATCACGCTGATGGCAGGTCCCCCTTTTGCGTACGAACTGGCGGCAATCAAAGATAAATTTCATAATATGACCTTGGACAACATCTTCAGAAGCCAGAAACTTCCCAGCGAAGCCAACCGCAGGACCTCATTCCATATCACACCGCCAGGAACTCCCATGTCTCCAACCTCTCCGCTGAACTTTGCAGCCGTTGCAAAGGTGCCTAGCAGCCCGGCTCAGAGCTCCCCGGCCCAGTTATACTACACAGAGCCCAAGATGCCTTCCAATGGGGTCATATTGCGGAATAAATTTGGACAGAGGGTGGATTCGCGGCTTTCGTACTTGCAATCTGATTTCTCGAACTTGAAAGACCGAAAGCTTTGCAACAATTTCCACATTCTGGGCAAGTGCTACTATCTTGAAAAGTTTGGCAAATGCCATCATATCCATGGAGAAAAGTTGGTCGGCCAGCGGCTGGAAGCTTTGCGAGCCATTGCTCGTCAGTCTCCGTGCTTGAATGGGCTGAGCTGCAGCCAGACAGATTGCGTGGCCGGACATAAGTGTCCAAGGGAGCCTTGCCATTTAGAAAACTGCTGGTTTCCTAAAGAAATGCATAACGTTGAGTCTCAGGCCGTGGAATAAGATTATGTTTGAGCTTAATGTTTTATAATATGGGCTTTTTTGGAGGGAAATTTGCATTGAACTTGTATAAGTGTTCGTTTTGGGATGGACGGATGGAAGGACAATACACGGCGGTTAGGGCTGGCTATCTGGTATGGTGAACAGAATACACGGAGTTCATTTGCATACCGGCAGCATTGCTTCGACGGCTATACAAAAATGATGCTAGTTAGAATTTATTCAGTTTTTAGTTTTTAGTTTAATTTAATTTTTTGCAAACAAAGAGGAAGGGGAGCATTCGACTCATTCCCCTGAGCACTGCAGTATCGTGGGGGGTTTATCACAGCCACCGGAAAGCCCCCAAGTCGGACCTCTGCCCACTGTGGCAGCGCTAAATGGAACTTTTCTAGTGGGTTTCCAGGCCGATGACGCTTGAAGTAGCGCTTATAGGTAAGGTAGCCAAAACAACACGAGACGTATTGTGAAGTTGTCGTATCAGAGGGTTATCAAAACAAGAATTCATGTCCATGCACTGTAAGTAAATTTCCTTTGCCTGCCTCGACTCTAAAAATCTTATCTCCTGAGACGTTCTGAAGGCAAATCCATCGCTGGGTGCGCAATGCAATGAATGTCCTGGAGCGTCATCAGTGGATGGGGATGTACCCCAAAGATAGGCGCAATGCAAAGGCTAAACAGCACGTGGAACTCTGCCCCACGAACGGCCAACTTTTTGCTCCCCCACCACGCTCCGGGACGCCCTTTGCTTCTCTCGACAGCCGCTTTTCGGCCGCTACATTGCTCTCGCGGCTGCTCCCCGCAAAGTGGGGGAGGGGTCTCGCTGTCGTGGGGGAGAATAAGCTTGAAGCACTGAGACGCCGATGGACCCTTTGGACGGAGAGGAATCAGAGCTGTTTTTATTATAGTGTGTCCCTTGGTCATGCTTCAAAGGCGTCTCTGGCTCTTCTCTTTGCATCCATATTGGTATTCCTCATTTGAGCGTGGCGTTGAGCAGAGATAGGAAGAGGGCGTGTGCGTGTTTGACACTGACTTGATCTAAGCCGCTCTATAGACTAGAAAGCCTGGATCACAATGTCTCGCCAAAGCACTCAGCTCACCAGCGGCTGGACTTTTAGGCAGCACCAAGGTCCTTCTGCAGAATGGCTGGCGGTAGCAAAGGTGCCAACGCAGGTTCATATAGATCTGCTGGCCAACAAAAAGTATGTATGCCCCGATACCCTATACATGATATGCATAGACAGCAGCCCGTCTTCATGGCGAGACTGTCTGGTGATGACACGGAGCTAATAGCGACATAGGATTCCAGATCCCTTTGTGGACCTGAATGAACGCGCTGTTCAATGGATTGGCGACAAGGATTGGGAGTACCAAGTTACGTTCAAGCCTGGGCCTGCTGAGGATGAAAACGTCACAAGAGATCTCGTGTTCAGTGGCCTCGACACTTTTGCCACAGTATATCTCAATGACGACAAAATATTAGAGACGGAAAACATGTTTGTGTCCTACCGTATTAATATCACAGACCGCATCAAATCCAGATCCGAGAATGTCCTTCGCATCGTCTTCCACTCCGCCATTGCCAGAGGTGAAGAGCTCATCAAGGAACACAGCCATGAGCACAATTTCCTAGTTAGGCAGACCGAAAGGAGTCGTGTCCCGGTACGCAAAGCCCAGTACAACTGGGGCTGGGACTGGGGCCCAATTCTCATGACCGCGGGACCCTGGAAGCCTGTCACTCTCGAGACATATGTTACGAGAATTGATGATATCTGGGCTCAAAACGAAGTCAGCGAGGATTTGAAATCTGTTTCAGGCTCTATTTTCACTCGTGTAGCTGGCAATATGAGCAAAGCTAACCAGGTTTCAATCTCTTTATCACTGGATGGCCAGACAGTATTCCAGCAGGTGGTCGACGTTACGGATGCTGCGTTGAACGGGGACGGACTGATTAAAGTTCCCTTTAAGCTTGCAGATCCGAAACTGTGGTATCCGAAGGGATATGGAAGCCAGCCGCGGTATCTCCTTCAAGCTAAGCTCCAGCGCAAGACTTCTTCTAACGAGATCGACAATAAGTCAAAGCTGATTGGGTTCCGTCGCACAGAACTGGTTCAAGAAGCAGACGCTCATGGCAAATCATTCTACTTTCGCATAAACAATATCGATGTATTTGCTGGTGGCTCATGCTGGATCCCTGCAGACAGCTATCTCGCCGGTGTTTCCCCTGAGCGCTACTATGAGTGGGCCAAGCTTATGGCAGAGGGCAACCAAGTCATGTTGCGAGTCTGGGGAGGTGGCGTCTATGAAGAAGATGCTCTCATTGAAGCCTGCGACGAGCTTGGCATCTTGGTGTTCCACGATTTCCAATTCGCTTGCGCATCTTATCCTGCGTACTCATCCTACCTGAAGACGCTGGAAGAAGAAGCAAGACAACAGATTAGACGTCTACGGGCACATCCTTCTGTGGTGATTTGGGCAGGAAACAACGAAGATTACCAAGTCCAGGAGAGGTATAAGCTCGACTATGACTTTGAGAACAAAGACCCAGAGACATGGATCAAGTCATCGTTCCCAGCCCGGTATCTCTATGAGCATTTCCTACCAAAGTTGGTTGAGGAAGAAGATCCAGGCAAGATCTATCATCCAAGCAGCCCCTGGGGTGACGGGAAACCCACCGCTGACCCAACTGTTGGAGATATTCATCAATGGAATAGTAAGCCTCCAACATGTCTGAAAAGTAATATCATTGACTAACATCTCCATCCAGTCTGGCATGGCGCTATGAACAAATACCAAGAGGCTGCCGATATGGGCGGCCGTTTCGTCAGCGAATTCGGAATGGAAGCATATCCTCACCTCAGCACCACCCGTCGCATGGCCAGCGATCCCGCCCAACTCTACCCTGGCTCCATGGTCCTTGATTTCCATAACAAAGCCATTGGCCACGAACGCCGCATGATGAGCTATGTCGTAGACAACTTCAGACCTCGACATGACCTCGGGGGCTACACTCATCTCACGCAAATCGTGCAGTCGGAGACGATGCGCGCTGCCTACAAGGCCTGGCGGCGACAATGGGGTAAGCCTGGCGCCCGACAATGCGGTGGTGTACTCGTGTGGCAGCTTAATGATTGTTGGCCGACCATGTCTTGGGCTGTGGTGGATTACTATCTCATCAAGAAGCCCGCATACTACGCCATCTCCAGAGCGTTGCGGGCTATCGACGTGGGTGTACATAGAACCTTCCACGACTGGACTCAAACAGGATACTGGGTTGATGAGAACTCTGGTCTTGTTACGGGCCAAGTCGACCAGACTCTACCTGCCCGCAAGGGAACGTTTGACGTTTGGGTCGTCAGCAACAACACCAAGCCCGTCGATCTGAACGTCGTCGTGCGCTTCATCTCCGTCCGCTCAGGCAAAGACATCTCCGACCCCATAAAGTCAACTATCACCGCCTCCGCTAACTCCACAACCGATATTCTCCAAGGCAAGGCCCTCCCACCTTCGATCCCCAATGCCGACGATCTTACCAAGCCCTTCTCCGTGTCTGAGTACGATCCTTATGTCGTCCACGCCACCATCACAGATGTTGCTACCGGTGCCCTTGTGGCCACAGACACGGCATGGCCCGACCCCGTCAAGTTCCTCGACTTATCCAACCGGGGTATCACATTCGAGCTTTCTGCTGCAAAGGACGAAATCGTCGTCTCAGCTGAAAAGCCCGTCAAAGGATTCGTTTTTGAAGAGGTGGAGGGCTTGAAGCTGAGTGACAATGGCTTTGATATCGTGCCTGGGGAGAAGCAGACAGTTAAAGTGGAGGGGGCTCTGACGGCGGATCAACTGCTGTGGACGTGCATTGGAGCATCCGACGCATCGTTAAACATATCTGATGCATCTTCGCAGTTGCCACTTTGATAGAAATGAGAATTTTACAGGCTTGGGATAAAAGACGCGATATAATTCGACAGTGTAGAGAGATTATATTAATTGTGGAGGACAGACCCAGTATCCATCCTCAGATAGAACTGACAGCGAGTCACCTAGCAATTAAGTTGTTCACAGGTGCCCAAATGGGAGCGTACATTATCAGTCAAGGGTGTCGGTCATCCATAACATTTACTAATAAATCGTCGTAGTAGCACACCGGCAACGTCCTCTTTCCACTGCATGCCTAGCTAGATGGCCTTTATTCGATCGGTTGGCTAATTCAATCAAAGTCCTCTAGCTACCTAGACAGGCATGTAAGCTAAACATGTAATATTCAGATCAAGTAAATGAGGGCATGAGTTGTGAATAACACAAGAAATTTATTTTTCATAACTATCGCTAAAACCAAAATTATTTTCCTTTATTCCATTACAATGCATATCCCATCCCGAAAAAAATGAAACGTGAGCCCCCCACCTCAAATTTCGTAAAAAAGGAGAGGTAGAGGAGGAGGAAGAAGAAGTAGAGGAAGAATAAGAAGAATAAGGAGAAAAAAAGGTCTCAATCTCTCCGTCTCACACGCTTCATCGGCGGACTACGGCTAGGAGAACGTGTCCTAGATCTAGAGCGAGAGAAATATGATGACGAAGAATAAGGTGAAACCGAACGCCGTCGCTTCATTGGCGGACTGCGGCTGCGGGAATGTGTCCTGGAACGAGAGCGAGAGCGAGAGGCAGGAGAGCCAGATCGGGAACGGGATCGGGATCCTGAGAGAGAGCGAGGGCGTGAACGGGAATGGGAACGAGAACGGGAACGGGAACGGGAGTAGGAAGGAGAGCGAGAGCGAGAGCGAGACCGTGAATCCGAGTACGATCGATCCCTTCCACCACGCCTTGAGGGTGTTCGAGAAAGCGAACGGCCTCGTCCACCATTGCCACGACGGGCCGGAGAACGAGTCCTGGAGCGAGAGCGAGAAGAATATGATGAGCGAGAATAAGATGAATAGCTCGATACAGACTCTGAATCAGAGCGGTCCTGAGCAGGAGGGGCGGGGAGCGCAGGCTTGGGCATGTTCTGAAGATGCTCTCGCATCTCCTCGGTCAAAACACCCATGCCGATACTGGTGAAGTAGTTGATGGAGAATCTGATGTTGCGGGGGTTCTCAACTGGGAAGATGCCTTCGAGGTTAGGTCGGAGAGTTTCGTCGGTCAGGCGTGCCCTCAGCTTAGGCAACCCGGTTTCCTCCAAAATATGTTGGAACAGGATCTTGATGAATATACGGCTACTGGATGTCGTTTCATCTTCGTTGAGGTGAATGACGCCAAGGCAGTGCCAGCCTAGAGCGTCGGACGCAAACATGTGACCGAACAGCATTGCAATGTTTCGCAGCTTGTTGTTCTCATATCTGTGAATAGTCTCATAGTACTTTGCAAAGGCCTGCTCGAAGAGATCGCACCACAGTCGGTTGATCTTGGAAAAGCGCTCGCCAATCATGCCAAAGAACTTGGTGTAGGTCTTTTCCTGGGAGCAACACTCGACAATCATCGACGGTAGCTCGGGCTCTTGGCCGGCAGGCAGATTAATCTTCATCAGCTTGTGGACTGCTTCTTCTGGGTCGGCACTCGACATGATGGTTAGGTAGATGGTTCTTCGCAGGTTGACCAAGTCGGCGTTGGACTGGTCCTTGATCTCCACAGCCTTTGATTCCTCGTCTTCGTCCTCCTCGGAGCTCTCATCCTCTCCATCCTCATCATCTTCGTCATCGCTGCCCTCGCCAAGAATTTCTGCCTTGAGTCTCTTATAGGCCTCCTCATGCTCCTCCCACTCAGCATCAAATTTGAAAACGTTGAGCCCGTCCTGGACATCAATCTCGCCATCAAGCTCAACTTTGTGTGTAATTTGGTCCTCCTCCTCAACCAAGTCCAACTCTTCCTTGATGGCCGGGCTCTCCTTGAACTTGTCCTTTCGGATCTGGAAAAGAACTTCAATCATGTACTGGGTTCGCTTATCGATGTCGGACTCGTGGAGGATGTTGCGGAACTGATCGAAGACGGCCATGGAGATGGCAGGCTGCATCTCTTCCAGGTACTGTCCCACCTCCTTGCAGAATCCCACAGCAATCTCAACGCTATCGTCTGTCGGCTTGTGTAGGAGCAGCAAGAGGATTTGCCCAGCCAGCATCTCATGCTGAACCTGCTGGTTGATCAAATGCGCGAGGAACGTCGTCGAGGAGAGGCAGACGGCCTTGTCGTTTCGCTTGAATCCCTTGCGGAACTGCATAATCAGGCGCTTTATCAGCAGCTCGCCGACCTGGGGAAGCTTCGTGTTGACAATGGCCGCCATGGCCGCATAAATGGGCGTGAAGGGCAAGCTCGCAGCCTGGGCCTTCATGATGGATCGGCAGAATAGGCCTCTGCCCCGAACCAAATTCTCGCCAAACAGCTCGGGAACGATGTGCTTGATGTTGGCAGTGTTGACTTTATTGATCAAGCCGTTGATGCTCTTCTTCAGCGCCTCCCACGCCATCCTCTGATACTCTTTGCTGGTCTTGTCCGTGATCTGCGCCTGGAGCGCTCTGAGCCTCGCGGGGGGGATGTACGTTCCTCCCGATCGCATATTTAGCAGTTTTTCGTACTCGGCCTTTGCCGCCGCTTGCTTCTCTTCTTCGGTTCGCTTAGGCGGAGCGGGCGATGGAGAGCGAGAATCTCTCGAAGGGCGATAGAAATCACCATCTCGTTGCGTTCCACGCTCACGCTCACGGCGCGGCACGTCACCCACGGCTGACGCCATTGTGTCGCGTGAATCTGAGCGGAGAGAATGAAAAATCGTGAGGCTAAACAATAAATACTGGCGACTGGGTTGTATTTATTCGGGTGTAGAAGGAAGCTGAGGCGGGCGAGATGATGCGCTTCACAAGAACTTTTCCACGGCCTGGGGCGAATGATTTCTTCGAGAGCTTGGGGACACTGGAAATAAATAGGACGGGAGACCGCACGGGCCATTTTCCGACCTTTCTGCGCCACAGCACATGGTTCGCACTAAATCGCTGTTATTGCCTGCAAGAATCATCTTGCATCGGCTGATGTATAATAAGCTCCTGCGTCGCGATATTGTGGCTTTATTTATGTATGTATTCAAATATAATTTTACATTATAACAGGAAAGAAGAAGAACAAGGGGGAAAAAAAAAGTTCTCACCGTGTACTCGACCGCAGCAGCAGCCAAACTAGACTTACTTCACAATATCCAACGTCTTCTTTATCAACCAACAATTTGAAGCAAAGAAACAACCTCGCTACGCAAGAGAAATTACCTAGATACATATCTAGTAGCTACCGGATTTTACTTTAACTCGTTGAGCGTGAAAACCCAAGCTAGTGTTCTTTCCGTAAGTAAAGTTCCGGGTCATCTATTGCTACTCGGTGTAAGCCCGCGATAATGAACAAGATATGCGCAACAAATATATATATATACATATGGCCATGGCCTTGGAGCAGCAATAAACCATTCTATCGAGTACCTACAGCCCATAATCAGAAGCAATCAACCATACCTACCTTGCCTACCTTAGTACCCAGAGAGCTGCTCTCTCAAGCTTGAAATGTCCATGTTATAGCCACATACGCACCCAGCGCACCGCCACACAAACCCAGCACCCAGCAAGCACACACCAGCCCCTAAAAACCTTCCGAAGCCCATCCCTGGCGCGACCTAAAGAAATCCCTGTTTCATGCCAGCGTGGATACTATTGCCGCCGCCGCGCGCGCCTCTCTCAAAGCTCCCGCATCAGCGACGAAGCTTCTTCTTCTCCCACGTCGCCTTTTCTCAACAACACCACTTGGTCAAGACTCACCAACCCCGCGCTCCTTTAAAAACAAGAAACACGCTTTTCCAGCCACTTCCCTCCCCTTCCTCAATTCTGTCTCCTCAGAGGAAGGTTGTAGCTGAAGCCCTTTCTCTCTCTCTCTCTCTCTCTCTCTCTCTCTCTCTCTCTCTCTCTCTCTCTCTCTCTCTCTCTCCACCCTTTTTAATCTGCCCTTTTTTCCGGTTTATTACACCAAGCTTTCCTAACAATGGTATGTCGGTCCTGCTTCCTCCTATTTCTTTGTTGTTGTTTCTCTGGGTGACGCCACCACTCCCATCTTAAACAATCCGTCACGGCATGAAGCCAAAAGAAGAAACAAAAGGCTAACTTCTCTACAAGCTCGACAAGCTCGTCGGTTTCGCCATGCTGGTGGCCGCCTCCGTCATCTTCCTCTACTACACCATCTGGACCCTCCTCATGGTAAGAAAAACGCTCTCTTCCAATCCATCTGGGCACGGAACCAAAAAACGAAACCGATCGACTGCCAATCCGCGCGCAATTATACGACGAATCCATGCTAACTTGTCATTCTCAACAGCCCTTCGTTGACATCGACCACCCCCTTCAGAACCTCTTCCTCCCTCGCGTCTGGGCCATCCGCATCCCCGTCATCCTCCTCCTCCTCGGATCGGCCGTTGTCGGCTCCTTCGTCGGCATGGTTATGATCCGAAGCAACCAGAAGAAAGCTGCCAAGGCCAAGGCTGCCGCTAAGAAGAAGGCTTAAAGGAAAAAGGGGCAGGGAAAGTCATAATAACCTTATATGTATATGTACCTATCTATGTGCGAGAAATGAATGACCTGTCATCTATGCCTGAGATAATCTGGGGGGATTGTTAGAGTTGGTCATAGCAATGAACAAGTAATAGTGGTCTGTCACAGTTAATGAAAAAAGAGAAAAGAACAATACGGAGAGACGTCGAGTTGGGTGTCTCGATTGGTGTCTATTCAATAATGAGGCGCTACAGAAAGCTGCTAAACAGTAGAGACGCTACCTATAGAACAAAAAGGCAACTATGGAGCCATATAGGCAACGCATCCAGTCTAGATAAAAAAACAAACACCGAGCAGCGGTAGTGAGGGACTCGAAGAGTATAAATAAGCCATTCATAAAACCAATCCTCCAACAGTATTGTTCAACTTTGCTCAAGGAGAGGAGAGTAGAAGAAAAGTCAAGCAAAACAATGAACCGAGTGTCAGAAGTTTGTCAAATTAGTAAAAACCTAGTTTATACCCAAGAAAAAAGTAAGAAAGAAGCCCTCTCGAGTCCCAAAATCCTGAGAAGAGTTAAAGATCGGTTGTTCGAAATTGCGACACCACTACTTGTAGCCAGTTAGACTCTCTGGTCGGCAAAATCGAGAACTTCGCAGTCGTCCTCAAAGAATCCATCGCCATCGGGATCCCCTTGGTGAGCTCCGCGTCGTCTCCGTGTAGTGACAACGATTTGCTCCGAGTCGCCAAACTCCATAACACGCTCCATGGCCGACGGAGGGAGTGGTCGGTGGTCCTCTGGGTCGTCGTATTCGTCCTCAAAGGCAGAAGGAAGGCCAAGATCCAGCTTGACGACAGAGATGTCCTGCCCAAATGCCCAAGCAGATGCATCGGCGCCGCCGCCGCTTGGCGCATTTACAGCGAGGTGCTGCCCATTCTTCGACTTCTTCGAAGAAGGCGCCTTGGCCTCCAAGGAAGAGTTTGACAGAACTTCCGAGACTCCATCCAGCTGGCTTCCATATGCAGGGGTGTATTCGCAAAGAATAACGCGCCTGTCGGTGTGGAAAGGCTGATAGGGTGCGCTACACTCAATTTCTGCTTGGGGAATGGTCTCGGCCATGGTATGAAGTGTGTTGTTTGAAACCACATGTGGGCGACCCTTCAGTGTCAATGTCGTTCCGACATCCATTTCCGTGTCTGACAGGTCGAGATACTCTTCTTGAGCACCTGAGTCTAGGATCTGGCGGACAGCTGGAGCAACGTTATCGTCTGGCAGAAGTGGGACCTGATAATCTGTATATCGATTCACACGCGAAACCCGCTTGCCACCAGATTGTCGTCGAGCCTTATAAGGATATGTTCGTACAAGACCTCCGCCTAGGTTGAACAGCGTTGCGCTCCGGCGGCTTCTGATCCAAACCACGCATGACGATGAAGGCAGAGATGAGCTTGGAGGCAGAGAGAGCCGATTCTCTCCAGTGTGTCGTAGCTGGCTGATGGCAGACCCCGTCTTTCCAATCGAGCTAGTGATGCTCGCAGCAATCGCCCGCCCTCCCTGAGCCGCTGAGTCCTTCAGAATGCTACCAGCAGTAGATGCACTGTTGCCGCTCCCTTGGCGTGAACGCGTGACGAAGGGCATTGCTACTTGGTATGCAGCGCCAAAGGCACCGGACGCGATAGAAACGGCCGAGCTCGATGGCTCAGATGGCTCGGCGGCAGGCTTCGAGGTCACTTTGCGTCGACGTGGTGGTGGCCACATGAAAGCGCTAAAGGGCATATCCAGAAGATGAACCGTTCCTCTCTCTGTTACCATGGCTAATCGCTCCCCTTGAGGCTCCATCCACACGACGTCGATAATCCGCGCGACAGTCATGCGTGAGAATTGGGCGATTTGCCGAACTTGAGGGCCAGTGCTATCATGAGTAGCCATCGACGCCTGCAGAGGCGAGGAGTGCGTATGTTGAACACGAAACAGGTCCCATACAGTCTGCACGTCTCCCTTGCTGCTTGCTGTGAACAGCGACAGGGAAGAGGGCGAGAATGACAGGAAACTGCATCCTAGGGGTGTTGAGAAAGTGGCGGAGGGGTGGATAGACGGAGACAACGCCAGAGAATCAACATCCAAGATGGAGACGAATCCCGAATCTTTGGTTGCCGCCGCCTGCCCAGACGTTCCATGCGTTGGAGGAAATGCAGCACCGTCGTTCAGAGGGGAGCGTGTGCCGTTCCACTGCTGAGGTGGTGACCATGGCTGCTGTTGCTGGGACTGCGGGCTGGTTGCCCTATTCCAATACGAGTTCCATGCTTGTAGGCCCTGCTGGCCAACCCATTTCGCGCCCTGAATAAGCTCCTGTGTCGCCTCACGCATGACCTTGTTGACAACACTGTCTGAAATGGGCAGATCCACAGCGGCAGTAATCGAAGGAAGGTGAGGAGGCGTCACGGATGTGATGCCAGCTCCTCTGCCCAAGATTGGAACCGGTAGATGAGCTCGAATGGCGATGCTTGAAGATGGTGCTGCTGGGCAGTAGGCAATTTTCCGGCCGTTGAGAGCGAAAATGGCAGTTGGAGGGTTAGGTCGTCGAGTTGCGCCAAGGGAGTTCATCTTATCACTCTCCTCGGGAACGTCGCTTCCTCGCTGCCCTTGCTGAATACAGGTCCATAGCTTGGCGGTGCAAGCAAACCTGTGTCCATTCTGTGCTTGCAGCAGCTGTGTGTAAATCCAGCACTCACCAGTGGTACCAGAGCATAGTGCAACGGTTCCAGCATCTGCCTTAATGGCAAATGCTCCGGTGGGAAGTGGAGGCTGAAAGATTGGGCTAGTAATGGATACCTCCGCGCTGATGGGAATGGTCGGGGCCTGCAGAAGGACGTCGACTAATTTATTCGTCTTGAGCGAGTATACTTCGACGGTAGTCTGATATGCTTCAATCGCTTGGCCCTTCTGTACATTGCGAGTGGAGAAAGCGTCGTGGTGAGTATATGCGGACCGAGGGCTCACCGCACCGTCTGTTTTCTTCGCCGTGCTATCGTCTTCCTCTTCGTCTGGGGTCGCGGGGGATCGCCGGGGTAGTACGGGGCCATGGACTACCAGTGCGACCAAAGGAAAGATGCCGTCCTTGTCTCCGCCGACAGTCCATGGAAGTATCTTGGCATAATGAACTCCGCCACGCAGGCCTTTAAGGCTGGCCATGGGCTCTAGTCCCCTCTTGCTAACACCGTAAACTTCCAAACCCCCTTGATATCCGGCCAAGACGACATTCTCAGAGCCAGTCGCGCTGTAAGGACTTGGCAACTTGTCGAAGCCAAAGTAGAGGCCCTGATCGCCCGGCTTCATGCCGGACTGCGGCTTGATGGTGAGGTCTAGGTCTGAGACGCCGTAAAAGTGTGCCTGAGGTTGGTGAGGGAGCGGAGGATGCGAGCCCATGCGGGAGTGACCATGAGGGTACATGGCTGGAGAATTGACGGAGCTCCGCCGATGATGCAGAGTAGTTGAAGAAGCCCTAGGCATGCTGTCCGGAGACACGAAATGAGGGTCCATCTGGTAGCTGAGAGGCCGCTTCGGGTGGCTGGTGGGCGGAGAAGGCGATGCCGGCGACGGCGTCATGAAGGCTCTCTGGGCTGACCAGCCATGGTGAAGGTGGCTCGGATCCTCGTAGGAGGAGGGCTGCGTAGGAGGCGATTCGCTCGCCAGAGCGATGAGGTTGTTTGGAGAAGCCGCCATTCGATTTCTCGCCCAGTCGTGGATCATGCTTGGAGCTGTGCTCGCAGACACCGAAGTTGTCGACAAGGCATCCAGTGAGGGCGACGGCTCGGGATTTTCATTGTCAGGCGCGGCCGAAGGTCTTATCTCGGGCGTGTTGATCGGAGGGGAGGAGGCGTTGGAAGTAGGAATGCTCTTGGAGGAGTCGTTTCCACTTTCGTCGCCGTCGTTGACGGGTCTTCTATTTATCCACAAGAGCAAAGGTCAGCGGTCATATTGCATTGTCTTGAGGCGCAACGGCGAGTGCACGGCAACAGGGTGAGTCACGCGGCCAAATGTGAGCATGCGATGCGATGCGGCGCCATGGCTGTGAAGATGGGAGTGGTTTAGCGGGAGGACTCACACGAACTTGCCGGCGGTTTGTTTGGTCACCGCCGCGGCAATGCCGCCGCTGTGCTTTGCATTTTTCCTGTCCTTCTTGGCTGCAGCAAAAACATAGTCAGTATCAAAAGCGCTCCTTTTAATGTATGTCTGTCTGTCCATCTGTCTGCGGTGCTTTGCATCGACTCGCTCAAGGGATGGAGAGAGATGCAAGTCTTATCGCAGTGTCGTCACCGCAGTGGTACAAAGATAAGAGCTGCCTGCTGTTACTCACCCGGCATTCAACCTGTGTAGGGGATTGGAGCAGTTGTCCCGCTCCAAGAGCTGTTGCCTTCCGCAGAACAACACAGGTTCCGGAAAGACCGCAGCTCAAGCAAAATGGAAGAAATAATGGAATATAATAAATCGACAGGGCAAATAGATATCGTTATTACTGCTGTCCCTTCAAGGAAACAGAGCGGGCTGGCGAAGAAGCTTCTCGTCGGATAGGCAGTAGATCGATGCGGCAACTAGTGACAGCTACTGCTGCTGCTAGGCAGAAGCTGTAGCGGGTAAACGAGATTTGAGGTACCGCTAGATAAGGGGCTCGGCCGCCTAGGAACGAGGGGCTATCGACGGCGACGAGGGGCTCGCGTCCAAGGTACTACTACGCAGGAATAGGTAGTAGTACGAAGAGATTATTGGCAAACGAGATATACGGAAGATGCAAGATGCAGTAATACGCTGGTTCGTGCAACAAAAGAAACAACTGGTTTTCTAAGGCTGGTATAAGTGAAAATGGCCGGTATGCAAGGAATGGCGCAGCCACAAGGTTCGTTTTTGGTTTTCGTGAGAATATGCGAAGTCTATCGTTGATATAGGAAAAGCAAGGACAAAGCAAATAGGTATCCGTTTCGTAGAGACCGGGTATTATTCAGAGCAAGGCTGGTTCGTCAAAGAGAAAGAGACTGAAGTGCTGTTTGAGCTTGTATTTGTTCGAGTTTTGTTTGTGTGCAGATGAATGTAAGTAAAAGAAGGATGATGGAGAGAAGGGCCGCTGTTGTTCAAGAGGACCTTGGGGGTGGCAGCTTTGATGAGCCGAAGGCTGCCCGCCAATTACAGCATACCGCACTGCGAGCTGGCGCGGTACGTGCAGGTACCTGCGCCTACTTTGTATGGCGACGGCCAGGGCGCTGTTGTCAATGACTTGATAACGCGGGGGGAGTAACCAGGTCCGCTGTACGGAGCAGCTGTTGGGGGGGCGTGATTCTGCGAGGGGGGGCGCAGAGGGGGGGGGTGGGCGCTCCCCGTTGCTCCGGGCTTGTACAGAGCGGTACCGGCCGGTATTGGTCCGCACGTATCACAAGCTGCGGCGGTAGTGGCTCGCTCTCTGATCCTGTGGTCAGCGGCCACAGGGGCAACAGCGCTCGCGACACGCTAATCTCAGCTAGGCGGGCCAGCAGTCGGAGGGTTTCTAGGGGCGTCCAGCAACTGAACGTGTCAAGATCCAGCGCTTCCATGCCTCTTGGTAATCCCATGGATGGATGGCCCATGGACCAAGCCGCATGCACACAGAGCACATGTACTGTAGAGGTGCTGGGTGCATGTAAGAGTACCTGGGTACGATGGCACGGCCTAGTATCTGCTATCGCGGAGCCCTCCGTACAGGTACCAGTATGGACAGACGGCTCTTGTGTACATACAAGCCTCATCTCATCTCGTGTCTTTGATTACTGCTAGTAGACACCACTTAATGTAGGTACACTCAAGTAAGCTGCGTTGTGGCTAACCTTACTTCGAGGAGGTACACGCCGGTACCTCCAGGAATCCGCCTATCACAGCGCTGTTACTGGCTGGCTGCCACGCGGTACAGTGCCTATCGCTGACTGGCCCTGCGGCTTCGGGTTCTGGCGGCGCATTTAGAATGAGATGCCAGCCGCTTTCCCAACGGAAACCAAGAGGCGCCGCGCCATCTGCAGCGTGAATCGGCAAAGCAGCGTCGCAGTTTGGCGTTTTGTTTTTTCTGTGATTGATGTGATCGCATAGCAAGGCCCCGTGAATGCGCCTATTGGCTATTCCGTCTGTCCCGAGCAGAGGGATGATGTGCTGGTGTACCCAAGTTACGTAAGTACCGCTAGGTACCTACTAATAAGCGCGGTATAAGCTGCAGTGGCAGATCTCAAGAATTGAAGGGTCAATACCAACTACGTAAGGCACCTGTCAACCACTAGAGCATCGACGACAGCGCTCTAGGCATGCCTCAGCCACCTCACCAGACCAGACTGGTCCAGGCCAGTGACCGGCTCCGGCGCGTCATCCCCCATCATCCGCCGTGCCAAAATGACGTCCCCGCCGAAAAGGGATGAGCTTCTACCCCGGCAAATGACTAAGAAATGGCGGCTCTCCTTTCTGCTCCTCTTCCTTATCTGTGCCGCCGTGAGATTTCGCATTATCAGATGGGGGATAATGAGTGCTTTTGGCATACGGAATGCGTGCAGGTACCTCCTGACAGGCACGAGACACAAGCTACATACATACAAGGCGTTGCTGCAAGCCGATAAGCCTCTCCTTTGTCCTCGCCGTTCACAGCCGCAAGGAGCAGGCTGCGTATCAGCATGCAATAGACTGGCCCTGTTGCGCCACACTTTCTCACACCCCCTTCTCTCAGAAGCCTTGTACCACTTGGTACATGGTAGATGCGATACGTCCATCCATGGCCCTGGAATGGGCATCGATAGAAGCGCAGAGAAGAACATGGCTATTTTTATTACCTACTCCTCGCCATCAAAGGGACTAAGATGAAGTCGTTACCACCTAGTACCTATAGTGTATTGGCACTATTACCTGGATAGTGAACTACTAAGGAAATTAAAACGCTCCGTGACATGGTGTCAGGTGATAGGTGCCTCCTACGCCATGGACAGACTTCCCCCGTGGCAAAACAAACAGCTCGAAGCCATCTACTTAGCCCCTTCTGTTTATTTTCCTTCTTCTCGCCTTTGCCGCGTGTATCCAGAACAGCACAAAGTGCTAGCACAAACGACATCTCGTACTGTACCGAGAGCGTAATGCAAGGGACAGTGACGCTGCCGCGGGATCGCCACTGGGGGTGTGTGCGTGTGTGTCTGGGGAAGCTCTAGACAGGTTATAGACAGCAAACACGCAGGAACACGGCAAAAAGAGGGCGTCTAGAGCGGCATTTGCCCCTCTTCGTCGTCTCATATCGTCATGTTCCATCATCGCTTTCCAAGATGGAGAGATTCACACTAGACTGCGGGACACTCCGTATCGAGCTCCCCCATTATCGTATCGCCCTTCGTCTCTGATAAGCCCGCTGTCTAGGAAGCATCCCGATAACCACAATCCATGGGGGCACTTCTTATCGGAGAGTCTTGCCCGCTGTAAGTGGCTTTCTGCAGATAAAAACGGCTGACAAACGTCAGCACGTAAAGTAAACATATGCAGCTCGGGGAATAACGCGGGATGAACTTGTCTGTAACGCGCTTGTGGCTTTTTCTTCACTTGAAACACCCCTTCGTGACATGAATAAAGCCTCTTGGAAGCCGTGGATCGACGCATAATTGGGCAATTAATGTCACACGACTTATACACTAAGTAAAACGGAAGTAGGCGGGTAGTACTAGCAGCAGCTAGATACTGTATTACCTCACATATACGAAGAGACGCAGTATCACTACAACTTCATGGATTTCATGCAGGCCGCTATTTCATCATATACACAGAATACGCAGCAAATTTCCACTCTTCGTTGCCATCCTCATTTTGCACCTTTCTCACAGTCCCGTGGCCCGCCCATGCAACAGTGCTTGAGACGCCGTCTTTGGTCTTGTACGATACTTCGCCGAGAAGCATCAGCTCGCATTCCCGCTTGCTGTCCGCCGATTCAATAAACTGCCCCGGGAAGACCTTTCGAACTGTGTGGCTTCTCTCTTGTACCGCTGACCACATTCCCTCACGCATTGTGCGGATATCTGTTTGTTCCCGTCAGTAATTGGACTGAAATTGTTGGCGAATCTACCGCCATTTGTATGTTTCGATACGTCTCAATGGTCTATGAGAAAAGAAAAGAAAAGCGAAAATGAGAAGCGGGAAAAAAAAAACTGACCCTCTCGCCCAGTCGCCTTCGCAGGCCCAACAGCTATATGTGCATCTTTGGTGAACTGGTCGACCCACAGCTCATTCAACTCCTGCTTGTCGGATATCCTGTAGAAGTTGGTGATGAATGTCCGAATCTCGGGATCGGGAAGGCCACCGTGCACCGGGTACAGTGGGACGTATTGCGCACTGACTGAGCCAGACATCTCTTGTTCTCTTTCTCCTAACAATTTGTTGGTGGGTGCAAAATTGATGCAGTGTATTGATGGAGCGTGAACTTGATAAAGCTCAGAACGCCATTAACACTGGAGCTCTATATATCTCGGAATGGCTTCTTCTCGTTGGCCCAGCTGAAGTCTTGGTAATCAGGGCGGCTATGTCAGCAATACGGATGTAGCACCTCTGAACCCCACCAACCGGTTCATTCCGTCGGCGATATTTGAGCAATAATGCGCATACAGCATCACCGGCGGCGATAGCATCTTCGCTATGCTGAATACGTTTTAGAAGGAACGTGTATATTCTCATTTTGCGGTCCCTTACCCGCTTGTGGTCCTCTTCCAGCCGAAGAAGTCCGCATTCTGGCGGCAAGTTCCATAATGTCGGCTACGGTTCCGACGGATTTCCGGTTGCACAGTTCTCTTTCCCCATTCAAGCAGCGCTAGAGCAATACGGGCAGTCACTCGTCATATACGAACATCAATCATCACAGAATGCATTGTTTCAAAAAGAAAAAAGACAACGGGGGAAAGAAGATCCCCTCTTATTATGTTCTGATGGCTGCTTGAAAATGATACTCAGCCGCCAGCGCTCCGCCCTCCCTTGTATTCCGTCCCAAGTATGCCGTATCCCAAAGTCCTCATAACACCATGCTTCAAATCATGACGAGTACGTATAAACCGGTTGAAAAGAAAATAGAACAAAACAAAAAAGTTTATTTCTTCACCCCCCGGGCATTAATTTCTCCCTTCTCTCCAATATTGAGAAGTTTACGACAATCCGGGCAATACCACTTAGTCGTTCTCGCAGGGATTTCTGAAAGGCCTACGCATTCAAGATGGAACCATTCCTGTTTACAATTCTACTGCTTTGTCAGCGGATCTGTTTCTCTGGCAGGTACCTCCGCGGAGATGATCGCCGCTAGTAAGAGAGAGAGAAGGTCATAGAGTATAGACTTACATCGACGTTATCACACTGAATCATGGTACCAAAACTCACTCTGTTACACAAGCAGTACCGCGGTTCGTTGGGGTCAATGGGGTTTCCCTCATCGTCCACATCTTCCATCTCCTCCGTTACTTGACCTTTGTCTTTTTTGGTCGCACGAGCCTTCTTCTTCGGCGCCGCTTTCCGCTTGCCAACGGCGCTGTTACCACCGCTGCTAGTCGTACTCACAACACCAGGGGCTGGGCGCTTAGTGCGTTTGCTCGGCTGCTTAAGCTCAGGAACTGGTGTGTTGCGAGCCGTGCTGGCACGCCGAGATCTATCAACGGCCAACGACGGCTGCGGTTCTTGGCTGGCCGCCTTCCCTCGGGAGCCGGGCCGGCGAGGGAGCGACTCTGGGGCAGGCGTTAATCTGGGCGTGCCACCGCGTGACGAAGATTGCTTGGTGGAGATTTCAGGCGCTACCGATTGGTCTTGCGGCTGCTGAGGCGACGTGGACGCCGATAGCTGCTGTGATCGCTTCGCAGCCTCTCCCCGCGTCTCACGTTTACTCGCCTCTCGCCCGGGCAGCTCTCTAATCGCTGGCGGGGGAATCGGTGTGGTAGACATCCTTTGCTGCTCCGTCTTGGGGAGGGGCACAGGGGTTTCAAACGGAGCCTTAACAGGCGCAGGAGTGGTGACGGTAACCGTTCCTGTGCCATTGGCTAGATTAGAGCCTTCTGCTGGAGACGTTGCTGACCGAGTCGTGACGGAAGATTGTGGAGGAATTGGTATGGGGACGGGAGTCTCCGACTGGGGAACAGCTACACCAGATGTCGCTGTAGCTGGGGGCGCAGAGTTGTCGGAGGAGGCCGAGTTGCTCTGAGGTACCATGCCTGGCAGCGGTGGTGGGACCGGTGTCTCAGTCTTGGTGCGCTTTGCCGGTGGCCGCGATGACGATGGTCCTTCACCGCCTTCTATCGCCACTGATGATGGTCCTGTCGGTGTTCCTGCCGCCGCCGCCGTATCGCCGTTGGTCTCCCCTTCAGCCTCTCTCTTGCGCTTAGATCTGGAATTGTTTCGCGGTTTTGGCTGTGACCCCGGGCTCTTAGCAGTCTCGGGTGTCATGCTGGAAGTCGAACTGCCGCCCAGGAACAGCTTTGCTGCCTGTTGCATCTTTCTGGCAGACTCTTCTGCCTCTTCCGCCGCAAGCTTCGCCAGCTGCTCCCTCTTGAGCTTTTTCGCCTCATTGAGTTTCATTCCTCTGTTGCTGGTGGGCACCTCTGAGGCTGCTAACGAGTCGACGCTTATTGCACCGGCAGGCATTTGTCGAGTCCCAGACTCGTTATCAATAATTGGCGTTGGTACCGTCGCTTCAAACACTGCACCTTCTTCCTCTGCCTTCTTCTTCGCCTCCCTATAGGCATCCGGTCCACGGCCGAGAGCTTTTAGTTCCCGTGCAATCATTGTCTCGCTGGGAGTCCACGTAGCGTTCTTCTTCATCCGTTTCCTTAGCTTGGCCAACTCGTACTGCGTCAACTGAAGCCATGGCGCATCAGGGCTGCCGATAACGGCATTCTCTGGTGGAGGATTAAGCAGCGCAGCGGCATTCGCAGCTGCCGCAGCACTCAAAGCAGGCGTAGCATATTGTCCGCGTGAAGAACGGCCTGAAGACTTTTGGCTCTTGTTGCTAACCAGCTTGATCCGAGGCGTCGGAGCTTGAATTCTGCGGTTCATTACCGGCGCTTCGGACTCCTCATCAGAGCTTATATCGCTATCATCGCTAAAGGTATCGTATTCAATTTCGTACGGCGCCAGAACCTCTCCAGGAACTGTAATTCGGGGCACTCGAGACCGTCGTACTTTCTGTCCATCTTCCCCCGTAGCTCTGACTGTCAGCTTCGCTCTAGTCATTTGAGGAGATCTCGGCTCGGCAGGGGTCTGCTCTTCCGTGGGATAGTTTTCCATCATCGTCTTAAGCTTAGATAGGAGCGCCGTCGCCTTGTTGTAATGACGGTTCACATTTTCTGCCATCCTCATTGCCTCTGCGTGGGCAAAGATCCTCGAATCCAGGGCTTGGTTTAAATGTTCCGAAATATCAGCACGCAGCTGCACCGGAGATGGGCGCTCATGTGTCGGCACGCCGGGGAGCTGCCCCCATAATGTCGTCAGGTCGTCGACCTTGTGCGATGCATCTGCATATCTCTCATCCAATTTACCGATCAAAGTCAGGGAGCGAACCATGTCGGCAGGAAGGTATTCCGTGAAGTCGAGGAAGTCGGTAACGGTCGTCTGCGCATCGGGGTCTGCGCGAGCCGTGAGAACACTGCTCACCGGCCCCATGGAAGGGCCTTCAGCAAGTTCAAAGGTCGCAGTCTTGGTCTTTGGAGAGACAACATCCTCGTTGTCGATGTCGGCTTGGGGGGCAGCGGGTTCAGCTGGAGTTGCCATGTTTGGCAGCGCGGCTCAGCACCGGTGTCGCGCGCCGCAGATTCCCAGCTGGCGCTGGGGCAGGTCAAAGTTGTCAAGCTGATGATATTCGCACTCAAGGGCGTCCATTGGGAGGCGCCTTTTTTGGCCGAGGCGTGTCACGACTTGCTAAAACCGCGTTGCGATGGCTAGCTTCGCCTTGGCTCCAATCTGGAGACTGGAGGCTCCGTGCTCAGGGAGAAAACAGCCCGTGCGCCGCGAGGTACTGCGCTGTATTATGTAACCAGCCAGAGCCTATCGCTGAGCAGGATGAGTCATCGGCTCTTCCCGCTGCACCAGAGCCATCCCGCAGCTGCTTCTGCGACAGCTTCTGGCTTCAAAGAAAACGTGCTTGTTAAATGCAAAGCCCTCTCAATAGCACTGGCATGCCGCATTGCAATCAACAGCGCGTTGGCTACGCCACTGTTGATCTACGGCCTCAACAGCCTTTCCAGCAGCTCGACATGCCTACTCGGGACATGCCGCGGTCATCATCTGCAGTGACCTTGCATACGCGCGGGTCGGTAATTTTGCTGCTGACGCGGCAATCTCAATAAGATCCTAGTTTGTGCGATCACCCTATTTTATTGAGCTTTTTTTTTAAGATGTTCTGCATATTAGAGAGATGCTCTTCTCGAAAAAGCTATGCCTAGCAACTGGACTCCAAAAATCATATTCCACAAAATACAATAACAACCATGCCAACCACCCATCTATAGTATTACCTTTTATTTGGCCTTCTTCCCAAGTGGGTTCGGAGGCTCTCTCATTTCAGAGCTGGAGACAGACAAAGGTACCTCATATACTGGATGCGAAATAGACGCATCCACCAGGATATTACTTATTTCCGTTCATTCACCAATCCCAATCTGCTTCCGAGTCCCGCATCAGCTTGGCCCCCGCAATTTCTTCAGATTCTTCTGCGAGATAGGCGGAATCTGGCCCAATGAGAGTCAATGAGCCGTACAGAACCAGACGTCTGCATTTTCTGTGGTTGTCAAGTCAGCTTGTGGCTCATTCTTGGCGCTTGGGAATCAATCTTACAGGAAGCCAATGATGATCAAGTTCCCCCAAATCTCGAGCTCTACCCCCTCCAGGGTGCCCTCGACCCTCAGCTTTCCATATCCGATGATCTTGTCACTGTGTTGAATTTCTGTTAGCGACTGGATAATGTCTGCGCGTGCATACTCAGGTGGCTACTCACCCGCAGGCTAGGTAACCGTTTACCAAGATATTGCCGTATGCCTTGATTTGTCCCCTTTTTTGGACACCAGAGTCAGCTTTATTGATTATACTATTTCTCTTTCGATCCACACGCCCCGTCTCTCTTGCCCCTTTGATCAGCATGGCAACTTACTGGCAACTTATCTCCCCCCTAGAAGTGATATTGCCATAGGCATCGATATTTCCTCGGACGGAGATGTTTCCCTGGAGGTTGACTCCGCGTCCTGACTCTATCGAGCCAGTCACCTCAAGCGGGCCTTGGGCATTGATTTCTTCATCGCTCTTCATACTCCTGCACCTTTTAAGGTTTCTGGGCGCCGTGTATCCTGACGTCGACCCAGAAGCATAGTACTCGGACATGGCCGTTAAAGGTCAACTGAATAATCCCCCTTTAGAGCAAGACACGAGAGGGCTATACAAGGCCAAGAGTAATCTTAAATTTAGGGTATTGGAAGCTTAGTGCTCACGCTCTTTGTTTGGCGATAGCCGAATAGAAATCTGTCAACGATAGGTGTCTTGACAAATACGGCAGTTGGAAAGCCAGATCGTGGGCATCTTATACGCTCAAGTCGGATAGCGTGTAACTGGTGTTCAACAAGGCTCCCGTGCCGGAATGTGGATGTTACTTCTCCCAAACGCTGGATGAACGCAGCAATGGACGCAGCCCTTGAGGACGAAGCAGCCCGAAGCAGTCAGAAGGTCCAAGGCTGCTGTGATGTGTCTCCGCCGTCGCCTGATACACCCCTGCAGCACCAGTCATATCTGTTCAGCTCACCGTTTTGGATGAACAGCTGAACAGGTAAGAGTGACGATTCCTGCCTTGTTCGCCGTCTTGTGTCTCTCGTCTGTCTCTCCGCCTTACGACGCCCTTGTCATGAGAGAGCTCGATATGACGCGAGCTGCACGAACTGTGTGACTGCTCACCCTCCCCCAGCTCGATAGCGTCTCTGAATCAAACAGCCTGGCAATATTGAGCCAGGTAGGGCGTTCACAAAGCAATTATTGGAATCCTCAGGATAGTCGGACTCCGCAGGAGGGGTGGCCTAGGAAGAGGAGGCGGTTGCAGAGCGAACGGTGGAGAAAAGACGAAGGAATCAAAGCCTGCAAACCTGGCAAGGTCTTCGGTGCTTGGTGTAAGTGACGGGGTTGCTGCCACGGGGACGAACACCCAGCAAGAGGTGGCATCCGGTTCTGTCTGAATCCTTAAGCCAAGATCCTCGCCTGGTCTTTTTATGGAGCCCGTCTAACGGGTATACGGAGTAATACGTGCTAATCTCGGTCCCCAGTGCAACTTTTTTTTTCTCCTCCTCTTCTCTCGTTTCCCCTCTCCATCTTGACTAACAAATAAAACCCCTCAATCCCTGCTCCATGTTGAGGATTTCCCCCTCTCTCTGAGACAGAAAGCAAAGGGACCACATAGGCAGCGGGCCCTTCTCGAGCTTGCGGGCTAAGCAGTGGTTGAGCGATCTCATCAGGGCGTTGGAGAGAGGCACACTAGCAGGTCGGGCTACGTCTCCATCGAGATGCCAACTATAAGCGGTGCTACACAAGGTGGCAGGCTGCTCGCATGGCCAGAACCCGAAGCTCAGGTTCTTGCCCCCCTTCCCCCCCTTCCTAGAGCTTAGCCCTACCGGGTTCAGCGATCAATCTTGCGTGTCCGTTCCCGTTTTTTCCAGCCATTTCACACGTGCAATATATGCAGAGGCCATGCGGCCGACCCCATGCAAACCTGGATCTGTGCTAGTTTCAGCTCTGGCCCAATATAGAAGCACAGTTTGCCTATTTGGGGGCCGTTTTCTCGGGGGTGCGTCACTGGCTAGGCGGACAATCACTTTTACTTCTCGGTGACCCAGTTAACATCCCGCAAACCCGGTCTGCCTCTCCCGGGCACGGATAAGCCAAAACTGGGCGTTCGCAGCCTCATCTATCGCCGACGGGCTCCCTTCTGCGCTCTGAGTGACCCCCGCCGAGGCCGATGATGATGGCATTAATAATGCCAATAAATGTCCGTGTCGTATTATTATCGCATTATATCGTTTTATTCCCTTCCTGTGAGGCTGAAAAAAAAAAAGAGAGAGAGAGAAAGAGAGAGAACAAAGATAGAGAAGAGAGATTAGCTTATATTACTGTCCAACCTGTTTCCTAACCAGTCGAGCTATACGATACACTTCCCGTGCCGCGATTGACGCCATCTAGGACTGGCCCATACGCCGTTTGCTATACGGATACGTAGTAGTATATAGGTAATATATACAATCCCGGGATCGGCATTCCATCCGCCTTGCCGGCTGCTTACGCCTACGATGTGGCATCTCTGTCTCAGTTGCAGATACGACCTCACAGTCTGAATCACCCACTCCCTTTGACAGACGAAGCTCCATGAGTATTAGCCCCGTTCTCAGGCAAGGCGTTCAAGACCAAAAAAAAAATGAGGGGTGGCTATTTAGTTGGTGGCAGCCTTCCATTGTTCAATCTTTTAGCCGGAGCGCACTCCGGAGAGTAATAGGAATAGTCGGGCGCCTTCTTCTCACGCGGTCCCATCTCTATATGCATGGTGTTGCCGGCTTACTCACCTCCTTATACTCATTCGCGTACACTACTCTAAGGTAGGTACTAGTCATCCATCATGACATCCTCGCTACCTAAAAAATGACCAAACAAGATGATTTACTTTATCATGAGTTTTTTTATTCTTGATTATCTCACCCTCCAAATTTCTGCATTTTTTTGCGTCATTCATCCCCCATCCACTACAGTTGCCTATTGGCATTTGCTTTTCTCATCCTTTTTTTACGCCCAGCCTATCTGGACAAACAAGATACATCACATACCACATGACCTCACTTACTACCCTGAACCTAGCTGTTTCCCCAATGCTGCAACCAAAAAAAGTAAAGAGAATACATACAGTAATAACCAAAATCCGATAGCGCGTTTCACCAATTATCCCATGTAAATACCAAAGAGGAAAAAAGTACAAGAAAAGAAAGAGAAAAAGAGAAGAGAGAAAAAAAAAAAATAGAAAGCAAAGCAAACAGATATCCAGACACCACCTAGGCAAAAAAAGGAGGAGGTACAGTACTGATACAACATTAGACAAACTCAAAGGGGCAAGAGAGTAAAGGCATAGACAAGCGTTGCCTACATCTCACCTGTCTGCCTAGCACCTCCAGCTACCCAAAATTCTGCCTACCAAGTCTCATTGCAGAGAGGGTTCGAACGCTTTTTAATCGCGTCCCACAAATCCCAGTCCTACGCCTGTGCATAGAGCTGCAAACACCCACACGGCGGCATATGCAGCAGCCCCGGTCTGCTCAACGCCAGGGATGGTCATGGCGCAAGAGAGATATGTGTTGACACCCGTGACCAGCAGAGTCACCGCTGTGCGTAGAATGGCAACCTTGGCCTTGGTAGTATAGCCCCAGAAGTTCCACCACACAGTCTCTCTAAGGCTGGCCTCAACGGGGTCGAAGTTGGTGACGCGCTCGTCTTCCTTTGTCTTGCCAGCCGTGGCAAATGGCGGGAAGATGAAGGTGCTCGCAGCGGCGCCGAAAAGCAGCGTCACGGGCAGCACGGTAGCGTAAGACGCCGCGTACGCAGGCTCGATGCTGGGGATGCCTTCGAAGTGCAGGACAAAGATCTTAGGCAGCAGGAAACGCAGCGACAGGACCAGAATGACGGTGTATATGCTCGTTGAGAGGCCCGTGGTGAGTAGCTGCTGAGGGAAGCCGATGAGCTCGCGGTTAGGCAGCTTCGAAGATGGCTTGTGGACAGCCGAAAAAGGTCGCAAAAGAGAAAAGGGAACCGACGCAGAGACGACGTCCACGGCGAGGGCAGCAATGGCGGTTTTCGGACTGAGGTTGTAAAACGCAAACAAAAGGTAGATCTAGAGGATTACACATCAGCACAACTCCCAGTGCAGCAAGAGAGAGCAGAAGATGCCAAGTAATTATACATACCGCCGGTCCATGGGACAGGAAATCCATCATGGCAACATCCAAACCGTCTAGTCCGCCGAACCAGCTCAGCGCAAGCTCGAATCTAAGCGGCCACCATTCGTTAGCATAGGAAAAGCGAACAAACATCCAACAGCAGCAAGGAACTTACACCCTCCAGCCAGCAAGAATATAGATCTCCTCTGGCGTCTCCTGGCTTCGGCTCACAGTCGCCAACTCCCCGTTCGTCAACTCAGCCACCACGCTGTATCCAAGACTCGCCGTGATGAAGCTGATGCCCGCCACCAGTGGGAACACCACCAACGTCGGGATCCTAGCCGAGCGCGCCGCCTTTGAGGGGAATTCTCCCTCTCCATCCTTGGCAGGAGTAGCGGCGACGACATCATCGACATCATCAGCGCCACCGCGACGCTTCGGCGTTGTCTTTCCGACAGCCTTGCTGTCACTTGGCTTCTCCGGTGTAACCGTATTATCAATCACATCTTCTGCGCCCTCATTGCCTAGCGCTGCTCGCGCAGCCTCGCCTCTGGGCGCTCGCCGTAACGACGGCATCTTGTTCTGCTAAGGAGAGGGAGGTGGACAGGGTCGTGGTGGCAGTGGCAGTAGAAAGCTATCCCGGCTTGGCGGCCGAGCGTTATTCCGAAAGAGGGCGCGCGTCTTCCTAAGATTGACCGAGTTTGCTGAGCAAGTCGTCGCAGTTATAGCGGGAATTTGTCGCGGATTGAATGTTAAGCGCTGCAAACAAGAACACTTTGTGTGTTTGTTGAGAGAGGGTTCGGAAGCTCTGCCCGCGCCCGGCAGCTGTGGGGAAACGTGACGTTAACGTCGCTGGGGAAACAAACCTTCGACTGCCAGGTCCCCGCAATTTCTGGATGGAGCTCTCATCCCAGCTAGAGCTCAATTTCTGCGCTGCTAGGGTCTACATCAAATTTTTCTTCCACATCATTCACCGCGAAGGTCGAGAAAATTCATTCTCATCATGGCCGCTGCAGAATTGGATCGCATGGCATTCACCGGTTAGCTGTTGCTTGTTGGCTAGATTTAGTCCATCTTTTGGCAGTCATTCAAGAAAACAGAAATAATGCATTAACATTGTCACTGTGCACGCGTGCTTCCTGTACCATGGCATTGACTTCTGTGATGGTGATGTCTTTTTTTTTTCTCTTATCTCTTCTTTAAACGTCATGTTTTTATTCAGAATTTATTCGAGTGTACGCTCGACGCCTCGTTGAATCCTCACTTTAACCTCGTGGAGAAGCAATCTCATTCCAGACATCCAGCACACAGCTCGCGTCCAGACAGGCCCTCCACTCCTTGGTGCTGAAGATTCGACAGCGGAGCAGAACCACCCCCAATACAGTTCCATCGAGTATATCGTTGTACAAAAGAAAGGTCGCGCCGATTTCCTTCCCATAGGTGATATCCATAATTCATTCCAGAGCAATCTTACTCCGGGGGTCACATTAATATATATAAACAAAAGAAGCGTCAATGATTCGAAGTCCCAAGAGAATTGCTCCGTCCCATATCCAATAAGTTATTCCTCCATGCGGCCAAAAACTCCGTCGTCATCTTCGTCGCTGCGGGCGCGAGACCGCATGTCGAAATCGTCTTCGCTGTCCTCCATCTTGACGTCTTCACTTCCGCGACGCATCTCACCACGGGTGAAGCTTTCTGGCTGTCTGCTGGGGTAGCTGTTGATGAAGCCGGTGCTTACAAAGGAGGCAGCTTGGTCCAAAAATTGAGCTGGGACGGGAGGCACAGGTGGCGCGTCCTCAGCAAGTGTTGTTACAACGTTTCGCGAGCCGCTGTTGCTGCCAAAGCTGCAGCTCAATAACTCGACAGCGGCGGCCAATTCATGATCGTCCTCGCCAATCATAGCATCTGGTCGCACATCGATGCTGCCACTGCGAACATGGTCGAATCCGTTTACGTTGGGGATGCTGCCGCGGATAAGAGGGTTCTGCGGCTGCGGGGACTGGAAGCTTCGTGAAAATACGCTGCCAGAGCTAAAGCGCTTCTCACGATATGCGGTGGTATCGAAGGTAGGGCCATCCTCGGCGGTCGGCGGTGGGGTAGTATCGGCGGAACTCCGACCATCAGCTTGCTCCGAGTAGCCTGAGGCAGCGGGCGATGCCGTCTCCGGCTCGCTCGCGAAGTCTCTGGCAGAGTCTGGAGGAGTGACTGATCTCTCGTCGGGGTTGCCGTTCATAGCTACCAAGACAGATGCTGCTTCAAGCAGTTGCACCTGCTGGTGCTTTGAGATGAGCAACTTGGAGGTGTAGGACCACTCAGGAGTGTGTTCCCATCTAGCCAACGAGTCAACAAATGAAACCCAAACCACACACATGTTTGCCGACATAAAGAAGGGGAGACGGGGAAAGGGAATGCAAGGGACGCCAAAGGTAAGCCGGAGATGAGAGGTAAGACGACGCTGCACCCAAAACCTAGGCAAGTACACATATCACATGGCATAGAGGGGAGGGAGACCAACAGGTGCTTCGTCAAACAGCTGCTGTGCTTGTAGCCTTTGCCGCAAGTTTCGCAGCGAACTTCTACGCGGTTGCTCTTCTTGCCATCCTTGGTAAGAGGTTGACCGTCACTGGCTCGTCTTATGCGGGCTTGGTCGAATTTGGCGGCTGCCTCATCGCCTGAAAGCTCGTTGGACTCGTCGTCGATGGCGCTCTCTTGGGCTTCTCGCTTCGCATCCAGCAGCGCTGATTTGTTGGGCAGGCTGGCAGGTGGTGAGGGCAGGCTGTCAATCAGGCCAGCCCGGGCGGTGGTGTGCTTGGTGATGGTGTTCCGCCTGCCCCCGCTTGCAATCGGAATAGCGCCGCCCTGCTCGCTCTCTCGAATCGCGGCGGCCAGAGCAGCTACATTGGCGCCCGGAGTGGTGATTGACTTTCGGCGAGTTATTCGGTGTGTCGGATTGAGGGCACCGGCGAGGAGGGAGTGCGAGTGCGAGTTGGTTCGGGCGTGGGACTGGCGGCCGGGGAGGGCCGAGGATGCGGAGCTGGACATGGGAGAACGCTGGTGCGTCAATGGCCTCGTGGAAGGCTGCATCTCCTGCGGACGGACAACGATGTCAGCAAAAAGTGAAGCCTCGCCAGCGCAGGGACAAGCCGGATCAGCGGCTCCAAGCCGGCAACGGAATCATCTCATACTTTTGAGGAGGCCATTGCGAAGCGGGCTTGAAGGATTGATGGATGGACGAGACGCTGGACCGTTGCGGGCTCAGCAGCAACGCTTTCGATCGTAGAGGATGTCCAAAACAGAGAATGTCAAGCTTGACAAGCTGATTATTTTATTTATTATTGGTATCCAGCACGTGTAGGTGTTGAGGTGAGAGAAGAAAAAAGTTAGGGAAAAAAAAGCCAGGATCTTGGTGCAAGTGGTGAGAACGAGAAATAATTATTTTGGGAGGAGCAATACGGCGCCATGGCAAGGGAGTGTGTGTGAGTGTGTGTAGATGCGGCACGGCGGGGGCGCGTGTATTAGCACTGGCATTAGTAGGAGTAGCAGTACTTGTACGGAGGAGGACAAGCCCAGGTATGAGTATCAGCGGTACCTGGTACGGAGTACATTAGGAGCGAGAATACGGAGTACGGAGCAGGTACCGCGCACGCCACCAGAGGGAGGTCGGTACGGAGAGGCACTCGTTGCTGCAAAAACACAGTACAGAGTACGAGGAATGATACATGAGACAAGGCACGTCCAGAGCACAGACAGAGTAAATAAAGGGACACATTTCATTCACTCTTTTAATCTGCGCGCTCCCTCTCCTTGTTCTCTCTCTTCTCTTTCTTCCTTTTAGTTGCAATCAATCAGAGCACCCCCTCCGGTACTCTGCTTGTACCTGGCCGCGCTTCAGTCAGGAGAGCCAGCCAAAGCAAGGCACCGCACCGCACCGGCGGCCGGACCCAGTCAGTTCTGCACCACACTGTGGCCGTTATTGCCTGTGCAAACCGCCCAAACGTTCAGCCCGTGGGGCGCAGCATCAAATGGCTGGTGAGGGCCACCGCAGCCCAGGCAGGCACCTCGAGCGCCGGGCCTGGTTGGCCGTGCTTCCAGTGGCTTCCACAGCGATGGGTCGCCTCTCCATTTATTCCATTTTTTTTGTTCCTCTTGTCCCCTCCAGTGCCAACACTTGTGTCTTGTCCGTGCAAGTCGCAGTCGCGCGCGCCCGAAGGTGGGGTGTAGCCAAGGTCTGACTGGGCTATTGGCCCGCTGACCCGGGTTGATCACCAGGTCGAATGGAGAGGCCGTAAAGGGGGATGCTGGAGGCTTCTGAAGGAGTAATTGGAGGGCTGAGGCCGGAAAGGGGGGGGTGCAGCGATAAAAGCGTACAGTGCCGATAAACTTCCCTCCCCAGGGCTGGCTGGATGGATGTTTGTAGGAGGCCTGTAATTGTCGGTGCCAGTAATTTCCATCTGCCATGTCCCATTGCCTACCAAGGTACCTACTCTATCTTTGACGAGATACCTGCCGCTATACACAAGAGACAAGAGGCCAGCGCTGTACTGGTACGTGCAGGGAGAGGCCAGCACCAACTAAGCCTGGCGTCCCCAATACGGAGCACCAGCCAGCTCATCAGCGTGGGAGCCGAGTGGGTTGTTTGGGCTTACGTACTGATACGTCCTAAAAAGAGCCCTGGGACGCTGATGGTGCCAGCCAGCGTGTCGCCCTGTCATATCATGTCAAGCCCTATCATGCTCCCTTGTTCTCTGTATGAGCCCCTGTAAAAACCCCGTAAAGGGATGGGAGTTTGCCTCCTATCGAGACCATGGCTGAGCGTAGAAATTCTGGAACAAAAGTTGGGTTGGGGGAGGAAAGATTGGTTCTACTACCTACCTACTAGGCAGTACCTAAGGTAGGCAGTACTTCTAGGTAGCACATGGCTTCCGACAAGACTACTTTGCATGCACGCACAATCAGCGGACGGCCAATGTACCTCCTTGAATACGCCTCTACATCGGATGCTACACCAGAACTTGAATGCCAGATGGCCACTGCAATTCGCGCTAGAATTGCGAACTACAATGCTAATTACACAGTAGTATTTCTATAGCAGCGAACCGGTCCCTCCTCATCCGCCATTAGTGTGCGCGTTGGGACTCACATGACGAACGCCAGCCCAGTTCTCGCACGGAGGCACCTGATTCAGTCAAGGAGGGGGTGGGCTGACGAAGGAACGACGTTGAAATGAAATGGCGACTTGGGATTACAGACGAGTACGACTCAATTCATCAAAAAACCGCCATCCCGATCGCGGGTTAGTGCAGGCAAAAGGGCAGTAACTGCGCAAGTAGCACAGCATCAATTTACTCCGCAGTATCGCGTGCCCGGGCGGAAGCAAACAGCGGTAGTATAGCTAATCAATATTACTACTTCGTCGCATGAGTATATCGAGCTATCATGATTTCAGTCCAGCGAGCAGCGAATGGTGGCCATCTCTGCTGCAAACTGGCTCGATTGGCGAGAATGCATGGTGAAATTAATTGCATTGAGGAGGGGGCAATTGGTCTCTCTTTTTTTTTTTTTTTTTTCCTAATCTCATGTACTTGGTGTACTTGCAATCAATTGCTCACACCCCTCCGATGCAGGCGAACCGAGGGGTGAGTAATTCAGCTGAAAAAGAAAAGGGCAAAAAAAAAAGAGAAAATTGAAGAAAAATCGCTATCACTTTTCAGCTCCCTCGCTTGTACTATCGGCTAGGATCATGGGTTAAACCAGGCAAGTAGACATTGGCGTCGACAACATTAACACTGGCAATTGGCAATTGATAAGAGCCCCAGCCCTATCTCCACGAAACCGGAGCCTGGTATGACTGCGAATGACTTGATTGCGCCAAACTGCACCGCAACTGAATCGCTCCATCGTCGATAACTGCGCCGGCCTCGATTCTCGCAAGGCCGAAGTGGATCAACTTCCCCCCGAGGCCCCGTTTTCCACCCCCGCAACGTGACTCCGCCAGGCCTCGCTTTCCGTGTATTTACAGAGCTAAAAAGCCATCCGTCGATCTGCTAACAAGCCCATCTCATCTCGCTATATTGCGCCTGTTATCTCGAGGGGCAAATTAGACGAGGAAACAGAAGTACAGGACGGGGCTTTGGCTTTGCGGCCGAATGCGGCTTGGATGAGGGGTTCCCGAAGCGGGGGAGGGGGGGGAATAAGTCTTGGACAGCACACAAAGACTCAGAGTCTGTTGGGAACCGACAAGGTGCGTCTGCCGACAGAGCTACGGAGCAGCAGCAATGCTAATATTCTATGAGCTATTAGGTAGTAATACGTATAGCAGCATGCTCATACGTGTCAATTGGATAGATACGAGGTGCTACGGCCCTCTTACACGCAGGTTCTAGAGGGACAAATGCATATCCGAACCAATCTTTCCCCATCGAGTTTCCACAACAGCTTTGCCATTTCCAGGCAAACGAGGACGACAACTGCACAACAGAAATCGGCTAAATACGGCTGGTCCGGGGAATCGTTAAGCATAAGGCCAGTACACGGAGGAGGCGTAGTAGAAGAGGGAGGCCCCGGATTACAGTCAGCGCCAGTACATTCAAGTACAAATTTCAAGACAAGTGGTAGGAGTCAGAGCTTCGTTAGGTTCTTTGTCATCAGGTATATACATACATACAGGCAGCCTGTTTGATGGAGACGCTGTGGATATCATGGAGCAGACATGGAGACATGGAGCTGGGAATGGGGTAGCACTTCGAACGGAGTCAATTGGAATGGGCTTGCCAACGGATTATAGGGCAAGGTAGGAAAGACAAGGAAAAGGACGAGAGCAACAACAAAGGAAAGGAAAAAAAAAAAAAAAAAAAAAAAAAAAAAAAAAAAAATAACCCCTGGCACAGGAATCTCGGAACACAAAAAAGAATCAAAAAAGAAAAAAAGGGACTGTAAGGGCCAAAAAGTCAAAAGTCAAAAATCAGACCACCACCACGAACAGCCAGCCACCACGAAATAGAATCGCCAGCGGTCACTTCTCTCCGAGAGTCCCCTACGCCTCATCATCCAGGAACCGGCGAAGCTAACTGGAGTACGCTTTCTCTGGCGGTTAGAATCTCCCACAACCAAAAGTCGTCGGCTGCACAGTGCTTCTAAATTTTAGTATTCACCTAGTATCAATCCACACACACACATACACCATCAGCCATGGCCACACCCCCCGGCCGTGCGCTTACGCAGGTCACGACTTCCGGCAGCGACTAGGGCAATCCGCCCATGGCACCATCGCAGGCACATCGAGTGGCCTCAGCAAACCACATTCGCCGAGCCGTGAACCTGCCGTCCGTCTTAGCTTCGGCACAAATGCATATAACATGTGCTCTGCAGCACTGTGCAGCAGCCGGTTTCCTAATGCAGGCAGCTGTGATATAGATAAGGGCAAACGAGGCCTCCATGCAAAATACACAAACACCATGAGAAAAATTTTCTTGCTTTCTTATGCTTTCTGGGCGTAGACTCAGGCGGCTAAGAAGACGATGATTGATGCCTATGATTGGGTATCTATTTTCAGCAGGCTTTGCTTTACTCCCGTCTGGGTGCCTAACTGAACGCCCCCAGCTTGGTTATAGATATATGGATCCCGACGTTCGGCTATACGCTTTAAGTAGCCATCCCAACGCCAACGCACTGCTGGCTTACCATCAATGCACTCAATTGGAACCTGTAATTGCAAGTGCAATTGGACGATGCCATCTCGAAAGGTTGAAAGGATGATGAAAAAATTTTCTCTGTGCATTTATACTTGAAACGTGTAGCCATTGTGGCGAAGGATGCCCAACTTCAACCTCGGATGATGGACAGACCACACTGACAGGGCATCGGGTGGTGGCAGAGGCAGATCCTCCAGTTGATCGCCTTACGGGGCGTGGCAGCCGGATACCTTTGGCGTCTATCGACTTAGACCGATGTGCCTGAACATCAACGACGAGCCGGCCTTGAGAAAACCTCCTAGCTAGAGAAGGTCGGTCTCTTGACGATCAATTCCGAGGCGCACGAGCCGAGCCGACTTCTCAGAACTGGTGGAGGTTAGAAAAATAAAGGCGTCACTCGCAGCCTCCTCCTCGTAACGTGCTTCTACTCTGTTTTGGGGTTTGTTCTCATGAGATTTGGCTAATCGATGGCTCTGTCAATGCCCATGACCCTCCTTTCTTCTGATAACTGATGCCTTCTCCTGCTGAAACACAGCGTCAGATGAATACGCCATACTGTCCCAGTGCCTTCCAGCAGTAGCCATGCGCAGAACCTCTTTTACACCACGGGAAGACACCATACTACCACTGTTTTCGCAACGAATGTTTGCTTGTGTTCTCCCAAAATTAGACTATGCGTCGTGGTGATTGCGTGCGCTGCACGTTCCGACCAACATTTCTTCAACGGCCGCTTGGTGGCTGATCGGTAACCAATCGGAGACTGCATTTCAACTCCCAAGCGCCCCCAATCATTCTGTCTCGTGCGGGCGGCGACGATCATTGGGCTGTGAACCAGCCTCAACGCTCTCCTCTTGATCCTTGCATCGGGATCAATTGAGCAAACGAAAATAAAAAGGAAAAGAAGGGCTTGGGTATCTCGCCTAAAGCGCACGCCTCACCACCTATAATCAATCAATTACTCATGGCGCGCTTTTTTATATATACGCTTCGAAAGAGGATGTGCTACCCAGAGGTACTTAGTCTAGACTTCGCCAATGATGTACGCATGTCACGTCGTACAAAATGCACGCTCTATAAAGGTCGGCGCCAACATGGGCAACTATCGGCAGCCTGAATCAAGCAATTGGCATATAGGCAGAAAGCTCGTGCGGCCGAGGCCCGTGAAGTTGTCTCTGGCATAAACACCCATCTCCTCATCTGCACGCAGCGTCTTAGACTTTGTCGTATAGAAAACCGTAACGATATCAATGCTCCATACTGCGCCCCCTGCCAGCATGTCTTTCTTTATGTAATGATGCCCAAGTTCGAGACAATGCAGCTGCTCTTCATGGAACTTTTTTGTCATTTCGATGCATGGTTTTCATGGCTACACTCCTCTCGCTGTTCCAGTACAATAGCATCATACGCCGTGCGTAAAGATGGCTGAGCTGCTCCATCAATAACACAGTGCGCAAATTCGTCACCAAAGGTACTGACTTTCGGCGGTTCGCACTGGATTACGAAAGTGCCGCTTACATCGAGTCCGTTAATACTATGGGGCTCGAGTCTGACGTTGCCTCGAACGTTTTTCCGCATCTTGAAACGGATCGCGGCTTTTACTCTGACGCTGGCGCGGCGTATGATCGTCTTTCGTTCTCATTTGTGGCCTCTCGGAGGGAGCGGAGGCCTTCCCCAGTTGCCCATGAATCAGTATCATATACAAAGTGTCCACCCCTGCGACTTTCACTTCAACAAAGTAGAATTGGTGTTTGCATTAGATGATTCCATGGAAGCCGAGCAAGGTTCGGAGGCGCAGGCACGGCTATAGGCTCGTGAGCGGCAGCCGTCCGCCACTTCCGGATGGGTGCACGGATATGTGCCTTAGTGCTTCGATGCCGAGGGGGTGTTTCTCATTTGAGATCTCGGAATACGGCGGCTCTCTTGAGTTTTGAGATCGGTTTGATTTATCAGAATGGTCCCCCATCTCTGCGGCCGCTTCTCTACTGCCTATACCGCAATCCATTTGTCGAGGCATGAACAGAAGGGAAAGAATTACGATGAAAATAAGATGAAAAAAGATGCCTACCAAGCATTTGGCAGCAATCAATTGTTAAGACCACAAAGACGAGATATTCCTTGATGACAGTTAGCTGTTTCAAAAAGCTGTGGATAGGGCTTGATAATCCACATGGCCGCTAGCCACAAGCTCTGTACCTACAGCTGTCATATTTTCACGAGGCTTGGTGGTTGGCTCCGGGATCACGATTCACCTGTCGATCACATACGTTTTCTTCCTGCAGATCAAACTTTTCATTCGGCTAGGGGGTGAATCCAAGGGGGTAAAAAAAAAAGAAGAAAAAAAAAAAGAGAGAGCAGACAAAAAGTTTCTAAACACGGCATACTACTCTCAACATAGTTGCCTTTTTTGGGGCTTTCTTTCACCTACGTCATTCCAAGTATCCACCAAATTTTTTTCCCGTGACGTCAGCGAAGCCTCTTTTTTAGCATCACGCCCTGACCGGGGCAACCTTAAAAAAACCTGCTCGGAGCTTTTTTCTTTTTCAAAAGTACGTGTACGTAATTTCTCAAAGAAAGGAAGAGCGAGAAAAAAACACGAACCCGCTATTATCTACTTTTGAGGGAGTTTCTTTTTTTGTTGCCCTAATCCCATCCATCCTACACGCCCCTCCCTTCTTTTATACCCCTTTGGCAAAAGACCTCTTGTCCTTATTGCTCAAGTGGTACTTTTAAGATATGCCTCAAGAGGTAGACACTCTGAGCAAAGTTGGGCGCGGCGGAGCAGGCAACTATGTTTCCTCAAAGCAAGCTGCGGAGGCATCCAAAGTAAATCCTAATCTTGCACCTTGATTTCTTTCCTCGGCCTTGAGTCTTTTGTGCATCCCTTGCAGTTTTGTTTTTATATCTGTAATCGTCACAGGAGAGCCTGCTTCTTAACCAATTTCCTTTTCTCTCTTCTCTATTATAGGACCTCGAAGCGCAAGAACTGAGAGCCATTTCCTCCGCCCCGTCCACGGCCCCGTCACCAGGATCCGCAAGGGCAGGCCGTGGAGGCGCCGGCAACTTCGCCGACCCGACACAGGCCGCGCAGAGCCAGGGCCAGCTCGCAGACGAGACGGGCGCCGCGGTGGCCTCACGCCTGAAGAGGCATCCGCAACCTCACAGGGCAGGATGGTCGGGCCGTGGCGGGGCTGGCAACTTCAACGCGGACCAGGCTGCTGAGAACGAGAGGCGGCAGGAAGAGGAAGAGAGGAGCAAGGTGGCTGAGCTGGATAAGAAGATTAAGGAGGCCGTTGAGGGGGCATTGAGGCCTCCCGAGAGGGCACATCAGCATCAGAGAAAAGAGGAGGAGGAGGAAGAGCCATGAGGGACTTATTTGTGCGCGTGTATGTGTAATGAACTGCTATGACTGAGGCTGTTCCGAGGCCCTTGATGAATGGTGGATATAGATCTACAAGAACAGATCTCCAAAATGCACGGAGACCCTACGTTTAATGAAGAATGTATTATATAGCACTTATACACCCTCCTAATAGCTATATACACTTCTGGGGGCACAGCAAAGCTGAATCATGGCCGATTGCTGTCGTCTCCGCAGAGAGTCGCTGACCTAAGATATACATATAACCACTTAACGGCGCTGCAAATCAACGACAATCAATCACTTGCATTTTATTTATAGAAATTGCAAATCTATTATCCCGAAGATCAATACACATATCAAACGAAGATCAATAGTTAGCTTCAAAAAGACACACAGCAAGTTTCAATTCCAGATTCCCCATCAACCAATCAACAACCTCATCCTCCCCTCCATCCATGCGGCCCCAAAACCCGCTACCAAACCGTTTCCCGGCTTCCGGAAAAACTATCTCCCCGCTCGGCATTCTTTCGTAAAACTTCATTCGCATTCGCCATCCAACCCACTTTGCCCATTTGCGCCGCAGTCGCTCAAAAAAGCCGGGGAATTCCCAAGCACATCAACAACTCGTTTTCCTTTTTTCAGGTTGAAGAAATAGTCCAATCTTCTCTCATCCTTCTCCCATAATGGCATCAGTATTCGCCTGGGGCACCGGCGTTGCCGTCGCAGCATTTCTCGTACGTTCTCATCCACCCCCAATCCTTTCCAAACCCTTCCCCGTATAAGCGCACAACAGCAGAACCGTCGCATCCCGCACCCTGCATAACATGTATACAACCACAGATGTAATACATCAAAAAAGACTAACACTCAATCTCACAGGGCCGAGCCGGTTTTGTCGCCCTTCGTCGCTCCCGCGGCGGCGTCGGCGCCTTGGGCAAAGCTTTTTACAAGGGCGGCTTCGAGCCCCGAATGACCAAGAAGGAAGCTTCGCTCATCCTATCGCTAAAGTACGCATGAATTCCCTCCCGTCACTGTTTTCTTTCTTTCTATTTTCCGGCCATGCGAATTGCACAGTTACAAGCAAGAATATGGACGATTCTAACGCGAAATTGCAGTGAGCGATCCATCACAAAAGACAAAGTTCGCAAGGCGCACCGGACGCTTATGCTCTTGAACCACCCTGATCGAGGTGGCAGTCCTTACTTGGCGACAAAAGTCAACGAAGCGAAAGAACTACTGGATAAAACTACATGAGCCAAACCGCACGAGTAGACTGCAACGAACGCAACGAACGGCCGCATACCCCACGATGTAGCGTATTTTATATAGCACCGAGGTCACGACACTGCCGCGTTGGTAATGGAGAGAAAGAACCGGCGTAGCCGGTGTGTATATGCCTTGTACGATATTCGTTTTCCATAGCGATGGCGTTGGTGGGTTGGTGGGCTGAATTTGAAAGCTATCTAAGCAACACACAGCTAAAGGTGTGGGAAGATTTAGAAGGGAGAACTAGCTACATAACAGATTTGCGGCTTCCAACTCAAAACTAAGATGAAAGAAAAAAATGGTAAAATTCTCATCTCAAGATCGTTTTGCCCATGGATCATTGTCAATCACCAGCTCCTGTTGTTGTACTACGCCTAGCAGAGCCGGTGTGTATTCTTCTCCTCTCGCCTTTACCTCCTTCTCTCGAATCTCCTCAATGGCAACACCGATAAGGGCGCGGAGAGTGAAGACGGCGTCATTGCCAGCGTTGTGTAGATGCTTGCTCTGGATAAGCAGGTCGTTGAGAGCGTGATGAAGGCTTTTCCCTTGCTCAGACGCTCTCCAAGCCTGGTGGATCTCTTTTGTGTCCAGCCGCCCAACAAGGCCCTGAAGCGCCAGCACTTCAAAACCTACGCTTGAAAGATATTTGATGTCCTGGCGAACATCATGGGCGACAAATACTAGCTTGCGCTTGTCCTTGGTGTAGGGTTCTAAGATAGAATCAATCACTTCGGGAAGTTCACACTCTTCTGGAAAGGTGCTTTCTCTGTTTCAATATGTTAGCAGGAGTGCATGTGGCGAGTTGAACAGCGTGACAAATACCCAAAATCGAAGTAGCTAGGGCATCCACGGACAAAACGATAGTTCACGAGACCCGCGTATTCTTTGGTTCGTAGATGATGAGCTTTGATAAACTGCCACCAGTTTTGGCCACTGGGACCTGATTGCTCGCCATTGAGATCTCTGACATCCAGGATGGCTATTCCAATCTCCGAAATGGAATTGGGCGACATCTCGATGGCTTCAACATCCATACAAACAAAGACAACATCTCCAACTGCGCGAGTGCTTTTACCTCGAAGATGAAGAAATTGTTGAGTCTCGAGAAGCATTCGTTCTCGGTCCAGCTTCTGCTGGGCGGCCTTTCTCGATTTACCCTTCTTCTTGTCTGCGGATGCGGGCTTTGGTGCCATCATGCTCCAAAGGGTTTCCCAATCTTGCTGCATAGCACCATGTGCTTTTTTGAACTTGTCTCGATCCTCTTGTTGGAAATCTGGAAATTTGTCCACTTTGAAAACTTTCTGATCTCTCGATCTCTTTAGATACCGAGGCCGTGGGGTGTCTCCTTGACCAAATCTCATATAGAAGCGATCTTGATTCGTTCCCCCTGGAATTGCGAGAGAGGTTCCAAGTTCCCTGTTGACACTCCTCAAGAAACCTTCGAATTGAACCGTGGGCACCATCACACGAGGATTCTCGACAGATTTCTCAGGATGATAAATATAAAAGCTGTTGTATTGTTAAAATGTGCACCTCTAAACCCGTGACGATTTCCGGAGCACTTACAAGTCCCAGACTCTACCCTCAAGAATCTTGTCAAAGAATGGCTTGGCCTGTATATTGCGTCAGCTGTATGTTGTTTTTCCTTACTTGCTCCTTGGTGAAAGTAATGGCTGTGCTTACACGAGGTCTGTTTGCCTTGCCGATGAAGTGGTCTGGATAAGTCTGAATGACTCCCCAGGAGCAAAAGTCGATGGTCTCCTCTGCAGGCTCTCCGGTGGTGAAATTTGAACAATCCAGTGATACCAAGGGGGGCAATTCTTTAATCTCCTCGCGCGTGGCCTGCTTCTCCGTCGGTGGACGGGCAGTGGAATTCCAGGCGTCGTGTCCAGCGTCGTATGGAACATCATCCTTGCCTTCCTCTTGCGGCGGTACCACGGTGGGAAATTCATCTTCAGAATCGACCTCATCTCGCACATGGTCGCCGTATTGAACGTTGACACCAAGGCCTTTGAGCACCTCAAGACGAGCTCCAAACGGTAATACAGACATATTGAAGCTTTTGAGCAGTGGAATGTTGAAGCTATTCAGCAGTGGAGAGTATGTAGTCGTGTTGGTGGAGAAAATTGATTGAAGAGTGGATGAATGTAACAGAGATAAAAGAGAAAGAAAAAATGAACATAGAGTCTTAAAAGAGAGAGAGAAGGGGAGGGAGGGAGACAAAGAAAGTGTGTTTGGCGGGCAGAGTGAAGGACAAAGAGAAAGGAAACTGATGTGCCGCTGATTGGGCAGCTTAGGCAGGTGCTGTTGGCGGCTACATGCAGCAGGTCGCACAATGAATGAAAGGAGAGAGAAAAAATTAGATAGTAGCAAACATCAGCAATTGTTAATGGTGGTCGATATCGTCAATTTAGAAAAAAAAATTTACAAATGCTCAAAATCTCAAATGCTCAAAATATAGTCATTACATGGCGGTGGTTGTACGATTTGAGGCCGGGCGTAGTGCCAGCTAAAACAATAAACAGGCCGTTGCATTATTGCAGCCAGGAGGCAATATAAGCCCTCTTTACTGCTCTTCCATCTAACCTTCATCATAATCATAGAATACAAGTGTTTCTCCCTCTCCCTTTACAAAAACATATTTGCGGCCTTCGACACATCACCTGCCTATATGATGCCAAATTTATCCTGTGCCTGTGAAACATAAAAGAAATGACACTTCCGGTCGTCGCGCTTCATCTCGACTTGTAGAACTGTCCCACGAATTAGCAAACAATGGTTACGCAGACTGGCAGTAAGTTGCACTACTCACCTCATCTGCCTCTTCCAGAGTAACCGTAGACGCCTCTGACTGGCTCTGGTTGATCAATCCCAATTTTGCCCATCGCATCTTGAACCAGAAATCCCGCCGATCGCCACCCAGAGTTCCAGAGAGCAAATTCTTCTTCAAGTCACGCACAAAGTCGTTGTACTGGCCGGGTTCTTCTAGATTTGCAAGCTCCTCCCTCATTACACCGATACTCTCCATTGCCTGTGCGTATTTGTTGTCTCCAAAGCTATCCGTGATGAGAGATTGCACAATTGCTCCCATTTGTTTTGTCGCATCAGCAATCTGTTCGACTTCTTCTGATGAGTTCAGAGCTCGTTTGAAATCGGGAATTGCATTCTCAGGGCTGATTGATCCCTTCTTCTCTCCTCCCAACAGAGCGTCCACGTCCAGGCCAGAGATGGGTTTAACAGTTTCTCTCTGGCGTTTACCTTTAGCTTTGGGTGGCACTGCGGATATATTAGCGAGTAAAATCTTAAGAATAGAGGGGGAAATGTATGCTCGCCTTTCTTCACGTCTGCAGCTTTAATTAGAGAATCAATCGTAGCCTGTATAGTCTCTACTAGTTCTGTGGGAGGTGCTGCGAATCTGAGCAAAACAGGTGGTATTTCTGGCACGGGTTTCTCCGGATAGACCGCCCGCTGCTTGATTGCATGATTGATGCGGTGTATTGCAGGGTTATATATCTCATCAATGGTAGCATACTCGGCTGGCTCTCTTATAAAACGAGGTAAATTAGCAGACCAGAACACCCACAACAACAGTCCATGCTTACCCGTCTTGGTCAATGCCATAGTTGGAAATATCCATGGCATCCACATAATCGCTCATTGCCTGGTTGAGTTCATCTGATGGTAACAGACGATGCTTGGTAATTGTTTGGCCGCTAACAGTAACAACTCTGTCTAGAGGAGGGAACTGGTACGATCTGACATCCTCTGCAAATGGTAGAGGTACGTCGTATAGACAGACATAATTAGGCTCCATATAAGGCATCAATAGCACCATTATAGGATCCTTCTCGTCTTTTGTCACCAGACGAGCCACAGCGTAAGAATCAAGCTCTGACAACGCCCATACTAGAGAGCTGAATGCCAGTTCCGATCTCTCATCGTACTTGGCCGCAATAGTAACACAGGATTCGCCGAGATTAAGGAGCGGCTCATACTGGATAATAGTCAGCAGAAGCACGGCCAGACACGGAAAATTAATTCATTACCTTTTCTTTAGGTATGAAGCCAATGATCTTGAAGCTTTTCTGCGTCTGTAACTTGGTAATATTATGATCAGATTCGCTAATGTGCACGGCCGTCCTGCCGTATTCGTATCCCTTCGCTAGAGATTCAAACTCAACATCACGCTTGCCGCCGGGGGCATCTGGGTCATTGACTTTGTACGTTCTGGTCTGTTTAACAGCTGTGAGCTCTACCCCGTCCATCTGCTCATCATCAGCCGCCTGCGAAGGCCCAGCTTGCTCCTCTTTGACTACCACAGTACTGGCTGTTACCGGCCTGGCGAGATGAGTTTTAAAATATCTTTCAACGCGGATTTCAACAACTGCGGGGGCATTCTTCGGGTCTCCCAGAGTCAGGGGACCGTCGTATGTCTTGTATGGCTTGACTGATTTGGCTCGTGGCTCATTCATATCATCAATAGCTTCGACAATGGAGGCGAATCTAGCGTCTTCACCACAGCCGTCCACGAGTTCTTTTAAAGTCGCCTCATTTTGTTTCTAATCTAGATGTTAGATATGAACGTAAATAGCAATTTAGCATAACGACGATAGTATCTTTAATACCTTAACTGATGGCTTATCTTCTTCTTTATAGCCGTAGTCGGGGGCATCAAAGTCGACGCCCCTTGTATGATGGTCAGCACTAAAATTGCAAAAGGGCTTGGCCATGAAATGCTTTTTCAACTCACAGGACAGTCAACTCAATATTTGAGTCCTTGATTTTCCGTGCAATGTCACTAATATCGTCTGGGTCTATCTCGCCTTGGCCGTCTGTAATGAGATATATCTGCCGCTTCCACTTATTCTTCTTGGTGTAGGTGTCAATCATATCGACTGCAATCACAATGGCCGATATGGCGTCGCCTTGAGTAGTCTTGCTCGGCTTTATCTTCGTCTGGAGAGATTTCAGGCTGGACATGGACATTGGGCCCAGCGGCTGCAAGATGGAGATGTTATCGTAGCCATCCTCCGCCAGAGTGTGGTTGGTCTCGTCGGTTCTGAGTCCCACAACGCCAACACACAACGTCTTGCGGTTCGAGGCCACAACATTACAGATCTTATCCCATACATAGCTCATGCTCCAATCGAGGTCAGACTCTTTCCGCGCTCCATGGACAGCTTTCATGGACGCGCCGAGGTCAATGATAAAAACGGTGGCTTCCTTGTCTGCCATCTTGGCCAAGGTCAGCGTTCTTGCTTCAATTGGAGACAGAAAAGGGGGAAGAAGAGAGAAAAGAAGGAAAAGGGAATATTCATCAATTCGTCTTCTATGTCATTCCACACAACAACCAGCCCTTTTTTTATAGCAATGGCTGATAGGCCCGCCCCTCGCTCAAGCTTTAGGCAGACGAGGCCGTTGGTGGAGTACAAACGCGCAGGTATCGCGATGTCACGTGGTCTGACCGGGGACACCTGCATGCATGTCAGGCAAGGTAGGATTCGGCTGTCAGAGGGTCAAACACATAAGAATGTTGGACCCGCGTATCACCTCAGCCTGAGGTATTTTACTCCTTTCATCGGTCGTGGTATCTGGTTCTCTCTGGGAGAAAAGCAACAATGGCTGGTTCAATTATTGCTTCTGTGGCCCCGTTCCACATCATATCGTGGGTGCTCGATCTCGGATTCTTGCCCAAGTGCATGATGAGCTAACGCTAGGCTCCGGCGCTCAACGACGCAGCTACGGCACCGTCCTGGGAACAACTTTCTTTCACGTATGTTAGGAAGAGATGGCCTTCGCCTCTCTTTTTTTTTAATTGTGCTTTCTTGGACCGCTAAACCCGTGCAATTGCTTACACTCCGCCACTGCAGACCTTTGTCACGACTGTCATTATGATCCGCTCGGTCGATATTCAAACCTTCTCAACTGTCCTGATTAAGCTCTGGCCCTACTACTTTGGCGTGCAAGCCGCTGGCACTGCTGCCCTTGCTCTGACATATCCCGGAAACTCGCTCACCCAAAGCGGCATTAGCGGCCTTCTTGCGCCTTCGCTCCGGTGGGGTACCTTGGTGCCCATTGCGGCCACCTTTGTCAGCAGCATCGTCAACCTCTTTGTGGCCTTCCCTGCTACTCTCCAGGTCGAGAAGGACCGCTGTGGACAAGGTAATTCTCATACCATTCCATCCCAATGCTGCTTCACAAGTGGTCTTTAGAGCCCAAAGCTGATATTAGTCCCTGCCCAACAGCCAAGCGAGACGGAAAGGAGTGGTTCGAGAAGGAGGGTGCCTCGGCTGAAATGCAGGCCCTGAACCGCAAGTTTGATATGCTGCACGGTGTCACTGCGACCCTCAACCTGACCAGCTTCTTCGCTACTTTGGCCTATGGCTTCACCCTGGCTGGTCGCCTCCAGTAAAAAAGCAATGGTATCATGCCACTGCAGATGTCGTCGAATATCTATCACTATTGCTATGATTGCTCATTGGAGTAGACCTGAGCCACTCTCGCACCCAACTCCACTCAAGTACAGTAGAAAAAGGATTGTCGCTAGTTTTGCAATACAAATCAACGCCCCAGGGTGCACATTCATAAGAATTCAATTTGATAAACCCAAAAAATATCTCTAGCCTGCTGATGATCTATCCCGCAGTAGCCTGTCGGAAACTCTCTATGGGTATAATATCCCGCCAACCGTTGCGCCACGCAAATATGAACCAAACATTGCAAAGTGGACATGAATTCGTCAGTGTAACCATCGCCATCGCCATCGCCATTCATTTCCTGCCAGTAGTCTTCTGCAGCGTGCCCTCGTGAAAGGCCAGCAGTTCTCGCTTGGCCGCCTCAAAGTCCCTTGTCTTCTGCTCCTTGTCGTCGGGTCGGGATGCAGCAATCTGTGCCCTCTTTTGGTTTGCTTTCATCTGGCCCTGGAGGCTCCATCTCCCGGGCTGGCGTTCAAGAGCCTCCTCCACGTCGATGTCCTTGGCGGGCTGAGGATACTCTCGCAAAAGGGGTGGCAGTGGGTTTGCCGAGACTTTGGGTGGGACGCCGCCGATAAACTCACGGGCCTCTAATGTAGGTGTTGAGACGACTGAAGCAGAGGGAGTTGAAAAATTGCTGCTGGAAAGACTGAGTGACTCGGTAGTCAAGCGAGGGTTTGGCGACTTGGTATCCATGGATACTGTCAAGGTGTCTTGCGACTCGTAAAAGACGGGAAGTAATGTTCCAGGTAAGACGCTGGCTTTCGTCGCTAGGAATACAGAGTTATTGTGCGAAGTAGTAGCGAATGTAAGTATGCCTCGTCGAGTTCAATAGGTTTCCAGAGGCTGAAGAGGTGGGAGTGTAGCAAGTATTTGTAGTTGGCAAGATTTTTTTTTTTTTTTTTTTGTCTTAGTTCGCTGGGAAGCTCCTATTTTTATTCTATTTTTTCTCGGTGCTTTATCGTAGCCTCTCAGAGCTCATGAGTCAAGCTCCAGTCTCTAGTATAGCCCATTTTACAATGCATGCAGCAAGTGTCTCCGCCATCAGGCTGGATGAGTCTTGCTGTCTGATTAAGCCTTTGGGGACCTAAGCGATATTTGGCACGCGTGCTAAGCCACTACGTCATGGGCCACGGATAGACGCTTTGTTCGGGCCCAACTTGGTGTTTCTTCCCGTGGCTCCGGCGGATTTTATTGCGAATGTCTCTTAAAAAAGCCACTGTCTTGTTGTGACCTACAGGCAAAACGCCGTCTTATCTCCTGTCTGGCAGGGTTTTTTCTTCGGTTCGGCCGGGCTGGCGCCGCTCGGGATCCATAATTCGGTCGCGCCTTGCCTTATTCATCAGTATCCAGGGTCCTTTCAATTTGTATCGGCTACGGAGTACAGCGATCGGCCAATGCACTAGAGATGCTTTGCCGACAACAGCACGGCATCGAAACTCGGACTGTTTGACCCTTGTATAGTGCGTGACCTCGAACATCACATATACCTATACCTAGTACTGGTGCTGTCTTGCTGCAATACGAGTCTCCTTTTTGACCATCAAGTAGCTTGCACCAAAGATAGAAACATCATGAGATGTAAAAGGAGCAGTGTTGTGCTTTTCAGCGGCGCAGCTGTATACGAGACAAAGCAGCCCACTGTCCTCGGCCGGTAAACACGTTACGTCGCGGATACTCAAAATGGCCATCAAGTTTCGGTATTCCAAGAGGCTGGGATGCTCATACACCCAATGCTGCATGCAGACATGCTTTCAGGCTTCTGTTGATGTCTAATTGTCGGCTTACTGGCTTAAGGCCTCCCAGGGTGACGAATGCATATCCAAATATACATTGAGACTTCAGACTCCGTTCAAAGAATACATGCAGCCGCTACATCTTATGTAAATGTAGTCTTCGTCGGATGCTGCCTACTCCCGTGACGGAATATCCATGCTTCCAGCGTCCATCATTGCATGTATGAATGCCAGTAAGGCCGCAATACATCCTGCGGCCGTCTAATAACGCACTCTAATTATCTTCAGCGGATTGTGATCTCGATGGTGAAATATCCATTACACAGAAATACCCCCACGATCACATTCATTGGCATAGGGCTCCATTTGCTCCATACACGCGCCCGCTCGACCATCGCCCAACGACAGAGGAGACTACATGTATGTACTCCGTATAAACGAGCAATGTTAGGCTCCGAGTCAATTACCCGGAATAGTGCCCGGAATCAAAAAGAATCCCCGGATTTTCGTGCCCGTCTAAACCGAGGTTGATTGTTGGAGTTGAGCTTCTTGCACGGTTCGTTGTTTTGTGCCACAGAAAAACGCCATCTTTGTGGCGTCCTATTGTCAAAGAAGGCTGCCCCTACTATGACGTCGTCCGGCGCCGATATTTTTTGCCTCCGACGTCGCGAAGGCTTCAGCTGCCTACCCTACAATCATCTATCAAAAATCGTCGAGACTACAGAATGCAATCGAATCTCACCCGTGCTCGTAGAAGTAAGCTGATTGAATGGTGAAAATCCTTCTTTACTAACTAAAAATAGCGTTACAACGATCCTCTTGGATACAACGCTGCAGCTTATTCTAGTAGGTATTATGGCGTAGATTTGCAGTTCTAATGCTACTGACTAAGCATAATCTTACACCGTACCAAGAAAACGACATCCTGACTCATTATTAAGAGCCTATTCACCGCTCGGCTGAAGACTGTTTAATTGAGGCAGGTTTCTCGTTTAGATTCAGTTCTTCATCATCATAAACTGAATAGAGACAAAATGGCTGCAGCGCCGAAATACCTCACCGGCGACAGTGCCGGGATCAAGGAGTTCATTGATAAATTTGACGTGAGTGATTTTTATCTTTTGCTTCGGACCTACGCCCCATGAAAACTCACTCACAAAAACCATAGACTTTCTTGTTCGACTGCGATGGTTAGCGGATTCATATTTTTTCTTCAAGATTTAAGCAAAACCTCACACAAAATAGGTGTATTGTGGAACGGAGACCATGCATACGAGGGCGTCCCTGAGACAATTGCATTTCTCAAGTCAAAAGGTTTGGATGCCGAGAGAGACCCGAAAACTGATATACTGAGACTCACCTCACCGCTCACAGGCAAGAGACTTGTATTCGTAACAAACAACTCCACAAAGTCACGGGAAGACTATGTCAAGAAGCTCGCCAAACTGAACATCCCCTGTGAGGCCGAAGATGTCTTTGGCTCCTCCTACTCCGCCGCCATCTACATCAACCGCATCCTCAAGCTGCCTCCCGGTAAGAACAAGGTCTTTGCAATCGGCGAATCAGGCATGGAGGTGGAGCTGGCCTCGGAGGGCATCCCATTCATCGGCGGAACAGACGCCAGCTTCAGGAGAGACATTACGCCGGCTGACTTTGAGAACATTGCCAACGGCTCGATGCTGGATCCCGAAGTTGGCGTTGTCCTGTGCGGTCTGGATTTCCACATCAACTACTTGAAGATTGCGCTCGGCTTCCACTATGTTAGGCGCGGCGCAGTCTTCCTGGCTACGAATGCGGATTCTACTCTGCCCATGCACCACGAGTTCTTCCTCGGCGCCGGATCGTGCATGATCCCCCTTGCCTACGCCCTTGGCGAGCAGCCCACGGTTCTCGGAAAGCCAAGCCAGGCTATGATGGACGCCGTCGAGGGCAAGTTTCAGCTGGACCGCGCCAAGACCTGCATGGTTGGAGACAGACTAAACACAGACATCAAGTTTGGCATTGAGGGAAAGCTTGGAGGAACACTCCATGTATTGACGGGTGTCCATCAGAAAAAGGACTGGGATTGCGAGGACGCAATCGCCGTGCCGGCTTACTATGCTGATAAATTGGGTGATCTTCTTCATGGTGCATAAAATCATTTAGACTAGACTCTAGATTAGACTTCTTTTAGACCAGGTATGATATGATAGACAAAAAAAGAATATCCTAAATCAACTATTCAGAGTTGCCCTCCGAAACGAAATTTTCATGAATGACATAGTGAACCATAATCTCGTAAAACTCCCTCTCTTATAAATTACGCTGATAGAGCAAGGCCATTAGATTTGAGGAATATACATGACTGCGTGCATTACTTGTCCATTTCAGCCCTGCTTCTTCTTGGTCTTTTGCTTCTCTGCTTGCTTCTGCTCTGCACGCTTGACCAGATCGCTCGACCTGAGGACTCTTGTAGTAGGGGTCCTGTAAGGGGCAAGCGTCTTGGGAATGAACATGCCAACGTGCTTCTGGTATGCCTCGTACTCTGGGTATTTTCCGGCGGTGATTTTCTCAGTGAGATTGGTGGAGCCTTGGAAGAGCAAAACAAGGAGAACAGCACCGGTGCCGGCCCAGCTGTACGGAGTGTTGGCGGCAAAACAGCTCCATGAGTAGAGGATAAACCAAATAGATTGCTCAGCAAAGAAATTGGGGTGTCGGCTGTACGCCCAGAGGCCTTTCGCGACGAAGCCCCGTTCTAGCTCAGCTGGCGTATATCCTCGGGTGAGCTCTCCAGTATCCTTATACTTGTATTTGGCGGTTTGGTATGCTACCAGCATGTTAGCGGAAGGGGTACTACTTTGGTGAAGACTGGATATGAGATTTGCATACCCCATTGCTGGCCATCGCTTATCCATTCGCTCAAAACCAGAAGAATCTCGGCGCCGAAAAAGACCAGATCAACTAGTTGAACCCCAGGTTCCAACTGGGATGAAAGCAAGATGACGTACGCTGGTACGCAAGAGAAGAGATAAAGGAGAATGCACTGGAAAAATGAGATGAAGGTAACGTTGAAGATGAACCAAACGATTGAGTTGAGCTTCGCCTTGACAATCATCCTATTAAAAAAAAATTAATTCTCCTTGCGTCATTTGGTGAGAGAGAGGGGGAAGGGAGAGCGTCTGTACCATCTGTAGTCTTCTGAGCCAATGCTGTAGCCGCCGCGCCTCCAGTAGTTGTACGTCAGTCGAATCTGAAACAAGTCTTGATGTCAGCAAGATTTCTTGATTCACTATGTGAGACATGGAAGCCTGAAGAGTGACTCGGTCTTACACTCCAGATCGTGGTATACACGGCAATCAAGTCCACTCGATCATGCGGCAGTCCAGCCAGACGAGCCCATACCGTGATGTGGACAACAAAGAGGTTAGGCAAGATGCTCCACAATCGGTCGACCTGAGAGTAGTTGCGGTTGATCTCGGACGCGATCAAAGTAAGAAACCCAAAGACAAGGGCAATGGCAAACCCAGAAATCAACGGGTTTGTCGTGACATAGACCGACCTCAGGCCCTCGAGGCTGTCAATGTTGGCCCATATCTTGTAGGGCAGCTCGTAGAAGTGCGGTATGAAGGGCTCAACCACCTTTGCGTAGTCGACGCACTCGTGCAGAGATTTCACCTGCGGCAGCACCATTGCGGGAGCTTTCCAGATGTTGAACGAGGTGAGCAGCTTGTCGAGCGCGGGGACCGCCCCCGTCATTGACTTTATATAGCTGGCCATGGCGCGCGGATGGTATTACAGTTTCTCGCGGAATGGCTTTCCAGCGCATGTATGAAGGTTGTGAGTGCGGCGGACCAATAAAGGGGCCGGGCCGCCGTTGATTTCTAGCTCGTCGTCCGATTTCTTCAGCAGCGTCCGTTGCTGCTGATCGAGGCGCGGGTTAGCGTCGTGTTTCAGCGCGCGTTGCCTCAAACTTCAGTGCTAGACGCCGCCACGCAGAGCTCAGGCAGCAGGAAGCTAGCGGGTGGCGGGGCTACGTGTAACAGAGGCGAATGTACATGCATGGCCAGTAAAATCTTAGCCTCTGCTATTGCTCTGAGCGCGCAGCCGTCGAGAATCAGCCTCGTCCTGTCGACAGCTTGGGCAGGAATTGCACAGAATGGTATCCGAGACAAGCTTGATATATCGGTGACCTATAGACGGCAGGCGGGGTTGATGTGCAGCCGCCTTTAGGGGGCGTGAAAAAAAATTGAAGAGAGACGTGGATCTCGAGTAGAGTGTATGAGATTCACCAGCCTCGTCTTTTCAACGATTCGCGTCCCAGGCTTAGAGATATGAGAGTCCTATGCGTGGCTGAGAAGCCATCCATCTCCAAGGCCGTGGCCGGCCATCTCTCTGGAGGATCCTTTTCAACAGTGCGTACATTGTAGCTCCAAGAACCGCTGCTCTGCCGTGATTTTTATGGACTAGACTAACGCAAAGGCAACGCCAGCATAACACGCGGAACAAGTTTATCAAGAATTACTCGTTTGATTTTGACTTTGGCCAGCCATGGGGAAGCTCATCCGTCACCATGACCTGCGTTACGGGTCATCTCACCAATGTTGAGTTCACCAACGAGTACAACAACTGGAGTCACCCGCCCCCAGAATCGCTCTTCACGGCACCAATTGTGAAGAATGTCCATGATGTGGGTAATGCCATTACTGTGAAACGGGTTATAAATACTGACCATTGAACAGGATAAAAAAGACATCGCCAAGAATATAGCAGACCAAGCTAAATATGCTCGTCTGCTGGTCATATGGACTGATTGTGATCGAGAAGGAGAACATATCGGACAGGAGATTGTCGACGCAGCAAAAGTGGGCAACGCTGCGATCCAAGTGAAGCGTGCCAGATTCAGCAATGTGGAACGAGCGTAAGCATTCGTGAAACGCCATCAATGTTGACATGACGTATGCTAACGCTTTGCTTCTTAGACATGTGTTATCAGCAGCCAGACGACTTGTCGAATTGGACGAGAAGCAAGTCAATGCCGTTTCAGCAAGAATCGAGCTGGACCTTCGAATTGGATACGCGTTTACGCGATTCATAACAAATAACCTTAAGCATCTAGGTGGACCTCTGGCAGATCTGGTTCTGAGTTATGGTAATAGCCGACATCCATCCCTCTCCCTATCCCTATCCATCATAATAATATCTATGATCTTGGGGCTAAAGCAGCTGCATAGGGTCTTGTCAATTTCCAACTCTGGGATTTGTGGTGGACCGATATTTTCGCGTCAAGAATTTCGTCCCTGAGCCGTTCTGGGGCATCTCGTTGACACATAACAAAGAGGGGAAGCAAGTTCGCTTTTCCTGGGCTAGGAATCGTCTCTTTGACAGAATGACAACTGTATTACTATACGAGAGATGTCTCGACGCAAAGAAAGCAAAGGTCACAAAGGTGCAAGAAAAGCCGACTCGAAAATTCAAGCCATTGCCTCTCACCACTGTTGAGCTTCAAAAGGCAGCGACTCGTTTACTGCGAATGTCTGGTCAGCAGGCCATGACAATAGCAGAAGGCCTCTACAACAAGGGATTCATCAGCTATCCGAGAACAGAAACCGATCGTTTCGACAAGGGCATGAATCTGAGAGCTCTCGTTCAAAAACAGACTACAGACCAACGTTGGGGTCCTTTTGCCCAGGGACTCGTCAACGGCGGCTTCCAACAACCAAGGGAGGGAAAACACGACGACAAGGCCCATCCGCCCATCCATCCTATTGCGCATGTAGCTCCATCTGCATTGACCTACGACGAAGGACGCTTATACGAGTATGTAACGCGTCGGTTTCTTGCGTGCTGCTCCGAGGATGCCAAAGGAATGGCAACCGACATTGAGCTACAGTTTGGAGACGAGTTTTTCAGTACAAGAGGAGTCATTGTACTTGAAAGGAATTATTTGGACGTCTACGTGTACGAAAACTGGAACAATACCACTGAGTTACCGAAATTTACTGTTGGGGAACAATTCGAGCCCACAGAGGCGATGATGACAGAAGGCAAGACGTCAGCGCCAAACTATCTTACCGAAGCAGACCTGATTGCGCTCATGGACGCCAACGGCATCGGAACCGATGCCACAATGGCGGAGCACATACAAAAGATCCAGGACCGAGAATACGTAGCAACAATAACGAGGGGAAACGACGCAGCCGAACAAGGAGGAGACGACGAAGAAGCAAATGGAGCCCCGGCTGCACGAGGCGGGGGCCGCGGTCGAGGAAGAGGAGGTCGAGGCCGCGGAGCAGGAGGCGGCTCAGCAAGAGGAGGGGGACGAGGAAGTGGACTCAAGGTCTTCGTGCCAACGCAGCTTGGCGTAGCCCTTATCCTGGGCTTCGACCGGATGAGCTTCGAAATGAGCCTTGGCAAGCCGTTTCTGCGCAAGGAAATGGAGCTTCAGATGAAGGCCATTGGTGAGGGGAGCACGACGCGCCGGGCAGTTCTCGACCGGAGTATTGCGCAGTACAAGCAGGTGTTTTTGCAGTCACAAGAACAAGTGGGAGTCCTTAAGCAGGTAAGCAAAAACAAAAAAAAACCAATGCTCTTTGGAAGTATAACTGTTTAATAACGTTTACATATAATATCTAGGCGTGCCGCGAGTTTGTCTTTGGCCAGAGGCCAGGAGGAGCATAGTTGTCATGACTCATATAGCTTACAAGTCTTATTTCATTGCATGGCGAGCATGTCCTTTTTTTCTTTGGGTAGGGTAATGCCATATACATACTAACAGCCCCTTTTACCATATAACTCGTTCGATGTACATTACAATTCTCGATCTCGATAATTCAGGGGGGGTATACAAACCCTATTCCCCATCATGATGCCGCGCACAAAAAATGAAAATAGGTATTCCATTTCCTTGCTTTGACACGGCAGCGCGTCATCTACGCTTCTCCCTATCGACACTAGGCCATATACATATAAATAGATGCCATTTTCAATTTTAGAACCTACCAAGGTTCTCATGGGCGACACCATCCAGGAGGAGGAGGGGTGTGTGCTTATTGCACAGCGTAGCCGCCGATCACTAAAGGAAAACCGTCGTCGTACCTGTTCATCTGTACGTCATTTCCCGAAAAGAAGACTACTTTTCAGCACAAGTAAAATAACTCCACACAAGGGGGAATTCGTTATACGGAAATGGGGGCTTTAGCCCTCAAATTCCAATAATTACAATGCATGTGGGATGAAAAAAAAAAGTGGATGAGATACTAAATCGCTCTTATCGCTAAATGGATCCGTTTTCGAGAAAATGCCCGCGGGTCCAAGTTTCGGCGTGGCTGACACGCCTCCACACCACACCTCTGAACTGAGCCCGTGGCTCAACTAACACCACTGCTAACTCGTCGCTAATTCACCCAGATACCACATACACAACCAATATCTGGCCGGATGGGGGGTCACATGGGGCTTTGCGAGAGAGCGACTTGCCTGGACGGGGGTTGCCAATCAGCTTATCTATTGAGCGCAACGTGATGGTTGCACAGCATTCCCTCGTTTAAGAGGCGCTGGCAGGGAAGAGGAGAATGCCTGGCTGTGACAAGACACAGTATCGAGTACAGTATGCGAACTTGGGGGGGAATGGGAGATGCGATAAGGTCACTCGCTGGTGTTCAGTGGCAGCTCATCTTGGATATGTCTGCAAACAACTCGGTGACGGGTTGAAACAGAGTCCGCCGCCGCATAATGTCCTGCGAACCATTTACAACGGTCATGGAACATGGCCCCTTGGTATTACCGCGCATACGTCTTTTTCTACATACACCCATGGATGCCCAGTATTGATCTATCCCACGCATCCGCACATATACATATACATAGACGTAGGTACGGACAGGTACGGCAGTTGCTTGGTTCCATAAATTGCTCCCGCCTGGTCCGGTGATTGATACAGAGGTCACACACGCAGTGATTTGAGACTGGTGAATTTCTTCGCGTCCAACTTGACTTGATTTGTGGGCTCCTTGGTGAAGATCAGATCGGCTGATTTGCTTGCTTGTCGCAGCGCATCCCGTCAATCCGACCATCTGCGCCGTCGGGCTGCCCCGATTGGCTGCCTTGGGCCTTGGTAAAAGGCGCATTTAGGATGTTCATGTATGGGATTTGGGACGGCATATTGGGCTGGCGTTTCTGTTGGGTGTGCGCGCCGTCAAAGTTGGCGCCGAGCATTGGGCGTGTAAGTCAAGTGAACGCCCCCTTTCGCGGATACGGATGCGCGCTCTGCAGTGCACGACGTCGGATCTCTCTCGCGCATGAAGTAGCCAGCAGCTTTGCTACTTTGCCCATTAGCCGTGTTTTGTGCATTGGCGGCATGAACTCGTTTGCGCCGCGGGAGAGCTGAGACGGTTTGACACGCGAGTAAGTGCGCTTCGTAGCTTCTCCAGGCTATCCCACGGCGGCGGGGGGAGAGGCGGCCTTGTTTCAACGCTTCGGCTTCCTAGCCTGCCCACTCGGGCTATCGGGTCTGCCCACGGCTCTCCGTGGTCTTTCTTTCAGCGTCATGGCACGATGGTTTGATGTGGATTCGACTCCGTACTAGACGGACGGTTCCTCACCAAAGCCGACAGAGACGGAGCCTCGAGCTACTCTAGCCTGGCCAGCTAACGGCACGCCCCCGCTCACTACAGAGGAGGCTGTTTGTTGGCGCGCGATGTCGATTTCCCGCGACGGGGGGGTTGATGCTTATCGCGATGGAAATTGGCGCAGGTTGCTCTCGCCTACACCCGGGGACAAAGCCCTAGAATCAGGGCTTTGTGATATTCTGGTTTGTGCGTACGCAGCATGTCATGATGGGGCCGGTCAGATGCCATACTGCTATGCTGTATCATATCATGACGCTGTCTGCTGACGTGCGAAGCCGTGCTTTGATGCTGGGTATGGAGTAGAGTAGGAATCATCCGCCTGGCGGGGCGTCTTGGAGCAGGTACCTTGTCGGCAATAGCTGCGCGCTGAGTTGCTGTTACGTCCTCTGAATCAACATTTCACAAGTTAATTCTGTGCCCTCTCACAAAACAGAATCGTCAACGACAATTGCCGAGTTGCCCAAACCATCGCTCGCGGCGCAAACCACCGGGTTTGTTGGACGGGGATGAGGTTCTGATATCGTCGAATGAGAGCCTGCCCGCGATGAATGTGCGCGCTAGCTGGTTCCCCAGACTCGGGCCAGGGGATGGGTCCTCTGTAGCTCCACGGTAATGTTTAGGAACGTCTCAAGGCCTTAGATGGACGCTGGCCTTGCACGTTGCCTAGGCTGTTGGCCGAAATGGCCCGAACCAGTCCTCCCCGCCAAAAGGATGGCGCGACGACTGGCCGCGGGGCTGGAGAGGGTTATCCTAATGGTTACGACGGAGCATATGCGACTCACTTACTCGTTGGCGGTTTGCCCAGGCAAGGTCAACCTGGACGGTGTGTAGATGAATGGCATGTAGGCAGACTATGTACCAGTACGAGGAGGCATGTTGGCATGTAGAGGCATGTAAGGAATACATGAACCAAAGCCCTGTCTGGCGCTTTAGCGATGCAGGAGAGAAGAGGCAGCAGTCAGCTCAATATTACGAGTATTGGTGCAGGTACATGTAAGGAAGGCAGAAGTCAGCGGACATGTCGTTTGTCTGCAGCAGGTATCGCGCATGTACCGCTGGGGGAGGATGCGATCTCCGGTGTCGCTGATGAATGGTGCGCCGTTAGTGTTTATACGAGAGAAATGAGTGTAATATGAATCATCGCCGATGTTGTAGGTGCACACTCAGACCTGTATATTGCCAACTGTTTCCTGCTCTGTGCCTTCTTGGGCGCCATTAATAGCATTGCGTTGTGGGTTCATCTTCCTGTGCCAGCAAGTTATTAATTACCTTATACATGCTGCAACCTCATACCCATACAGACGTATCAAAGACACCATCTACATCTACTCGTGTGCATCAACGCTCAACCGGCTCCAGTTGCAAAACGTCCACCATATTCCATTACCAACCAAAAGCAATCCCTCTCGCTTGGCGCACAGCGCACTTGCTCTCTCTCTTCCCTGCCTGGCCCCAGAAAAACGACGCCAAAGTATCACCCTGCCTTGACAGATAGTCGCATTGGGCTCCGGGACGCCGTGCCGCGCAGCGTATCAGCGCCGATTCCTGCTGAGGCTGGGGCCGAGTCCCCATACGGTAGGCACATCTCGTCTCTGCTACTCCGTATCAGTCCAGTTGTTTGTTGTCCCGACATGCGCCGTGCTTTAGCTCTTCCTTTCATCCATTCATTCGTGCATCATAATCTCGTCAAGGCAGCAAGACAAAGGAAGGGGGTCTCCTGTTTTTCTGCTGCTGCATCCGTCTCATACTGTACCTAGAAAGACACGGACACACGTACTGGCTGTATACGCCGCTAAGTTGGAGCAATATTAACAGCACTGGATGGCTTCGAAATTGTGTGCGTCAACGCCCTAACCACTCTTGCCAGAAGTCATGGGAACCAGCCAGCTGGAGGTACAAGCAAGTACTGCCCAGTACCAGCAGCCCTGAGCCACAGGCTCGCTCAGCAGGCATCGCTACCGCCACACCCCCTCCCTTTAAAACAACAGAGCCGCCCCGGTTTTTTTTTAGAAGGGGGGGGGGCGCCCGGCTTGGATTTTAGCAGGTCCCTCCAGGTCCTCTCCAGGTCCCCCCAGGGCTGCAAGCGTCAAGCACCGCCAGTGCATCCTGTGCAGTTGCCGGGGCGTGGCACTAGCAATCGCGGCCTTGCCACACGTCGCCTTGGATTTCGTGCCTGCGCATGTACGAAGTACAGAAGCGAAGTACACACGGCCTTCATAATCGCATCACGCCCGGCCGATTCCTCTTCGCTTCTTCCCTTCCTCCCTCAAAGCAATCACAACAACACAAATCCGTGCAAACGATTCACATCGGGAATCAGCTGTCACAGTCTCGATCGTCGCGTCAGCCCCTGCCAGCGAAGCCCTTTTCCATCGCCTGTGCCCTTCATCTGCCAGCAGACTCCGGCTCTGGCACATCAAGGTCAACACCGCTGTCACTGGATTTTGCTCCTTTTGGTACGTACTCCGCCGCGACCCCTGGCAGTGACTCAACCCCTTTGCCAGCAAAACTTGCATTACGGCTGGCCGGAGCATCACCGCCTCTTGCTTGCTTGCTTGCTGCTTGCCTGCATGCCTTTTCCATCCTGTTGTGTTGTTCCTTTTTATGGGGGATCCCGTTCTTTGCATGCGCCAGCTGTTTTCCAGGGGAAAGTACATATACTGACCAGAGCCGCGTCCCTTGCCGCAGACTTAGAGCTTCTAAGCATCTCTTGCAATTCCGGTATCAGAAAGAAACATGGCTTCTTTGGCGACTGCTGCTCGTGATATCCCCCAGGCCTCCTTGAGCCGAGACAACTTAACTGCTGTAGCGGCTCGGAGCGATCCTGCGATGACTGTGACACGATCTCGGGACCTCCCGACCCCTCCAAACTCCATCTCTCCCTCCTTGCCGGCCCACGGCCTCAAGGCCCAGCTCCAGAAGGCCAAGCTCGAGGCCATCGACTCTGACTTGGACCTCCATGACAATGTCAGCAGCCACGGGAGATCGCTGTCTCCGGCGCTCGAATCGGCAGGCGCCATCACCAGCTCCATGCTGGCCAAGTACCACCTGCCAGAGATCCTGCTGAACCACGGCCCTCTGGCCATCCGCCACATCATGGGATATCTTACCACATCAGTTCCTGGATTCTCTGGTATCCCGCCGACCAAGGCGCGAAGGGTAGTTGTCGGGGCGTTGGAAGGACGCGGGGGCGAAGGCAGAGGAGTCGATGGAGACGTGGTCTTCGAGAAGGTGGGATGGGGACGATGGGATGCGCGCCGACGTGGACAAGCTGCCCGACTTCGTCAAGCAACTCCGCCCAGCGGCCCATCCTCGTACACCGCTGGAATCCCTATTTCCAGGGCCAGCGGCCGGGGCTTGAGCCTGAGCAGGGCGAGGCTGAACGCTGCCGGATCCAGCGGCGGCGAATCGGTGCAGTTCTCCCACGATGACCACTTTGACATCTCCATGATGGAGCACGAGGCCGATAAGATGTCCATGGATGACTCTGCGTCGGCTTCATGCTCCGAGGCGCCGGATGATGATATCGCTATGAATGATGACCCAGAGGACGTCACGGACGACGAGGACTGGGCTGCCGTTGGGGCCGCTGCCCTGCGGGCCGACTCCTACCCAAACATGGCTTCCGCGTTTGAGCCCGGTCTATCCTCCAACACTTACTCTGGCGGCGGGATGCGCACTTTCCCCTCCAACTTTAGGGGCGTGGCGAATCCCCCCCAAGTCAAGATTGACTATTCTGCGTTCCCTGCCACTTCTGATGCGCAGGAGCGCGAGGCTGTCGAAGCCCTTCTTCGACTAGGTTCTGTATAATACTACCAACTGCATGCATGGCGTTTTGCTTATTTTATTTCCTTTGGGTGGGTACTACGGCTTTGCTTCTTTGGGTTTCCGCGGTGGGAGGGTTTAACTTGGTTCTGGATGGACTGGTTGGCTGGACCATGGAATACGTGTCACACATGGTCGGGGCGGCGTCCCGGATCAAACCCTTTCATGCTGATGATGACATGCTTGTTCTGCGCGCATTGATTTTTTCTGGACCCTTTTACTTTCGATACTCCGCACGCGGCATTGTTTCTTTTTTTGCGTTTTGGCCCCTCGCTTTTCCCCCTCTAAACTTGGGGAATCATTCTATTGTTCCCACCTACCTAGAGGGATGGGGAAACACTTGGGCAGCTCGCATATCTCAATGCGACCCTAGCTTATATTGGGCTTTGGATGAAACTCTCAAAAGAGGTGGGAAAATGGACCGGCCGATCTCAGTGTTGATCGCTGATGGATTCTTTCTACCTCGCTTTTGACAACTAATGCCCCGTCATGCATGTCGAACAATTGTGTCTTGATGCTTTGTGGCACAAACCCGCATACTGGAAAACTCTTATACCCTCGTCTCACGACGAAACTTTTAAGGTTGTCCTACAATTGGATGGCCTCCCCCGGAAACAATGTCCTTCATCGGCTTTTCTATAACGGTTTATTTTCTTGCACATACGCAGCTTTGTTTTTCATTCTATTTTGAAACTCCAAAAATCCTTATAATAAAGCGCTTCTCTGAACGCGCCTGGTTTTTTTCAACACCACCCACGGAGGAATTTCAAACCTGCTATAGCTGCCCAAAGGCGGCATTTTAGGCTCGATCTGCAACACTTCTCCACTTCAGATGCTTTTTTTTATTACACTCCCTTGCTTGATGTTGCACAAGAGGAGAGGGGACTGGTTGGTTATTATAGACATAGGATTGGGATCATGGCTGTGGAAGACTGGTAGCCAATATGATTTAGGCAGGTAAGAGATTATATATAACGCGCAAAGCAGAAAAAAAGAGAAGAAAGGAGGCAAGAGGAAAGCAGAGGCGACAAAGCTTTTAATGCTTCTCTCTTTTAAACTACTGTCAGAGGAGGAGGATGGACTGAAGGTAGATGAAGAAACAAAAAAAAATCTTCAAAATAATGGAGGGCTGGCATTACCAAATAGCTTCCTGGTCTCATTACGAGACTCGGTTATCATACAATGGAAGTATTAATCATTTCCTCCAAAGCTTGGATATTCCCATGTGGCATGTTAATTGTTTGTGATTGTGCGTTGTATGTGTAAAGGATCGATTTTATTGGTTTACCTGCTGTGTAGCTCAACGGTGGGGAGTTTTCGTCTTTGCCATGCATCGCACAATGCCGGCTAGCAGAGGCATAGAGATAATAAACCGTGTTGTTGTTAGTGGCAAGCGCTTCTATGCAGCACTTATATGCGTGGCTTTCTGCAGGGCGCTGGGGCTGGATAATAATAAGCCCTTCTTAGTTTGCCGGCATATGCTAGAGATGCTCGCTGAGTTGTCAATACAAGTGCGGCTACGATTTACGCATGGCATCGAAGATCATTGAGGAGCGTGGCTAGTGAGGGCGCCATGGGCGTTGATCGGGCGGCGAGCGAGACCTTGAGGGTGTGTTTCGAAGTGTGGGCATGAGCATGGAATTGGAGAGTACCTAAAACACAAGAGGCCAAGACTGTATTGTGGAGAAGAATATGGCCGTACATGTATAAAAGGTAATTATATTATAAAATATAGCATGTGTGTTGTGTTTTGTGTGCGTTTTGTTGAGAGAGGAGATAGGGTCTTGGGTGCCAAATTGTGCAATGTTGGAAATCCTTCAAGACCAGCATATTAACTTGACAACACTAATAATCTTCATCTACCCTGTACTAGTATTATGGAAGAAACGAGATGATAAATAGAGAAGGGCGGGAAGGAACAAGGTGTTTAAAAATGGATAAGGTGCTTGGCGAGCGAATATCCCGTCGCCAAGGCACTATTATGTTTGTGATATCCATATTCCTACACGAGGCAGTAAGTTGCGCTACGAGCGAAGTTAACAGGTGGCAAAACGAGGTAATAAACGATGATGCCTTCTATTCATTATATTACAGAAGTTAAAAAAAAAAAAAAATCACTGATGAGGAATCGTTTCGAACTTCTTGGCTTTTTCTTTAAACCTTTACCCCGTGGGAATAAAAGCTTATGCTTACTGGGATCATTTTATCTGATCCTCCAGTCTCCTTTTTTCCTAAAACCACGTGTTGCTTGGCAATCGTGCAAAGAATATGAGTGTCTGATTAATAAGAACTGATACATGCATGAAAAGATGGGAACTTGTGATTTGAACTTTTGACTTGAATTGCACTGCCACCACCTGCTCTGAGGAAGCCGTCTTGGCCATGTATGATGCAAGGGAGAAAAGCTTACTACCACGCAAGAATTTGCACTGTAAATGTTGCGTCAAGCAATAGTGGCGTCTTGGCAAATTGGGGGAAGTTTTGTTTTGTTTTTCCATTATCAATATAGCTTGCTTGGTGGATGTGCCCAGACTGAATGGCTGGTCTTGGCGAAAGGGGGAAGGGGGGAAATATTGGGTATGCTGGAAATCGAATTGCCATTTTATCCCTAGTAGTATCTGGCCAAGATATCTGCTTCCGGGCTACTGGCGGTGGATGGAAGGCTGTGTAAGTGGCCTCGGGGGCATATTTGAGGGCCCGAGGGAAATGCTGGATTGATGAGTTTGACACCTGTTGGTTGGTGGACGTAGGGATGGTCAAAGATGATGATGCTTTGAACTTTACGTAAGGAGGAGAAGAATGCCCTATGCTGATAATCTCTTTGCGTATTGTAAAATCAACACATGCTGCCTTTACACGCGTGAAAATGTCATTGCCTGTAAGTGAGTGGTATGAAATAGTAATTAGCATTTACGTAGTGGTGAGTAGATGACAAGGTATGTAGATAACGATAAAGTCGGGATTCAATAGTGTATGCCTTGGTCGCTCTCTTCCCAGGCGATTTGCCCTAATCGGGAAAGAGAGTCGAAAAGCACACACGCAGACTAAACAGGCCCTTATTCCCGCCTGCCGGATGCGATGGATGCTTGGGGTCGAGAACACTCAAGGCCGCCTATTGGTGTGACTCGTTCAGAGTGCGAGACTGCTTGATGCGACGGGACGTATCAGTTGGTTGGCTGTCGGATACCTACTACTACTAGCACTGATTTGGCAATGCTCGTGTTGCGAGCACGCACACGAGCATTCCGTAATACAGATGATATTGCCTGGTCCCAGCCCTACTAATGCTTCTTAAGGAAACAGCATCGGCGTGGTCGGCGCTTGTAGCGTCCGTGATGGCGCCAATGAGGGAGCTGGGCCGCGTCTGCACGACCGACGACACAGTCAATCGATTCTCCGACGATGAGGAAGAGCCCCTGGTCTGGTAGGCTATATTTCACAGCTAGATCGCAATTCGATCCAGGGCAAGCAAAGGGCCCTGGTCCACTAGCTGGTACTAGTATTGCTGCTGCTACTAGCAGTGAATACCATAAGCGAGATGTTGGGGGGGAAAAAAAAAGAGAAGAGAGAGAGAAGAAGCCACGATATTTAATGGACAGTCGCGGCACTTGGGGGCGGAACGAGCTGAATCAAGACCATGATGAGAGAACAGAAGAGAAGCAAAGCAAAGAAAGAAAGAAAAGAAAACAAAGCCACATTCCATTCGTATGACTGCACCTGACTAATTCTCCTTTGGCAAAGGCGCGAACAGCGAGCTGAGCATTGTCCCAAGGTTGAGCGAATAAGTAGATACCTACCTGCAGCATCTACACACGTGCTTCTTTTTCCGCAAGCATGGAGCATGTAGTACACCCAAAGGCCGCTGACGTGACGTGCAGTGGCCACAATGCCAAGAGAGGCGCCAGAGTAATAAGCCTCAGGTAGCCCTGACAAAACAAATTAGCATCTGCCTCGGCGCTCTTGGCTTTCTGTCTCGGCGTGCTTGGCTTTTTCTCTAATGCGGCGCTGGGCCGCGGCAGGGCGGGAAAAGCTTGATTCAAGAATGCGGGATATGCATAATGGAGTGCATCCGACTTGGCGGGTGTATGTATATACCATTACAGTAGAAAGATGGCAATGCTGGAGTGGCAACAGTTCAGTATAGCTGCAATTGTGCAATAGTATAGTGCCAATGGTATAACTCACATAATGGATATCTGAAGTGACTCATGTCTTTCATCTACCTACTCTTCTGTACTAGCAGGAATACAAGTATCTTGGCCCTCAGCAGCATGTATCAGTAAAAAGAAGAAAGGGGGTAAAACGATCAAGCAGCATCTGGGGGAGGCAGCTACGGCAACAAGAACAAATGCCGTTGGATTTGGACAGTCGTCGCAATGCTGGCCAAGGGGCACAAACACACGGCACGGAGGGCCTGATTCCGCATACAAACACGCACAAGTAGAGTATAGGCCAGCGGAGAGCTTGTTGCAAATTACTCCGTACGAACGAGAGCGAGGACAAGCACAGCCCGAGACGTATCAAATACGCGGCTTTGTCTCCTCGACGCAACAAGTGGCCGCGTGACCGCCGAACTCCGGTCGAGTCAGGGCAAATCATATCAAATCAATCAATCAATCGGCCAGTCTTTATTTGCAAAAGCATCAAAGTATGTACATACTGTGTAGGATGTAGGAGTATCAGATACCTACCTCCCTTTAACGCAAATACGTATACAAGCAGCCGCAGCATGCAGGGCGGGAGCAATATCTGCTGCTATCCGTTGGGCGGCCTCTTCCTAGACGAGAAAAACAAGGAGGCCCATCCCGTGTTATTCTTCCTGTGCCGTTTGAACCGAGTTTGTTTAACTTTTTTTTTCTTCCCTTTATGTTTTGCTTCTTTCATCCGTAATCTACAGGTAGGTCTCCGTCTGTATCACCTCAGCCTGGTCTGAAGGTTCACACACGGCATTTGTAAGAATCAAGCAGCACCGCCACGCACTACAACGAAGGCGATAATGAAGATGATGTCAAGCATAAAAAGAAGGCCAGGCGAGATAGACACACGCACACACACACACACATACACGCACACATACACATACGCATTCATAAAAGAGACAGCAGCGATGTGGACAGCGAGACGACGCCGACAATAGCTCGACGCTGCAGACATGTGCATCCTCCATCCATTTCACGTAAAAGTCGCGGCGTGAGCGGCCATCCAAAGGGACCGCCAAAGTCGCTGCTGGGGCCCTAGAGCCAATGGAAGGCGATGAGTGGGCATCGCGCCAAGGATGCCAAGTCTTGGCGTTTCTTGGCATCGTATGCGCACCTGCGCTGGGGTGGGTTTCGCCTGTTAGTGGCTACCTAAAGGGTACTTTGCGGTGCTGAGAACAGCGCGGGGGGCTGCAGCCCGACAGTATGAGATCTCCAGGTAGCCGCTAAGTTGCTTTCCATCCGATGCGCTAGCTCAGCAACGCCAAGAAATGCCAAGACCGCCAAGAATTTCCGCTTGGCCCTCTTTTGCTTGCCCAGGCCTTTGTGACGATGTAAAGGGAGCAACTGCCCCCAGAATCGCCTTCCAAGAGGCGCGAGTCTTTCCCCCCGATCATAATCCTATATTTTTAAGTGTCGTGACCTCCTCCATCTCCAGGAGAGTTAAGAAAAACACCGCCCGTTGCCTTGTGGAAGCTGCATCGCATCTCTTCGACCTTTGCAAATTCGGCCCTTCCTGCGCCAGAGTGCCTGTGGCCCCTCCCCGAAAGATCGCGGCAGCCTTTGGTTGACCTTTTTTGTTCAACTGCCCCACCATTCGACAGCCCTTCCGAAAATGTCGGCCCAGGTCCCCGAAGCCGTCCAGGCTCTGTCTCCAGGCCTCGAGAAGTCGGCATCGCCCGCAGACGCATCGTCAACCACCAGCGCCAATGGCAGCACCAGCACAGCCACCAACACCAGCATCAGCAACAATGGTGGCAGCACCTCGTCCAGTGCACAGGTTTCGCCGACGCTCGGCGACTCGCTAGACACGCCGCGAGCACTCGTCTGTCGCTGGAACCAATGTAACCAGAAGTTTACCAATGCAGAGACACTCTATGTAAGTATGAGAAGCAGAAGCAAGCAGCAGCAAGCATACGAATCACGAAGGAAGGAGGGCAGAAGAGGGAGAGGAGAGACTGCACTTACGATGGAAGAGCATCTCAATCTCAATCTCAGGGTTACCCTTCCTGGTTACAGGCTTATATAAACTCGCCCAGTGCTCTTCGCATTATGCATGCTAACCAAATCAATCGCCTTGCAGGAACACATCTGTGAGCGCCATGTTGGCCGCAAAAGCACAAACAACCTGAGCCTCACTTGCCAGTGGAACTCTTGTCGCACCACCACCGTTAAGCGTGATCACATCACTTCACATATCCGTGTTCACGTTCCGCTTAAGCCTCACAAGTGCGAATTCTGCGGCAAGTCATTCAAACGACCTCAGGACTTGAAGAAGCACGTCAAGGTATTTATCCACCCTTTGTCCGTCAATCGACTAAAGAGACTCTCCTAACATATTTGTGTCTACAGACTCATGCCGATGACTCGGTCCTTTCCAGGCCCGGCCAGGATAACCCACCAGGTATGAACTACAGACCGCAGGTGCCAAAGCGTGAGTGGCTCCTTTATAGGTTGATTTCACTCTTGTTAACCAGACCTTTAGCCCCTAGCTATTACGACCATAATGGGCAGATGCGAAGCCCTGTCCCTGGCTATCCTCAACCCGGCGGCTATTACGCTCCTCAGCCGTCGACGAATTATGGACTCTACTTTAACCAGCAGCATGTCAACACTGCACCCCGCAGTGAGCAACAGATTGGCTACACAGCTGGCTATGAACGTAAGCGCACGTTCGATGTGGTTGACGACTTTTTCGGCAGCGCCAAACGCCACCAGGTCGACCCGACCTCGTATGCCCAAATCGGCCGCTCCCTGCTCCCTCTCCACGGCGCGCTGGCCATGTCCAACGGACCCATGACTGCCACGGAACCATATCTTGCCCAGCCAGCCGGCCATGCTGTGGTCCACGCTGCCCCTGTACCCAGCCAGAACCCTTTGGCGCAGCAGTACTACCTGCCTATGCCTAATGCGAGGACGCAAAAAGATCTCATCCAGATCGACCATCTCCTAGGTCAGATGCAAGACACCATTTACGAGAACGCTGCCCATGCTACTGCCGGAATTCACCCCCATGACGGCCAATTTGCTAGATACCGCAGCACCCCATCACCTCCCACCCTTCACCGAGGCCCGGCTGGCATGCATGTCGGCACTGATGGCTACCAGCCTGTCTCGGCGGCTAACATGGCCTCACCGCTGACTGCCATCTCATCCAACGGCACTCCGGCAGTGACACCACCCTCCAGTGCCATGTCCTATTCCTCTGGCCATTCACCAAGCCCCTCGGCCTCTTCAGGATTCTCGCCGCAATCTCGCCACAGTTCGACTGTCTCATCAGTCATGTACCCCAGCCTCCCCACCAGTCTGCCTACCGTCAGCCATGGATTTGGCCAGTCTACTACGGCAACTCTGGGTCCTAGCTTTGACGCTGGCGAGCGCCGTCGCTACTCTGGCGGTATGCTCCAACGGGCTCGTGCCGCACCGCCGTCACCGCCGCTACAGTCCTCTGGCGAGGCGAACGGCGCAACGACTCCTAAAGCAAGCGAGTCTGCGCCATCGATCGGGTCTCCATCTTCTGATTCATCAGATGTCAGTGACGGTACTCGTGAGCGAGAAGAGCAATATGAAAGATGGGTCGAAAATATGCGGGTGATTGAGGCCCTTCGCGACTACATCCGAGGACGCCTGGAGCGCAGAGACTATGTAGATGAGTATCCCAACATTGGTAGAATCCGCAAGGATGTCGACGCCATGGACCTTGACGGCAAGTCCAGGAACCCACTTACCAATGAACGCCCCCAGTCTAAGGAGAGCAACTCTCTGTATCCCATCCTTCCCCTTCCCGGAACCAGATCATGATCTGCGTGCGTTTCACGTGGGAAAATTTTGCTTTGATTGGTTTTCTTTTCAATTTCTTGTTATATATCATGTTGGCAAACTTGATGGATCAAAATGATGCGCTGCGATGGTCATGGCACTTGGCGTAGGTGTAGCTGGGTTTTTTTGCTCTATGTTCCAAATCAATGTATGATTCATACTGGGAGAAAGGTAGTTTTTCTTTTGTTTTCCTTCTGTATATAATATACATACATACAAAAAAAAAAAGGGGATATGTGCTGCAGCTCAGCTCCGGCCTCAATACAATTTACCATTCAAACCAAGCTAATAGAATCAAGAGTGGGTGATCATGGTCTGCGTACCTTTTGGACCCCTAACAGTAGTCAAGGGCGCATAAATTCCCGTGCTGGACACTAATTTCTATAAGAGAAATATACTCACAGTTTGCGACACCGACATCTAATAGATGGGTTGGAAGTTCCGGGCCCAAAGTTTCGTTGACATGGGTTCCAGACATGGTACTTTTACACGACTCGTGCTCCTGCAAGCAAGTCTTGACCAAAGGGCTGATGAACGCAAAAATGCCTCTGGGCCGTCGTCACTTGGCAATTGTGGTGTGGTACATACATTTCCGGAAAGGGCAACGGGAGACCTTAGGTATGTGTATTGTTAAGTCTTTCATGGACCATCTGTCAGGAATACCTAGGTATGTAGGTGAGGTAGTTACCAAGGGTCTCTTCACAGTGATATCTCGATATCATCCTCGGAAGATGAGCTAACAAATTGTACGTGTGAAAGTGGATTATCTATAGAATTAGATGTCCCGTAGAATATTCTATAGCATTTAGATTATGCTACCACACCAACATCCAGGTTGTCGAAGATATAGTAAGACATCATCATTCTGCAGAGGTAACAGCCTCGTGAACCTGCCCCTCGCCTAGCGGCATTTCAGAAGGAATTTAGGCCTGGCCAACGCTCAAGCCTCCCAGAGATGGCAACGGCAAAACCATGACAGTCATCACAAAGATCCATTTGCAAGCAGAATCGAACGTCTTTGATCAGAGTTTACATAGTGAGACTATGGGGCTGTCGCACAGCTGGCACATGTTAGTCGATCTGCTGCTATATACTTGTATATTCTTACTACCGTTGGTGCCTAATCACTACATGCAGTTGTAATTGGCAGAGTCAGCCTTGCCGTGAACCTTACTACCTGGCACCAAGACCTGTAATGCTGTTAGAACCGGGACGATTCAAAGCGCCTTTCGCACACTTCTTCTTTCTTCTTCTTCTTCTTCTTTGGAGCCAGATACTAATTTAATTGATCGCTCATCGCTTCCGTTGCATCATTACTCAGAAAACTCACTGATGTTGCGCACAACGTACTTGTAGCAGGTAAATCAGTCTTGGATTCAGGTATTACAGCCAGGCTGGTACCATTCGATCACTAGAAAACGAGCAGCACTTGGCAAGACTCATGAGACCATAGTTTACATATTTTTACTGGAAGCCGCCAATACGGAGTGATAATGGGAGATCTCAACACAAATGCTGCAGCCAGTTCTGCATATCCCGGGCCATGTCTTCCAACGCCAAATCACATACGTCTCGTCTCTCTCCAGCCGGGAAGCGATAACTCAATTATATGTGAACTTTTGATTGCTGAAGTTCATTCAAACATCTCTTATGAAGCAGTATCATATACCTGGGGAGACCCCGGTGACCGCCAAACTGTCTTTATTAAATCTCACAAGCACGAGCGACCAAGAGAATTATTTGTAACTTCTAATTGTGTCTCTGCCCTTCGTCGCTTACGATATCAAGACCGTCCACGTATTTTATGGATAGACGCTTTGAGCATTGATCAATCGAATTTGGTGGAAAGAAATCACCAAGTGTCTCTTATGGCTGCGATTTACTCCAGTGCCACAAACGTTGCCATCTACCTCGGCGAGGCTTCAGAGGACAGCGAGCAAGCGATTAACTTTATCATAGAATGCGCTACACCGTCTTCAGATACAAACTCTCTGAGCTACATAAAATCTGCGCCATTGGTTCGAGCATTAAGCAGCTTCTTCCATCGATCTTGGTTTACAAGAGTATGGGTTTTACAAGAAGCTGTACTACCAGCTACTGGCATAGCTTATTGCGGAAACAAAACACTGCCCTGGTCGACAATTAAGCATTTCAGTGGTTGGAACACAAACAACAAATGGCTACAACAGCTGCCATTTGTAGTCTCTGACCCTAAAGTCTCGCCGATAGAGCGCCAGGAACTACCGCCGATGCTTAAACTCCTTATTCAAGCAAGACATTGCGAAGCAACAGATCCCCGAGATAAGATCTATAGCATGCTATCGTTGCTGGGCACGCCAGACAAGCAATTCAGCCTCAAGCCACGATATGAAGATCCAGTTGCTAAAGTCTATACGGACTGCGCCCTTGCCCTCATGGCTGATAGCGGCTGTAATCTTCTCAGTGCTGTGCAGGGGGGTTCGACGATTGATGGTCTGCCATCATGGGTACCAGACTGGAGTGTCCAACCCAGACGCGAAATTCTTGGGACGTCTATGCGCGTAACACGAAACAGACCTTATAACTTCGAAGAGCGAGCGGGGAATCCTAAATCACCACAGGTTATCTTGGATGAACCAACTCCCGGTACGATGAAAGTATCCGCGAGATTACGTATAGCTGGCTACGCATGTGGCAAGATTACAAAAGTCGGGTCGCCATATCTCGCCGGCCAAGGCCAGTTTCCATTACATGAGTGGAAGTCTCTACTACAGGATGATGCTGTAGTTGGTAGGAGACAGGCAAACGTCGTACCTCTCAACTTCCATGGCGATGACTCAAATGAATATATTTTCCACAAAGTCATAGGCGCCGCTGGATTTGGATATGCCAGTGCAATTTTTCGATTTGTCCAGAAGGAGGCCAAAATAAAGCAAGCGCCAGAGGGCGACGTATCTGCACTGAGCTGGGAATCCAGTGTCAGGCAAATGGCTTCGGAAAGGCATTCTGCACAAGCCACTGAAGATTTTGCGTTGCCATTCACAGATATTCCATTCCATCTTGCAGCAAAGGACCAGCCTCCCAGCTACAGGGCCTATGTCCAATTTGTGTTAAAGAACTGCCACTCCCGTCGCTTTTTTATCACTGACACAGGGTACATGGGCATTGGGCCTGAAGGGGCTAAGATTGACGACAAAATCTACATTTGTGTGGGTGCTGCAATTCCATTCGCATTTAGGGACGTCGACGAGAATTGCAACGGCCAAAGTTCGAAAGTTTTCCAGTTGGTGGGAGAATGTTATACAGACGAAAAGGCGTGGAGAGACCTAGAAGACAGAATCAACTCACCTCAGTATTTTGATGTTATATAACGAAATCTAATGCCTTATCAATGTATATTATGCATAAACGATTTCAGATTCACGAATGATCAAGACAGAGTACTAAATTAGTTATACTATACTATGTAATAATCTATGCAGAACTTAACAGGTAAAAACCGGACATTTACTGTAATTCTTTTTTACCTCTTCTTGCATTGAGATCGATCCATAAGTTCAGCATCAAGACGACTGAGAACCAAATCCAGCGTGCATGCTAAGAGCCTTACTAACTGCCTACTATTCCTAGGTAATATGCCTATGCACTATGTACTGTACAGTTCAGTTTCGTATGTATGAGGGGATTATTATCCAAGGCAAAAGTCGAGACCAGGACCTTGGACCTCTTTGGCGAAGCTAGGCGAGACAGGCACCCGTTGCAGGAGCCTCCCGATGTCCCGTGCCGCTGTTTGCAACTGGTGCGAGTACAGATTAGGTAACAAGTAGTTTCAGACGAAAAAAGACTTGAGAAAATAAATGAGTAGTATGTATTACGAAATAATAGCAATGGAAAAGAGCACGCAGACAGTTTCTCGGTGAATGGCCGGCGTTGGTTGGAATGCGGGCTGTGAAGCAGAGTTGCACAGAACAAGAAAAAGGAGCAGAGCCAAGAGAAACGAAAGTGCCAAACAGGGCTGAGTCACTGCAGGGATGACGACTTACATAAAAATTTGCTCTTTTTGAAAATTCAGAAGACGGGCAAGAGAGGGGAAGCTCTTTCTTTCTGCTTCTGCCTAGATGATCAAAAGAAAAGAATGAGTGGTGAAAAGATGCTTGCCGCGGCGCAGACGCAAGGAAGGAGCTCTGGCCAACACGTGCGTTGTGCCTCCTCGGATATACATTGTGAGCGTCTTGAATCGCGCGCCACGGTGCCACGGTATGAGCGAGATCAGGTCGAGAGAAATTAACAGGGCTTCACTGGGGCAGGGGCTCTTCTATTGTACCCGTGTTCCTTTTTTTTATTATTCCTCAATAAATCCTCCATAAAATCGCCTTTTTCTCTCTCTCTCTCTCAGCCGCCCAAATAACTCGCATCGACTGTTTTTGTTTCAGCTCTGATCTCCAGAAAGAGAAACACAGCAAGATCTACCCGAGACAAGCAAAGGAAGCTGTAGGTGGCCCCGGGCTTTTTTTTTTTTTTTTTTTTTTTTGGCTGTTGGGTCATGAGACATCCCTTGTTGCCTCCCTTGAAAGCAACTGACCATGGAATAAAGGTCGAACGAGCCCGCCTCTCTCTCTCCCTACGGCAAACCAACAGACACCCTCGACCAAACAAACGGAACCACTCAAGCAAACACCAAGAACCATGAAGGCCGCTGTCTTTGCCATCGTCCCCATGCTGCTGCTGGGCGCCTCTGCCTACCGCCCTCCCGTCCACGGGCCCAAGCCGCCCGTTGAAGACGCCTGCTGCTGCTGCGACATCTCAATCAACTCAATCTCCTGCGATAGGGACATCCCCGCCAGCGACTGCATCTGCGCCGCCGTCGTCTGCCCCCCTGGCGCGCCAACCGTCTGGCACGGCGAGCCGCCGGCGCCGCGACCCACCGCACCCACCGAGCAGTTCTACCCGGTGCCCGGCGAACCCACAGCGTAAGGGACTGTTTTTAGCCTGTGAAGTCGAGTGCGGTTCTAGCTTCAAAGGATTGATACGCTTTGTGTGAATCTACCAAGAAGGTCGTGAGACAAAGGATAACGGAGGAAAACGAAAATCATGGCCATTTCTCTGAGGACAAGATGCGCTGGGAGTGCGGCGGGCTGGTGGAGAATCATGGAGAATCCGATGTACTGAGACATGGCTCAGCTGTAAAGGCTGCCTGCTACCTTTAACCTGAATCATTTACGTGCAAATTTCTACTCAATGCAATGCCATAAAATGGGCATAGATTTTGATCACTCTTGTTCGTATTATTGGATTTTTTACTCATTAAATTTTACAAAAATTGACTGCAAAATGTAGGTTGTGCAGAGCTTCTTTGCTGTTCCAAGTATATGGCCTGCACCTCCCAAATTCGCTATGCCGCACTTTTCGTCACTTACACGTGCTTTGTTCCTCCTTTCTCCTTCAACATCGCCCGCCCTCACTCCATAACCAAGACGTTCCTAAACCGCGGCTTGCCAGCTTCCAAGCTCTTAACCGCCTTTTCGACCTCGCTGAATGGATACTTCTCAACCATGCATTTCACGCCGTGCGTCAGGGCAAACTGAATTGTCTCCTCGCTGTCCAGCGCATGGCCGCTCGCCCAGCCCTGCACGCTGGCACCCTTCATGATCAGCGTCACGGTGCTCACCTCAACGTTGCCGACGGGCGCAAGACTCAGGATCTTGCCGTTCGGAGCGAGGCCGTCCACAAGAGCGCCGACCACCTTGGGGTTGGGCGCCGTCTGGACAATGATGGAGGCGCCCCCGAGCTTGGTCAGTTCGGCGGCGGAATCGGCGTTGGAAGTGTTGATGTAGTGGTGCGCGCCGAGCTCCTTGGCGAAGGCGGCCTTGTCGTCGCCGTGGGAGAGGACGGCGACCTCGTAGCCCATCTTGCTGGCGAACTGGATGGCCAAGTGGCCCAGGCCGCCGAGGCCCTGCACGGCGACTAGCCGGCCCTGCTCGACTCTCTGCTTGCGGATGCCGTTGAAGACGGTGACTCCGGCGCACAGCAGAGGCGCCGCCTGTGCAGGCTCAATTTCCTTGGGGATCCGGACGACGGCCTCGGCTCGCAGCAGCACGTACTCGGCATAGCCGCCGTCCCGCGAGACGCCGTTGATGACCTCGTTCTTGCAGTACTGGAACTCGCCGCGCTGACACTCCCTGCACACGCCGTCGTGCCCGCCGTGCCACGGCCCGCCCACGCGCTGGCCGACGGAGAGGTTCTTCACGTCGGCGCCGAGCTCGACAATGTCGCCGACGATTTCGTGGCCGGGTGTGCGCGGGAAGACGTCGCCAAAGTGGCCGTAGCCAACCTCCATGTCGGACCAGCAGACGCCGCAGGCGAGGACCTTTACGAGGACCTGGCTAGCGGAAGGGTGCTTCAGGGGCACATCTTGGATGGTGAAGCCGGAGTTTGGCGCGGTAAGAACGACGGCCTTGTAGCTCTTGGGGAGGGAGGATGTCATTTTGTGAGAGATGAGGAAGCCTGATTGGTTCAGAATTACGATTGGATGGGTGAGTGTAATATCTCTATTTGTTGAATCTTTTTATTGAAAGTGCTGACAGGGTGTGTAGTGAATAAACAGGTCAAGCAGCTCTTTGAATATCTTGTATGAGATGGAGCAGCTGTGGAAGAGCTTTAGTAGTAGAGCCTTAGCAGAGCTTTGTGAGAGAGGAGAGCTTGGAGCTATCTCTAATTGAAAAACATGAAGTGAAGGGAATTTATTGAAAGTTATATACTTGTGGACGAAAACTGAAGCTCCGTATTAATACTACTGGCCTAATTAAGAGTTTTGTGTTTCCCAAAACCGGTCAAATATTCGTTTTCAGCTGATAATCCTACCTGGGCAAAATTGCTGCTAATGGTAAACCAAGCAAACTAGTGCGCTGCTGTGAAGTCAGTGTGACTTCATCAGCGTCAAGGGGGGGGGATTCGCAAAAGGTCCAAAGTTTATGAGATAGCTGTGCCTAGAAGTCGGGGGCGCTCGGGGTTAGGACTGGAACGATACTAGGGCCGGGCGTAGCATTGCTTGTGTGATTGTTCTGTATCACAGATGGCATGATTGGGGTTTGGTTGTATCTGACTAAGGTCTACGGAGTAGATGGGAGCTGTAATTCGAATAAAGGTAAAACAAGGCGTCACTCATTTGTGAGCTATAGCTAGCTTTTCCCCCGAACTGACAAATGTAATGAGGATATCTGATCTCTTCGATGATATTCACGACAAGGTTTAGCTATCACCAACCATATTCCTTAAGCCATTGACCTATGATAAAGCTGAAAAGCCCTGCTTTAGCCTAGGATGGAAAGTAGCCAGGGTATACAGAGGCAGTTTCCATTATTTACTCGGTCGAGTTGATATTATTGCATCTATGTTTATGATTTCCGATTCTTGCTGGACTAAACCTCATATAGGCTATGTGATAATGGGTTGTCTTGATGTCATCTATTTGAGTGGCAATGCTAAGAGCAGCGTGAATCAAAGAGCCTGGTTAGAACAGCACGCCTTTGCTTCTTCTCACAATAGTCTTTGCTTGCGCTTCATTCCATTAATCTAGGATAGTTCCGTTCCAATACAGTTGATTCACATCGTTAATCTTCATCTTCATCGTGTCATAAATGATACATAGGTTAACTTGCCCAAAACCGACGCTTCGCTCTAGGGTAGCCGCGCTTGCTTCTATGTAGCACTAGTTCGCCATAGCTATTGGCGGCGGGGCAAACTCTCCCCGGCTAATCCTCGCTCCTGGCCCCCAGCCCAGCCAATCACCGCCCTCGCATTTCCGACATCACGGGGCAAAAGAGGCGAATCAATCAATCCATCGATCTAACCTTCAGGTCTCCCCAAACTCCAAACCTCCAGCCTCGCCCAGCTCCCTTAAGCCGCGGCACCCCAATCTTCCTCCCCAGAACAGAACTCGTTCGTTGAGGAAGCCTTTTCCACCTCCGAGTCTCTGCTGCTCGCCACACATAGCAATCATGCTGCCGGCCACGCGATCTGCGGCCTCAATGGCCCTCCGAGGTGCGTCAAATTTTCCAAGACGATACGAACGACGAATACGCCACCCAATCAACCCTCCCCAGTCGTTTGATACTCAGATGAGCTGACGCCAATGATTTTCCATTTTACAGTCAATCCTGCCTCTGCGCTGATGCCCTTCCGAGCTGCCGCCGCCTTCACAACAACATCTCAAAAGGATGCCACCTCGTTGACCCCCCACTCGCCCAGCTTCGGCAAGATTCGCAAGGAAGTTCCCCTCCCCAGCGAGGAGGGCACCAAGGGCGTCATCCAATACGCGCTGTACGTAAAAACTACAACATCCATTCCAGATACCAATCTATACGACATATGAAAGAAAAAACCAAGAGAAAATCCCAGTTTCACAAATCTAACGATATCTCTGCAGCACCTCCCTCGACATCATCGCCAACTGGGCCCGTCAATCCTCCCTCTGGCCCATGACCTTTGGTCTCGCCTGCTGCGCCGTCGAAATGATGCACCTCTCCACCCCGCGATACGACCAGGATCGTCTCGGAATCATTTTCCGTGCCTCCCCCCGTCAGTCCGACGTCATGATCGTTGCCGGCACCCTCACCAACAAGATGGCTCCCGCCCTGCGCCAGGTCTACGATCAGATGCCCGACCCCCGATGGGTCATCTCCATGGGCAGCTGCGCCAACGGCGGCGGCTACTACCACTACAGCTATAGCGTCGTCCGCGGCTGCGACCGCATCGTCCCCGTCGACATCTACGTCCCCGGATGCCCGCCCACCAGCGAGGCCCTCATGTACGGAATCTTCCAGCTGCAGAGGAAGATGCGCAACACCAAGATTACCCGAATGTGGTACAGGCGGTAAATAAGAAGGGAAGAGAATGAAGGTGAAATATGGGAAGAAGACGAGAAGAAAAGGATGGGAGAAATTGGCTTTACGTGATTTGAACGGTACAGAGGTACTGAAAAGTATGGAGATGAAGAAATCACTTATCCAAAGGGGAATGGAGCTATTCGATCATGGGACACGACGGGGGAATTCTTCAAGACGGAAATTCTGAGTCAAACCCCAAACGCAGGAAGAAGCAATATCATACATTGGCTCGGTATTAATTTTTTTTTACTATGTTTTCTCAAAATTTGTGTATATACACTCTGGGCTGCATTGAGGTTAGAGGTGTAGTGTAGAGTATCTGCCAGAAAATACTGTACCAATACTACGAGCCACACTTGAAGAAAATAAACAGATGACATGAGTGAACTGGAAAAGATGTGTTATACTGTCGTAAGAGAAAAGCAACCTTGATCAATTTCACTTTATTACAATGAAAAAGTAAACCAACTAAATTATTCCAATTGGGAAATAAAAAAATAAAAAAAAAAGTCAAAATTCCATTCCATGCCTGCTTTACTATATCTTGCAATACCCTTCAGCTATTATCTTCATCTTTGCGCTCTCCATCATTCATAATCGCAACACCGCCAGCTCATGAATGCATTTGATCGTCGAAAATACGAATGGAACGCCTCAACTGGATCACCCATCTGTCGGCTGATCCAGCCAGCTCAGTCCCACTTTGTACAATCCATTTCTCATGGCCATGCATGTTTTCTCGTTCCATGGCCCGCCTCTTTTCCACATTTGACATCGTATAGCAGCTCCCTTGCCATCCCCTTTTGCTTTCTTTTCTGCCGATGCCTAAAGGCGGCGTTGCGAGCCATTCTATCTCAACGCGTCACATCTTGCCTGATAACAATAAAATCCGCCAGCGCCAAACCAAAGCCTACCATGTCTGTCTGCTGACTCTTCAACCAAAGCATATATACCCAAATGAGGAAATCAAAATCAAAACACTATCAATGAGGGGATAGAAAGGGATTTTTGTTGGGAAGCAAATGCTACGAAACCATCATAGAAAGCTGTGTGATGCGAGCGAGACACATCGTATACCAACCCGCCGTCTATTCTTGGCCAAAGCCCATGGTCTCCTCAACGGCAATTGTAAGCTTCTGTTGTAGCGTTTCCAAAGTTTTATAAGGGGGTAGATCGATGCGGTTGAAGCTATACTTGTGGTTAGCCATCTTTCTTCCATCATGCATCAAGGGAGTTGAACACTTACCAAGTGTGTGCCTTGGGTAGATTAGCCAAGTCACCGGCCTTCTCGATCGTAAACCTTCTGGGACCATCGCTACCCTGAAGATCTTTGAATCCGTTGACTGGGATTCTGGAGGTACCGGTGGTGAACTGCAACAAACGCGACTTCTGCTCGCCGTCCCAGGATCGCACTGTTGCCCAGAAGTTCTGGATAACTTCGTCTGACTCAGTGTAGCCTCGGTAGTCGGTGTGCTTCTTCCAGTCATCAACGTCAATCTCAGCAATACCGCCAATGAGCAACTCCAACTCTCGCTCATCAAAGACGTTGATGAGGTCATGAGGGATTAGCTCTTGGAAACCCTCCTTGAAAGCTTGGAACTGCTCGGCGATACGCTTCTCAATTCGCCATTTAACCATAAGCTCCACATACTCCTTCTTGTTCTCATTTGTCACTTCAATGTCACGACCGCCGGGGATCAAATCCTCGGTAGTCAATACACCGAAGCGCTCATCTTCCGTGGAGAATGTTTGTTCTAGGATTCCTCCTGAAATATCATTGTCCAGCATCCACTGCAATGATCGGTGGAAGTCAGCGTCGACTCCTTCCATATCAGCCAACGTGACTCCCTTGCCCAGGACCATCTTGTAGAGAGCACCAATGAAGAAGGCGTCCAAAAATCGGCGGTGGAAGATGGCCATACCGACTACACGGCCAATGAATTTGAAATAGTTGAGATGCTCTGGGTTAATACCAGAGTGAGGGTTAATTTGGAGGGTATAATTATCATGCGCTGAGTACTCGAATAAACAGTAGAAAGGATTGAACATTTCGTGCGAAAGGAGGAAGAAAAATTCTCGGGATAGACCACCGTAATCAAGACCGTCTTCTCCGTCGAACTTGATCATGAGACGCTTCTTCAGGTCTGTAGCAGACTGGCGAGTAATCTCGGCAAAGGAGTCTTCGAAAATGTGTGATCGTCGGACCTTGATATGGCACTGCCCGCTAAGAATGCGCATAGCAGGCTGGGAGCGGAAGTAAATAAGCTTCCGTCTGAAGTCTCGTTTGTATTGGGGCACATTCTGATCCAGGGAAGAAGGAAGACGCGGGTCATCCCAGGTGGTTGTCTTGGTGTTGTGGTCCACAAAGTAGACTCGGGCAGTGTTTGTAAGACGCATCTCCCAGCCGCTAGGCAAGGGGCCGAGCTGAGAAACGGGCTGCTGCTGGATTTGCCCATTGGTGTTGTTCTGGCCGTACATGCGGATGAACTGCTGTCGGCGAGGATCGACCCAGGTCGTGGTACGCGTGTTGTGATCGACAAAGTAAGGCCGTCCTTCGGGAGTCCAGCGTTGTTCCCAGCCTGGAGGAAGCTCACCGGAGCCTGGGCTAGTAGCACCGGTGTGCATCATAGCCGTGTGGCTGCCATTGGGAGCAGCATTGGGAGCAGCGCCGCCGCTGGGGCTACCAGAACCAGAACCTTGCTGCTGTTGCTGAAGAGTTGGCGAGCTGGTACCAGTTCTATCTTCGGGCAAAGTTCGGTTTTGGTGTCTCTGGCGTTCAACCTGGGTAACAGCTTCTCGTTCGTTTCGTACTTCAGCGGCGGTTCCGTTGGCTGTCGGCCGGTTCCAGCTGGTGGTTCGGGTATTGTGGTCTACATAATAGGTGCGACCCAGGTTATCTTCTCTGCGCTCCCAGCCTGCTGGCAAGCGGCCCTGAGCGTCTTCGAACGGGCTCAGCTGGCTGTTGGGGCGCGTAGAGCCATTGACACTCGCAGAGGCAGGCGCGGCACTGACGCTGGCAGGGTGGTTACCGAGATTCGGCTGGGAACTGAGCGCGTTGCCGTTGGGGCCAGACATGGCTGAACTTGGTCGTTCACCAGCCGGAGCAGATAGCGTCGACAGGTTGGAACCACTGGGTGCTCCAAGTGTGGGTCGATTTGACGATGATGCTTGGCCGGCGCGAATGGGAGTACTGAGGTTGCAAGACAGGTTGAGGATGAGCTTGCCGTGCACAACGAGGTTATCAGTCGATTTCTTGAGGTCCCTGGTAATCATTTGGTCTGGCAAGTGCTAAGCGTTAGCGAGCTACTAGTAGTGCTAGAAAATAAAGGGGCCGGGTGACTGAGACATACCGTCGGCCTCGGGTCCGACTTCTGGAATCAAGTCGCCGATTCGGATGTTGATAACGCCAAGGAAACCCTGGTCCTTCTTCTTGAACTTCTTTTGATCGAAAACCTGGACGGCCAGGATACTGCCCTCATCCACACGGCTGCAGAATTCAGCATTTAGTATATAAACTGCCCTGTTACGGTAGAAGGGAATGGTCGTACAAATCAAAGCTTTCGTTCCAATACGGGTTGAGCGTCTTCTTGCTCACCGTCGTCGTCTTGGTCTGCTCGCCGTTGATGGTCGCGACGGCAAAGGGGTCGGGGAAGCCTATTGTTGTTATTGTTTAGCTGAAAGTTGGCAGACACAGAGGCATGATGCGAAGGAACAACCGAGAGGAAGGAGGGAGATACATACGGAAGACATCTCGTTTGTACAAGCCATCGGCGGCGATGACTATGACGATGCATGTTAATAACCCAAGCACCTTGTTAGACATGAGTGGTTTGAACAAAAAAACGCACTTGTTATACGGAGATTGGGTCGACTGCAAGACGTATGTTAGTCGAGAATTCCATTATAAATGACTGAACAGCCTACGGCCAGAGGGGCCGAAGAAAAAAAAAATGGCACGAGCGTGAATCTTACCCAGCATCGTTGTTTCGGTTCGCCATCTTGACGGGGTCGTTTGTGTGTATGCAGCGCTCTAGGCACGGCAACACCAGGCTTCCTCGAATGCACAACTGTCAACAGATTCGACACCTGCGCAAACCCTTTTCTTCGATGGCGTCCAGGGGTGGACGTTTAAGGAGGAAGTCGGCGCTGTAAGTGACGCCAAGCGACGATATGCTGCGGACTGAGCAAAGTTGGGGCTGTGCAGGCCAGACTCCCCGCTCTATGGCTGGGTGGCGGGCGCGGGATGGGAGCACGTGACAAGGCCTGCGCTCTGGCAGGCGGCGACAATTGCGAGACAGGACAGGAGGCGTGAGCAGCCGGCAGCGGGAAAAAAAACGGCGGATGGGCAATGAATGGACTGGGCTGCGACGATGATGGAGGAGATGGAATCCAGACGGGTTTGCAAAGGCGGGCTGACAAGTGGAATCCCCCTCTGCGCACAGCTCAGGCGGCTATGGGGCGCTGGCTGATGGCCGTTTGCTGGCGATTAGAGTGGGGAGGAGGGACGAGAAGCTGCTAGGCGGCCTCCTTTAGGGCCCTTGGGCTCTCTCTAGGGCGGTTCCTGTAGAAGGAAGAGGGCCCCGTGGCTTCTGTCAGTGAGAAGTCGTCCTCCTCATGTGGAGGATAGGCGGTATGCGCTTCCACTAACCTAGTAGTATACCTAGTGCACGGACTTGCAGTATGGAGTAACAAGCGTGGCTGCTTTTTCTCCTGGTCGGAGGCTGATTTGCTTCCCGGAAGCAGAGAGAAAAGAGTGCAATCCCTTGGGTACCTTACCCAGAACGCGCTTTTACTTTTTCTGTCTCTCGCACACTCACCACGGCGGAAGCCGGCAAACAGAAGCCGTCGAAAGCTTGCCGCTACCAACTAGGCTGCTCCGCAGCGTTTGCTTGCTTCCACTGATGCTTCCCGTACAGTGTGTTGCCCCCCGGACTGTGTTGGTATTAGCCAGTACATGCACCTGGATTTGTGCCTCAATCAAAAAGAGCCCGCAAGCATGGGGAGCGTAATACCACGCGCCGAGAGGCAAAGACCCGTGGCAAACACGCCCTACAGGTAGTACGTGCATAACAAGCCAACTGTAGGGCGCCCGACTCTACTGGCACTCGTGTGCGTGGAAGGACGACATGCGATTCATCGCGCCAGCATAGCCTCTGCCCGAGGTACCTACTACTACTATTGATCTCTCAAGGTGCTCCATCTGCTAGCGTAATAAACTTCGAGATGATCTAATAAGACACGGCCAGTCTTGACTAATATCTGTCAAATCATTTCATTCGCCTCCAATGTCATCATTATCAACAAAAAACAGAAGAAGGAGAANAAAAAAAAAAAAAAAAAAAAAAAAGAGGGCAGCACTTGGCATGATTACCAATAATCTACCTCTAGACGCAAACATGGTCGTCCAAATCGGCACATCTAACCAGAGATGAGAACTCAGTCCTCTTAGGGAACAGCTCTGCTCCATATTATGTACTAACTGCTCGGTGCTATTCTATGCCATACTATCACCAACGGCTCTCGTTCACTGTATTATCGTGATTTTTTTTTTAACGCTAAGATGTTGCTATTAATGGAATCTCCTTTTCGGGAACGGGGTGCTGGTGACCGTCGTCGTCCAATCCTACGTCAGATCGGACACTCCAAGCTTCCACGTAGCGGTATAAGTAGCAGGGGGTCGACATCTAGTCCTGCACATTTTTGATTGTAAATCTCCAAAAATATATGACGAATTGAAGAAACAAGAGGCTGTACAACAAGAAATACAACAAGGAAAAGGAAAGAAGCCATTCGACGCGATGCATGAAATCCCACAAACGGTTTCTGTACTGTAAAACCGCCACTTGCGATGGAGGGGTCTCTTACAAATACAACAGGTCAATCTACCCCACGCCCTATTATCGACGACATCCGGCATTACTTTTACGCCCAAATTTTGCATCATAGATAGGTTGATCAATAGAGGGGCATTGCAGATCCTGCGCAACAGATTTGGAGCTACGTTCTGATGGCATTGAAATATACATTTCAAATACATCAGCTATGGCAACATCTTACAAATACGATCTGGCGTATAGATATGCCGCCTCACAGATATGTCTGAATCATTCTAAGAGTAACAAAGAAAGGAAATCAATTTTACTTCCTCATCTAACACCCGATTTGCCATCTGGCGTCGATACCAAGGCCTAAAACTCCAGTTCCTTTCCCGTCTTGAAATTCCGGTATTATACACGCAATCTCATTGTCCCGTATCCGATCCTGTCTTTCTTGACTTGAACCTAGCAAGCTAGGTCATAGATAGTAAATTTCCATCATAGTAAAGCAAACACTAGTGTCTTTATCTTCCGTATATTGTTTTTTTTTTGTGTTCCGATCTCTCGCCGTAGTTCCACTCATGTCACTCTGCCCTTCTCCTCAATTATGTCAACCCATATGCCGGATATCTTTCGTCAATTGCGCAGTAAAAAAGAATAGGGGGGAAAAAATTTCCACCATAAATCTCCAAGAAAAAAGAAAAAGAAAAAAAAAAGTGTTGAAAAGAATCAAGTTCCGTTTAATCGCGAGAAATGATAAATCTCTCCTCAGTTCCAATACCAAAGAGACCATCACCCAATCCATTGCTCTGGGCAGATCGCATGTTTGGAGAAACACTTCCTTGGTCCTAGTAAGGGGCGTAACCTCGTCCACGGCCCCGGTAGCCGCCACGGTAACCGCCCCGGGGAGGGAATCCCCCGCGTCCATGGAAACCTCGTCCACCGCGGAAACCTCCTCTTCCACGACCGCGGCTCATGCCAGGAATGTTGGTGCGCTTGGGCGTAACCTTGATGTTGCGTCCCTTGAAGACACTCTCGTTCAGGACGAGGGCCTGGGCCACCAAGCTGGGCTCGGTAAACTCGACATAGGCATAGCTAGAAGAAAGGTAAGGAGGTGTGTCATTAGCTTTGAATGTTTCCAAACTGGCAGAAAGGAACCCAGAAGGGAACGTATGAGGTATGCTTACCCCTTAGGCTGTCCGGTAAATTTGTCTAGAAGAATGGTGACTCGATTGATAGAGCCGCAGCTCTGGAAATGCGCCTGGACTTCCTCTGGAGAGGCCGAGTAATCGACGTTGCCCACGAAAATGCTTCGAGCGTCGACAGACTCTTTGTCATCGGCGAGATCAGCAGACTGCTGCTCCAGTGTGGCCTGCATCTCACGCAGCTTCTTAGCTTCCTCTTCCATCTCTGCGACTCGGCGCTTCATCGCTTGGATCTCCTCCTAGCGGTCGGCGTGTCAGATCGATCAGGTAAGAGCTCTCATCTTGAGCGCGCGTAAAGCTAAACCCACCTCTTCACTAGCCGTAATCTCGTTTTCCGGCTCACGCTCCTCCTGAGGGATGCCTTCTGGCTTGTCTGCGTCCGACATTGTGCTTGACCGAATGAATCGACAGAGTCTCTGATGGGATAAAACTGCAAGCGAGGAAAGATTAGATTAAGCTCAGAGTAAAATAAAAGAGCTATTTCTTTGTTACAGCAACACAACAAAGGCTGAATGGAACGTAAAGGGCAGAAAAAAAAAAGCTAGGATGCGCCCCCCTTGCGCAGATTGGGAATAACGTTTTGAACTGAGCCTGAAGCGCGACCGCCTCAGGTTTCACGTTGGAAAAACTAATTGAAACGTCAAAAGCTACCAACCTGGATTAACTGGCTGCAGCGATATCGGACGCGACAGCAAGAGTTGTCTGCAATGGAAAACGAAGGGATGATTCTGCAAGGACAAAGGTAAGTAAAAGAAATTCGTGATGGACAATCGTCACTTGAGCCTCGAGACGCCGCGCTGCAGAACCGAAGTTTGCCCGCCCGCAAGGCTGCTGTCCGCGGTCCACTAATCAGCCCAAGTTACTGCCTAGCCTGCGCTTCAAGGCGCATGTGCCATTGCGGAGAGCGACCTACATAAAATGCTACCGCACAGGCATTAGCTTACTGAGATGGTAGTGCTTCGCAGCCACTGGTTGCATGTCGCTAGCACGGCTAAACCGGTCTCCAGCAGCTTCAGGCTTCGTGAGGACGGAAATCGGCATGCTGCTGTTGATGAGCATCTCCAGCTGGCATTTCTAGTAGCTGACAAGCGCCCCTCTCAATGCTTTTAGCACCTACTATTAATGCATTCCCATCAGTAGCAGTAGTATAAAAAACCAGCTGACGTCTTAGCGCTGCATACATGCATGTATGTTCCCTCTTTACTCTGAGACTTTATATAGCCGCCCCAGCCTTCTACTTGTGATTGACAATGACAGGCCTCATACGTGATACTTGATACTGACCATCCATCGTCGGCTTTGTTCCTCCTGTCGCTTTATATAAACTATTATGGCAGATCGCTCGTCCACCCCATTACTCCAGTCTTACCATGGCGATGACAGCGATGAAGCGCCCGTCTGGCGCAGGCGCTCTCAGGAATCATCCTTCTGCCGACATTTACGACGATGCCGCAGGACAAGCCAGCGCTTCCTCGAGTCTCGCACAAAACATTTCGCCGTCATGGGTATTGTGGCACTGGATGTAGCTGCGCTGCTTGCAAATATCTTTATTCAGTTGATTGCCTGCGAGATGGATGAGAAGGATGAGCCCTGGGTGGAAGATGTAACCGAAAGTCTGGAAATCGCAGGTCTAGTCTTCAGCAGCCTCTTCCTCCTTGAACTCGTTGCATGTTTGTTTGCCTTTGGTCCGCGGTAGGTTTTGTTTTCCCCTTTGCGCTGCTTGGGGCTATTTCTGACTCGTGTTGCGCGCAACAAAGCTTCCTTGCCTCTTGGTTTCATCTGTTCGACTCGGCAGTCATTGTTGCTAGTTTTGTGATAGATATATTTTCCAGAGGTCTTACCGAGTCTATTGGCTCTTTGATTGTTGTCCTCCGTCTATGGAGGTTGGCAAAGATATCCGAAGAGGTGGTATTGGGCGCTACAGAGAGGATGGAGATTCTGGAACAGCAGCTAGAGGACCTCGAAGCTGAAAATAGTAGATTACGAGCTCAGCTGGGCATCGAGTCCTCCAATCATTCGATCAATGAGTAAACTTAATACAGGGTGAAAAAATCGAGTTAATCTATTTATATACAATTGTTGCATTTAATATGTGCACTGTTAATGGCCTCCTAAAGCAAAATCTTTGTGTCCAGACATTGCAGAGCTGGTAGGCGAGCTCTGATTATGGTATTAGTACCTAGATTACTCCCATCCATTCCTTCTATTCGTGACAAACTCCAGATATGTATGACGAGAACCCTTCAACTCTGACACCATCAATGTGGATTCAACTGTTCCAAAATAAATAAACAGATGGAAAAGAAAAAGAAAAGAAAAAACGCCCTTGATATCTATGCTACCTCCCTCCCATGTCCCGCAGTTGCCCTGTGTTCCCATCCGATGTATATGAAATATTGTGCCTGATTGACATGGTGATCGCTGGTAGAAAATGATACGAAATAAAACAAAACAAGAAGATAGTGGTCATGTGTGTCGATTGCGTTTGGCTCCGTTACCGGCTGGGTCTTTGCTATCAAAACAGCCACCGAAAAAGTCGTCAAAGTCCATCTTTCGTTTCGCCCCTGCCCCCCGGCCAAGATGTGGCGAAGACCGAGGGCCGTTCCTTGAAGAACTTGATCCGAATTTAGAACTAAATGACGGCGGGAAAGCAGATACGTCCTGCGGTCGTGGGTCTGATAAGTCTAGGGTAGCGATGTTGGGATACGTTGAGTGGAAGGTGAAGGCTTCTTGTGTTGGTATGACAAAATGGGTCGGTTCTTCGTTCATAGGAGGCGCAGGGACGACAGCGGGAGGTGAGTGTGTTCGAGATTGGGTCGGAACCGATGTAGACGCTGATGGTTCAGCACTAGCCCGAGAAGCCTCGGGGGAGGTATTTCTTTCGCCCTTGTCGGTCTCGTCTTCGCTCTCAGTGCTCTGATGTCCTGCCTCTCGACCGTCGAGCCTCTCCGTAGCCCATCTTCTTATTCTCCAGCCCTCGCCGTCGTCCAAACCAATGCTTTGCTTGTCGAGGAAGAGGAGGAGGTCGTCCAAGCAATCTTGGTATCCGTCTGCGCGAGCACGCGCCTCTGCTTTGGCAGATGTCTTGTAAAGCTTCGTCACGGATAGCGCCGCAGCCTTGAAAACGTCTAGCAGCTGTTCGGGTGACTCATACTGCATCGCCTGCTTTCCCAGGCCGCTGTAGGTTTTCGACGAGTCCATCTTCGTAAGAGATATTTGCTCTTGGGCAGTAGTAGGGCGAGAGAGCGCGTGTATGTGCTGTAGTCGACGTTTTCGTTAGTCAGCGTAACAGCAAACTAGGAGCTTTGTGTTCCTACCTTGGGGCGACAGAGAAGATCAGCCTTAGGGAGGGAGAATCCGCCACTGCCTGGTCTAGGGGGTCGCACGGCAGAGACAATGTCGTCGACCTCTTGCGAAAGAGGCTTCGAGCTATGAAGATGCAAAGCTCTCAAGGTGATGGAAGAAAGCTCCTGTGATAGACCTCAAATGGGATCAAAGCGATGGAGGGGAAAGTCCTGGCAGTATGTTCCGTAGCGGCAAACTTCTAGGTCAGCAGGTTAGAAAGGCGGGCGAAGGCGGTAGAACTGCACGTGGGGTGATGGGTCGCTACCCTGGTCTTTTACACGTGACTTTGCGACTCGGTAGCTCTAGGTTTTGGCGTCAAGGACAAGTATGAGGGACAAGTTGAGTTTGAGGGCGTAGCAATTGATTTTACGGCATTTTTAATTAGAATCTCTGTGATTTGGCTGTGGCCAGCAAGGCGCGCGCGCAGAGGTAAGGGTAGCTCCTTGCAGGCCGCTGGCTGAGGCAATTCCATGGTTGTGCCATATTACTTCGTATACCTAGCACCTACCTACCTCCTAGTACCTAATTAGAGGCGCACCTGTAGCACACCCTGTAAGATTACGCTCCCGCAGCTGTCTGCATCTGTGCAGCGGGCGGAAAACGCCCCTGACCCGTGACGTCGTTCTCTATTCCCCTTCTGGACTCGGACTTTTCTTCTTCCATTGTAGAATAAGTGGGGGAGGCCATATCGATTTTGCTCTCCAGCGTGGAGAGACAAGGGTGGGACCTGCACGCGCGCTAGGCCTAAAGTCGACAGCCTTTCAATGAGCACGTCGAGACTCTTGCCAGGCGCATTTCCAAAAAACATCTTCTCCTTGCCGCCAGTAGAAGGGAGATAGATCCACGGCTTGAAAGCACCACCAAAACATCTCAAGAGGCCAGAGCCATCTCCTCAGTTACCAGAACTTCCCTGGGCCCCTTGGACTCCTGGTTACGGGCGCATCTGCAGCGCGTTTCGTGCACGCAAGTCGCGTAAAGAGGCTCCCCTCCGAGATTTTAGTCGCAATGGCTCCGCGACCTCGATCAAACGGCGTGGACACCGACGCGTCCATGTCCGACGCTCCAGAGCATCCCCATGCTGAGGAAATGGTAGCTTTATCTATTTATATGGCAGACTTGGCATTTTGTTCGATGTTATGGCTAACTTGATCGCAGGAGGTCGATGAGACTCCCGACTATACCGACTCCGATACCAACCCGAACACTACGGCTAGCAGCGTGGCTGGCGAACCCCTCACAGACGGCAGGAAGCGACGCACCGAGGCGAACCAACTGCGTCGAAGTATCTTTGGAAAGAAGCATGATCGCCTTGGAGAATCAAAGGTGTGCCTCCCCTCAGACAGTCTTTTACAAGGCGATGCCATTAAAATAGCACTCCATATTAACCTTTTTATCTTGTTTGTTTCTTCAAATAGGAAGATGACACAATTCGACGATTTCGTTACCTTCTCGGTCTTACCGACTTGTTCCGGCACTTTATCGAGACAAATCCCGATCCTAAGATCAGAGAAATCATGACCGAGATTGACCATCAGAATGCTGAAGCTGCTCGAGTAAAGAAAGGCGCTGGCAGAAAAGGAGGCGCTACAAGCGAGAGACGGCGACGAACTGAAGCTGAAGAAGATGCAGAGCTCCTGAGCGACGAGAAGCATGGTGGATCCGCTGATACTGTGTTCAGAGAGTCACCTTCCTTTGTACAGGGAGTCATGAGAGACTACCAAGTTGCGGGTCTGAATTGGTTAATCTCGCTGCATGAGAACGGTATTTCGGGCATCTTGGCTGACGAAATGGGCCTGGGGAAAACACTACAAACCATTTCCTTTCTGGGTTATCTCCGCCACATCATGGGTATTACTGGACCCCATCTTGTGACAGTGCCCAAGTCAACGCTCGACAATTGGAAGCGAGAGTTTGCAAAGTGGACTCCAGAAGTCAATGTGCTTGTGCTCCAAGGTGCCAAAGATGAGCGTCATGAGCTCATAAACGAACGCCTCGTCGACGAAAAGTTTGACGTCTGCATTACTAGCTACGAAATGGTTTTGAGAGAAAAGGCGCATCTCAAGAAATTCGCTTGGGAGTACATCATCATTGATGAGGCACATCGCATTAAAAATGAAGAGTCATCTCTATCGCAGGTCATCCGACTCTTCAACTCCCGCAACAGACTTCTCATTACAGGTACACCTCTACAAAACAACTTGCACGAGCTCTGGGCTCTGCTCAACTTCCTCCTTCCTGATGTCTTTGGCGATGCCGATGCATTTGATCAGTGGTTTTCAGGACAAGACCAAGATCAAGACAAGGTCGTGCAGCAATTACATCGAGTCTTGCGTCCGTTCTTGCTCCGACGTGTCAAGAGTGATGTTGAAAAGAGTCTCTTACCAAAGAAGGAAGTCAATGTATACTTGGGCATGTCTGAAATGCAGGTCAAATGGTATCAAAAGATTTTGGAAAAGGATATCGATGCTGTTAATGGTGCTGGAGGAAAGAGAGAGTCTAAGACCAGACTTTTGAACATTGTGATGCAGCTACGAAAGTGCTGCAACCACCCCTACCTCTTTGAGGGCGCTGAGCCAGGTCCCCCATACACAACTGATGAACATTTAATTTACAATGCAGGCAAGATGAAGGTCTTGGACAAGCTGCTAGCACGACTTCAGAAGCAAGGCAGCAGAGTCCTGATCTTTTCTCAAATGAGTCGATTGCTTGATATCTTGGAAGATTATTGCGTTTTCAGGCAGTATAAGTATTGCCGTATTGATGGTGGAACCGCTCACGAGGACCGAATTGCTGCTATCGACGAGTACAACAAGCCTGGATCAGAAAAATTCGTCTTTCTGCTGACAACGAGAGCTGGTGGTTTGGGCATCAACCTGACAACAGCCGACATAGTCATTCTCTACGATAGCGACTGGAACCCTCAGGCGGATCTGCAGGCCATGGATCGCGCGCACCGTATCGGACAGACGAAACAAGTCGTAGTGTACAGATTCGTCACTGACAATGCTATCGAAGAGAAGGTGCTCGAACGAGCAGCCCAAAAATTACGACTCGACCAGGTCGTCATTCAACAGGGTCGCGCTCAGGTTGCAGCCAAGGCCGCTGCAAACAAGGATGAGCTCTTGAATATGATCCAGCACGGTGCTGAGAAAGTATTCCAGTCCAAGGGCCCCACTGATGAAACGGCAAACAAAGAAAAGGAGTTGAACGATGAAGATATTGACGAGATCTTGAGCCGAGGCGAGTCACGTACCAAAGAGCTCAATGCTCGGTATGAAAAGCTTGGCATTGAAGATCTTCAGAAATTCACATCTGAATCTGCCTACGAGTGGAATGGAGAAAACTTCGCCCAGGCCAAGAAGAATATTGGCATGAACTGGATTAATCCATCTAAGCGGGAGCGCAGGGAACAGAGCTACTCTATGGACAAGTACTTTAGACAGGCCATGTATCCCAATCCCAAGGCCGATGCCAAGCCTAAAGCTCCCCGAGCGCCCAAGCAGGTGCCGGTCCATGACTATCAATTTTATCCACCTCGCTTGCAAGATCTTCAGGATAGAGAAACAGCATTTTACCGCAAGGAAATTGGCTACAAGGTGCCATTAGCAGACGGGGATGACGATAACCTATCAGAACGCGAAGCCGAGAGAGCGCTTGAGCAGCAAGAGATTGATAATGCGACACCTCTCACGGAAGAAGAGCGAGCAGAGAAGGAGGAACTCTCCAATCAGGGATTTGGTCACTGGAACCGCCGTGATTTCCAACAGTTTGTGAACGGATCTGGCAAATATGGACGCAATGATTTCCAGGGCATTTCCAATGAGATTGACAGCAAGACGCCAGCGGAAATCCGTGC